ACGTGACTTGTACCATAGTTCTTCCGTTTCCGAGCGAGTCCCTGTTGTTCCCGTGATCCTGCAATACAAATGTCCTGTCCTAGCCGCTCGATGCCCAAGTGGGTCGGTTAACTGTTATCCTGCATAACGGGTCGTAACACTGGGCCAACTAAGTGAGACAATGAAGCTGCTACCCCCAATCAGTAGATATGCTCGGGCAGCACTGCATTTGTGGTGCATTCGCTGAGATGGTTTCGTGTCAAAAAGCCCTCGCATGAGTCTAAGGTAAGGCAAGCTGGTGTGCCTTGTATTACGTGAAATGTTAGGCGGACCACCTGTCATGATTTGACAGAGCACAGAAATCCAACAAAGATTCAAGGTGCTCATGGCTTAGATGGATAAAGTACCTAAGCCAAATATACTTCTGAGACTGGCTCTCATTTTCTGGACAAGTCAGTTATATGGCAACACCTGCCAGGCTCATAGTCCAGACGGGACGAACCATCCATTCATCGATCTCGACAATCATCCGTCTTCCAAGATCTTTAAACCGTAGATATTTCATTCTGCGCTGTTCCATGCGGAGAGTCTCGCGATGAGGCTTGTTCTCCGGACAAAGAGTTATTGTATTGAGTCTAATGATTTGGTTTATGTTAAAACTTGATTAATTCTGTCGTCCCTGCTCCTGTCATTGTCGACATCGTTGTCGTTGTTGACCCCAATTGTCTCATGCCTGCCACCCACTCGGGTAGTAGAACCGCTCGCTATTAGCCCGGCAAATACTTTCAGGTTAACGGGCAGAACCCTACCATTACAAGCTAGATAATACAACTGTCAATTATCCGAAACACAGGTCTACATACGTATTGATCTACGCTCTTGTACTATTTTTGTCGTCTTCGTTGCGACTATTTTCGTCGCCGTCATGCATGACAAGATAAGTCGCCAGGAAAATACGTCTAACTCACGTCCTCTGAACTAAACAACATCTTTTGACTTCTCACCTCGCTTCAGCGTGGTTGATTCCTCTTCGACGTCAACGTTAGCGTGCCGAGAGAAAGACCCCCTCCAAACTTCCGTCGCTTCTTCCACCCGTCCTAAAGAGCGTAGTATTTCTCTCCAAAACAATCGATTCCGCCGCGAAGTACGATCGGGCGAGTCCACGCTGCTTAAAGCCCCAGCTTGCTCATTTGCCACCTCAAGCGCCCTGTCAAGGTCCTTCGAATATGTTTTCTTTGATTCCAACCCTCCGCAGTGAACGCAACCTTCATGACCACGACTTCTCCCAACAAAATATCCCGAATCTGCACCACAATCACCATGTCTCGAGATGGATGTTTTCTCTGCAGCACTGACTCGCCCAACATGCTCTTTGCACAGCTCAATGATTTCCGGATCTGTGGGGGCTACCAATAATCGTGCTGCGGCCGTGATCTGGCACGCTTCGATACCAATGGTCGTCTCTGACGTTTCTCCAAACCGACCCGCCGCCTCCTCGACCAAGCTCCCGAGCTTTTGAATGACGGTTGTGGATTCCTGCGACGTATTCGAGCATCCCTTCACAAGTAGAAGCTCGATTGTAGCTAGAAGTGTAGAGAGGTCTTTCGTCCCACGAAGCTCGGTATATGTGTCCGCAGTGATGCTATGCAACCTCTCAAGAGCCGGGGCCAGGTGCTCTGTATCATTCAATTGAATCGAATACAAAAGCTTTGCCAACTGAGAGATCGGATTATGTCTCTTCTTGAGATTTAGCATTTGGGAAGTGAAGTGCAGCCAAGCCCGTGTGACATCCTTGTATCTACCGGGAAGATAAAACGGGATATACAGCAGAACAACATGGTATATCTCAATAGCATCTCTTCCCATGATACCCTCCAAACTTCGAAAGGTTTCCCGCAACATTATGCCACCTTGCTTGTGGTGCTTGCTTTCGAACAGGCGGATGGCTTGGTCCATCTGGGACACCAGGAGCCTTCCGGTAGTCGGAAGCCCGGTGAATCTGAGGTTCTCGCTCGACCATCCTGCGTTATCGCGCCGGAACGTGCCATGAATAAGATCTCTAAGGCTAGTGAAGAGCTGCAGAGTTTTTTTGTCATCTCCGTTCGCGCAGGTTAATTTGGTAGATGGCGTGACACTAGCGGTTGGTACTCTTGCCGAACTGCGTCTCCTGATAGCCCAAGCAGACTCTATGTTGATGCTTCTTTTACTGCGCATCGGTCGTCGACATGTTGTCTGACCTTGTGACATTTCAATAGCTCGGCCTGTTTCCTTACTTTCCTGAACCGATTGGGTGTTGTACTTTTTCCAGTCCCATCTTTTGAACTGCCGCTTATACATCCTTTTACTGCAGTCCAACGTCAGCGTCAGCCAGTCTTGAAAGGTACCTGGATGTGTGAGATGAGATACGATCAAGTGCTGCAATCGAGGGAACCACATACGTAGCCGCAAAGGAGTGCTCCCTGAGCATGGCGTTCGCAACCTCCTCAAGCGTGAAGTTCTCAACTAGGTAAAGTTGCCTGATGATGTCTTTCACGGCGTCCCATTCTTGTCGTGTCTGCGGCCGCCGTGGCTCAGCTTGACCTGAGGACTCGGGCGACTGCGAGGGGCGGAGGCTAAGGTTCGGTGTAATACGTTGATGTGGCTTTGGAGCCAGCAGCTTATAGCCGGATGGTATTTTGGAGACATCCTGAGAGGTTCCCCGCGCAGGAGTTTCCGGTCTGTCGTCAATTCTATTGAGTATCATTGCAGCTTGTCTTTGTCGCCGATAGACCCGATAGAAGAGAGTACAATACGAACTTCACGCCAACGAAGAAAGGCCCTCACAAGGCTGGATGAGATCAGCGTCAACGTCAATGTTCAGCTCGATGAGGTTGAATTTGCAACTGTTGGTTGGCACAAAATTGTCAGCTGAATCGATTAGGCTCCCCACACTAATCTCGGGGTCGTTGTTGGTGGTTGCCTCACCTTACCCTACCTTCCGGCCGTAGCCCGCCTCAGCCGCTGTGGAATCAAAATGCCTTGTCTCACATCAGCACGTATCAACGACGCAGAGGTCAATAAGTGCCATGTTACATGATCCAGTAGAAAAGCTTCTGGGTACTACATGCCAAGCCGCTGCTCGGCAAAAGGAGAATACTTTGCGACTTGGCAGCATGTCATTGTGCATGCATAGTCATGCTCGTCTATCTCGTCTGTCGCCCTTGTCGTCTGTGTTGTCCTTCTTGTCTCTGTCATCCTACTGCGCATCGAGAACATCCAGTGGCTGTGGTTATCTCAAGTAATGAATACGGTCCATATCGTCAGCCGATCAATCAAATTTGACAACTGTACAGAAACATTGGACGATAAGCACGTCACGATCGCCAAGTGAACATAGATGACGCCTTATTGTCTGGTGGTTGACTGCCACTCAAATCACTCACCAAATCCAGCTACCGCATCTCAGGAACCCAACCCATTAAGAAAAAAGAACACCAACTAAATGTAGTCATTCAAAAACCTAAGCCTACATCGCCAAGTCCCAAGCCGCGCGCGGCCTAAACCCCAACACACCCTGGGCAAAAATACACGCGGTTTTTTTCGGTCGAACTCTTTGTACATGATTTATCTTTCTCCTCCTTCCCCTGACTGGCGGAATCGCTCGAGACGAGAGCAGCGCGCTTTCTGTTATCAGTCTCCTAGTTTATCTTGTATTCTTTCTTCCTCGACCATCCTTCTCTCCTGCCTTATTGCATTCACCCGGATCATTAGAACGTTGTTCAGACATTACATGAAGCGCAAGCTTCCCGACGGCCCCCTCTCCACGAGACCATCAACTTCCCTCCTGACAGCACGCAGACGTCTGCGCACCTCCGCCAAATCCGCACCGCCAGGGTTCGAGCCGTGGCCCGCAGGCGGCAAGGACGATTCGCATCTGCTCAGCAGATCCTTAACCCAGGCACCGATAGCACCGTCACCCTTCAGAGAGGCGCCGCCGCGACGCTTCACCTCGCGTTGCCAGACATCGACTGCGAAGACAATGAGCTCGATAATGCGGTTACGGTTGTTGCCGCTGAAGCCGTAGTCCTGTGTGTCGAAGACGCTCTCGAGAACGCGAGTAACCATGTCGTGGGAGACACCCAGGCTGATGAAGAGCTGGACCGGCCATGTGGGGTCGGCACCAATCTCAGCATCCTGGTGGTACTCAACGGCGTAGCGGCAGACTTCGGGAAGGAGGACTGGCACAGGGAAGATGAAGCTGTCGAGTGATGTGCGGTGGGCGATGTTCTGCACCTTGACAGACACAGACTCGTACGGCGACGGCAGGACAGGAATGCCGGGGCCAGCCTCCTCCATGCGGTCGACGGCCTCTTGGTGGATTTGCTCAATTAGGCTGACCCACGTTTGGGAGATTGTGCTAGGGTTGCGGTAGTCGGCGCTGTGGTAGATCAAAAGACACAGGTCGTAGTAATTTGCTTGGTCGGCGTATTGGTTGAAGAGCTGAAGCGAATTAGCTTTGTCATTGAGCACTTCAGGAGGCGACTTACATCTGACAGCGACAATATCTGACCGTCGAGAGCCTCTTGAATCTCCGCCTTACGCTCCGGTGCAATTCGGCTGTCGGCCTTGAGCCTCTCGAGCAAATCGTCCTGGATGTTGGCGATGTCGAGGAGCTCGCTGACCTCGTGGGCCAGGACCTGCTGTTGTTGCCTGCCGATGCCGGCAGTGGCGACACTGGCGTTGCCCTTGGCTTTGCTGAGAAGAACAATGCGCTCCTTGATACCAAGGTCGAAGTCGGAGTTGGCGAGGTCGGCCTGGACCTGGGCTGCCTCGAAGTATCTCTCACGCTGAGTGTAGAACTTGCAGAGAAGCTCGGCGTGTCCAACATTAGACCTGGCGAGGCTCTGGAGGTATGTGATAACGTGAGGTGACTCGATGGCCAGAATTCTGTCGGTCCAACCCTGTTCGATGTACCACTCATAGAGGTCAAAGTGGAAGACCTCATCATCCGAATCGTTCACCACACTGTATGCCTCCAGGCGTTTGGTGCCAATCAGTGTCAACCTGCCATCGATCGTCTCCGGCTCCCTACTTGAGGCGGCATCCAAGTGCTGCAGAGCCTCGTGAATCAACTCGTAGCACTTTCTACGTTCCGAGAAGGCATTAGCCCGAGGGTCGTTTGGAGGCTTGCCGTCGTGGACCCAGGAAAGGGCGCTGTTGCCTCTGTCCTTCTCGCGGGCGACGACCAGGCAAAGCTGGATTGCGCCTGCATAGTATTTCAGCTCAATGTACTGAGCCACAGCGTTGTGCAGGTTGGCGAAGGAAAGGGCGTTGGCGACGCGCTCGAAAAGCCTCAAACTCTCATGCAGCAGTGTGCGTGACGGGTTGCTGTTCAAAGGCTGCTCGGATGCTCTCTTCAACTGCTCTTGGGCCTTGAAAATGACAACATCATCAGGGCTGCAGAAGCTGCCGCATCTCCTACGCAGGGCATCAGCCACAGTCTCCACGTTGGAACCGCTCTCGATGTTGCGGTTGACAATCGACTTGACAAGCAGCTTGGCCAGCTCCTTTCCAGGAGCCTGCGAAAACAGCTTCTCGTATGTGAGTTCCTTCAGTTCTTGTTGCGCTTGGGCGTCAAGTCTGGTGAAGATGTCGCTGACCCGCTCGTCGAACAACATTGAAACGAAAGAAATGCCTTCTGAAATGCTCTCCATCAGCTTCTGGAGCGCGTGCAGAGCCTGGTGCTCGGCCTGGAGGGCAACCTCCTCTTGTTTGCTCGCCACTCTTTGGAGATCAGAGGGGCCAGATAGGCCTTGGATGAAGCTCTTGTTAGCCTCGAGGAATCTGCGAAGGCGCTCAAGCTGCTCTTGAATCGACAAAAGCTTGGCAAGAGGCACTCTTGATCCGATTGTGACGCCTCCGGTGGGGCTCACGGCAGGGACAACCACATGGTTCTTCCACAAGGTTCGGATCAGGCGAGTGATGTACACACAGAGGGCGTCATGCCTAGGAGAAAGGCGGACGGAGGTGGTGTTGAGTTGTGTGCCGTCGGTCTCGGTGATTGAGGGCTGCCCACCGTAGTCAACGAAAACAGTACGAGCGCGATCTTCCGTGGCCTGGTCCATAGCGCGAGCGGCTCCAGGTCGAGCATCGCCACCGTGTCCGCAAGCTACCGCCAGAGCACAGGAGATTGTCTCTACCCGGCCATATCGCTGAATGAACTTGCGCGTCTCCAGTTCCAACCCCTCATCGCCTACGGCACCGCGGATGGCAGAAGCGAAAGTGTCGACCAGTCGGCGGCGGCGGATGATGTGGACACCGGTATTCGTGAGAATGGCAAACTCGGTCGAAGGCTCATCAAACTGAACAGCGAGCTCGTTTCCAAAACCAATGGGTTGGTTCGCAGCAGCAAATGGCTTCGTTACCAAACCTACATCTTCAGCTCTACTTCCAATATCGATCCAGTTGCCGTGTTCGTAGTACTTGAGTTGTTGAGATGATGCGTTGGTCTTGATGCGGCCGGTCTCGGGGGCAGAAACGAAAAGCTGGTCGTTGTTGGGCTCGGACTCCTTGACGACGAAGTCGAGGAAGTATCCTGGAGCGAAACGAGCACCGAGTCTGCTCATTGCCAGGGCTTTTGAGGAGAAATCGATTATTGTCTCGCCGGCAGTATTCGTGCTGGCGCGGGCAGGGTTTTCCGCCGGAGGGAACTTGATATACTGAACCTGCATGCTTTGAGGGGGGGTATTAGAAGACACGCCACCAATCATGTAGGAAGCAGAGCTTGTGGCGCTGAGGAACAACCGGCATCCGGTGTTGGTGAGTGCCATAAGATGCAACTTTGAGGCCTCTCGGGAGGGGATAGCACTAATCGAGACGATCGTTGTGCGCTCGTTGAGCAAGGGCGACTGGGTGATCATGTGGGTAATGTCACGTAGACACGCGTTTCTCTCCTTTTCGATAACCTTGGTGAGCTTGTTAGGCCCGTCCATGTGGTACGTTCGAATGGTAGACCTGGTGGACAGAGTGTAGACCAGTTTCCGCGAGTCGTCAATGACGATGCTCTGAAGGCCCTCGGGAGACTTGTGCTGCCAGAAGCCACTCTGAAGGGTGACCACAGACGACCAACCGGGGTTGGTGTGGTTGATCTTGCCGCATCTGTTCGAGAACCACTTCTCCTCCTGCTGGTAGTACAGCTCGTGAATATCGGTATCGTTGCTTCCGCCGAAGAAGATGCGACCGTCCGCAGTGCCAGCAATGACTCGGACATCGGTGCCTCGCAGCGGGAGGTTCAACTTCGTGCTGTAGAGCGAAACCGTCTTCGTTCCGGAGGGGGTCGGTTCGGCAGAAAGACCGAGGAGAATCATCTCGGACGAAGTCGCGACGACAAGGATGTGGGTGATGGAGTTGACGAAGATGCCGGGCTTCGGGGACACCAGGGCGACTGCGTGGATCGTGTGAGGCTGGTCCTCGAAGCCGATGAGCTCAGGGTCAGGGTGTGTGTAGTCCCAGAGGAAGAGCGAGTTGTCGATCACAACCCATGCGTGGTTGATCTCCGCGAACAAGCCCATCAACGTCTGCAACTGGCCGGTGTTGTAGTGGCTGAAGACCTGGTTCGGGATGGGGTACATCTGCGTCTTGTGGAAGGGGGCCCACGCCGAATCGAGCGAGCTGTAGTCATACTCGGAGGATGCGCCTGCTGTTTGGGGGTCAGATGTGCCATCGAGGGGGGAAAGGGCGGTGGAAGGGGAGAGGACGTACGCCTACAGTACAAATCCAGTTCCGGGTAGTTCTCATCGGCCTGCAAGAATTGGTTGACCGCCTGCGCAGCTCTTGTGACCGGCGGCAGGTTTTGCTGGGGAGTTTGCGACGTCGAGACCAGTCCGCCACTCGTACCGACCGAAGAGACCGTCGCAGGGGCGAAGCTCGATCCTCCCACCAGGGCGCCGCTGGTTCCAGTCGTTGTGCTTCCCTGGGCTCCGTCACCGTCCAAAAACAGGCGCCGTCTGACGGGCTCGTTGTCGTTGCCTGCAAATCGTGAAGCTGCTGGCGTGTTTAAAAAGGCGCCGGGCACCGGTCGCGCCGGCGTCAGCTGAGGGTATGACATCGTCGTCGGGATTCGGTTCGAAGCTCGACGGAAGGGTGCTGGTTCGGCGGGCAAACGCGTCGCAAAGATGCGGCCAGTAGGCGGAAGGAGGTCGCGCTATTGAATCATCAACGGGCAGTCGCAGACCGTTCAATTGAAGGCTTTCGGGAAGAAATCGACGCTGGATGATGCTTTTCGAAGCTTGTGCAGCTCAAGCCCGACAAAGACAAGATTACGAGCTGCGGGAGCTCTCGGTGTGGAAAAGGTGAAGTGCAGTAAACAATTTCTGGAGGAGCTCGACGAGAGGCTGGGCCTGCACTTGGAATTTTCGCGCCTGGAGGAGCCCGGTGGTCCCACGCTAGGCCCAATCAGGACACAAGGCTGAACCTGACGTTTTGGCAGGAGCTTCACACTTGATTCAAGCTTTCATTCAATGTTCACTGCAGATATCATACGCGACATGATTAGATGACAGAATTAATTATGTAGAACTTTTATATATCCGTAGCCTTCGTATGCAGCATCCCGACCGGGCAGTGCCACCGTCACGACTCCCACTCGCAGCTTTCCCCTGAAGCATTCCGCATGCGTCCAAGCTCATGCACCAATCATCTTCTTCCAGCTTTCATTCCTCATGTCCAGCATTTCTCCTCACGTTTTGCTTCTTCCTCCCTCTTGCAACATGGAAGAGTCATCTAAGTCTATTCGCGGCTTTCTTAGGCCTTCTTGGCCTCACGAGCCGCCTTCCTAAGGGCACGGGTGCGGATATCAGCGTGCATCTTCATGTTGACGGCCAGAGCCCACTCGTGGGCGACGCCAATAGTGTTCTCAACAATCCACAGCATCAGAGCATGCGTCCACCACGGCGTGTAGGTGTACGCAAAGTTCTGGTAGATGCCAGTGCCGACCTTGCCGAGTGCCGCACGGACAAAGTTCTTGGGGTTGGGGATCGCAACGCTCGTCTTGCGGACCTTGCTCATGGCGGTCGTCACGAGGTAGCTGACGACAAGCTGCACGTCGATGCCGTCTGACTTGAGTTCGGTGGCGAGAGAGCTGCTCCAGTGCTGCAGGAAGGCCTTAGAACCGGAGTACGTAGCCAGGTAGGGCGTGGGGATCCAGCCGGCAAAAGAGCCCATGGTGAGGATGAGGCCGGACTTGCGCTTCTGCATGATGGGGGCGACGACCTGGGTGGTCTTGAGGGTGCCGAGGCAGTTGATGGTGACGATGTTCTGGAGCTCCTCGCGGGCGGTCTCGACGAAGGGGACAGGGATGCTGTGGGACTGGCCGACGTTGTTCACGAGGATGCCGACGTCGAGGCCAGTGATCAGCTGGGCGAGGCGGTCGTAGTCGGCGCTGTCGTCGCGGGCGTAGTCCATGGCGAGGACCTTGACCTGGACCTTGCCGGAGAACTTGGCCTCAAGCTCGTGAGCGAGGGTCTCGAGCTTGGATTGGGTTCGGGAGACCAAGACGAGGTTGAAGCCCTTGCTGGCGAGCTGGTAGGCGTATTCCTTGCCTAGGCCGTCGGAGGCACCGGTCACGACTGCCCAGGTGCCGGGCTTGCCATACTTCCGAAGCTGTTCAAGTTGCTGTCAGTAATGCCCTAGAAGTAGAAGAGTGGAGGGGTCTGCATACGTTGCTGCCGCTAAGGACGAAGACGCCGAGCAGGAACTTGACATAAGCGAGGGCCTTGTTGGCGAGGAAGAGAGCGCCGACGCTGGCCAGGACGAGCTGGACCGGCTGCGGCAGCTGGCCGATATAATCTGTGATTCCCTGCATCTTCGAGATATTCGAGCAGTCTGGTGCGCGAAGATGGTTGTGCGGGGAAGAAGAGGCCAGAGCTGACAGGATTGCGTCGGCGACCTTGAGATGTGCAGCTCGACCACACGACAGCACAGACAAAATGTTGGGATAGGCAATTTGAAAATGCATGTCGAAAAGCACCAGCCACGCCTCGGCAGCTCCCAACGGTTGGAGGGGCTTGAGCTTCAGCCAATCGGGAATCGACAGGTCCTGAGCAGCCACAGCTTGACAGCATCAGCCACAGGGACCTGCCGGTAGACAAGCTGCCCGGGTTCGTATTCGGGAAGGATTGGCAGCTACGTTAATATTCTTAGCGGGAAGCCGGTGCACCCATCGAAAATGTGAAAGGCGGCATCCCACGGTGATAGGCCATTTTCCACTCTTTTACTTCCAATCCCTTCTTCATGCTCTGTTTTGGTGTCAATTGACCTCTTCTGACTCCAACATCTACAGAGCAGCCAAAATGGTGTCTCTCGCCGACTTGCTTCCTCCTGCGAAGGGCATTCTGCCCTACTACATGCTCTTCGTAAGTCTCATGTCACTGGTTGTAACACCACGCGCAACATCGCGAAGCTAATACAGTACTGCCTGTAGCTCTCCCTCCTAGCCATTGGCAACTCGGCCCAGAACTATCTGACCCTCCACTACTCGCGCCGCGTCTACAATGGCAAATTTGTCAAGAACTCCGCCCTTCCTCCTCGCTCCGAAAAATACAACCCCGAGGACTCGGTGAAGAAGTTCGTTCCCGCACCAGCCGGCGCAAAGGAGTCGGAGACCCTGGACCAGGGCACGCCGCTCGCCGCCCGCTGCTTCGGCACCTGGACTCTGTTGACGAGTGTCGTCCGTCTGTACTGCGCCTACCACCTGCACTACGCGCACATGTACGATCTCGCCATCTGGACATATGTTATCGCGCTGGGCCACTTTGCGAGCGAGCTGTTCGTCTTCAAGAGCATGACTTTTGGCGTTCCTCAGGCGTTCCCTTTCACGCTGGCCACTGTTGCCCTGATCTGGATGCCCCAGGTTCGCAGCTTCTACGTCGAGGCTCCTTGAGCAGAGGACGATAAGAACCTGAGGAAGCAGCCCTCTAATTCTTCATGTAGATGCCCACTACCTCGGGCTAGTCTGATCAGTAGTGATCGCTATATAGCATTCCTGAAAACGGGGAACAGATTCACGAGATCTAGGGCCCTAATGTCTAGCGAGATAATTTAATAATCATGTCAATACTCAGATGTTTGGTTTTCCAAAAATGCCGCCGATGATGCCTGACTCCTCAACTCTCCCCCATATGCCTCAGTTCTCTCTTCTAAATTGACTTGCGATACAGCTGTCCACCCATGTCTCTAAGCTTGGCTGCGGCCTGCTCGGGAGTAATGTCTCGCTGCGGTTCGGCCATGAGCTCGTAACCGACAAGGAACTTGCGGACAGTCGCAGAGCGAAGGAGAGGTGGGTAGAAGTGCATGTGGAGGTAGCTGTTCTCGGCCTCTTCTTCGGTGGCATCGAGGGGTGCCTGGTGGATACCGGAGCCTGCAGTCTTGTGAGCGTGATTCCCCTACCAATGACGGAGACCACTTACTGTAAGGGAAATGTGTCTCAAAGAGGTTGTCGTATCTCCTTGCGACCTCCTGGATTGACTCGGCAAACAGGACTCTCTCCTCTGCGCTCAAATCCACAAGCGCGCGAACATGCCTCTTGGGCAGAATCATGACCTCAAATGGCCAAACAGCCCACCAGGGACACACCACAATGAAAGCATCGTTCTCAAAGACCGTGCGCCCCTTCTTCTCCATCTCGACCTTGACGTAGTCGCCCAGCAGGTGGCGCCCAGCGTGCTCGCTGCGGTACTTGGCCATCTGCACAAGCTCAGTACCGGGCTCCTCCGGCATGGTGGAGGTGGTCCAGATCTGGCAGTGAGGGTGCGGGTTCGAGCATCCCATAGCAGCGCCCTTGTTCTCGAAAATTTGCATGAAGCGCAGCTGGTCGCGGGGCGCAGGCACAGTGCTCGCGGGGGTCGGAGGGGGCAGCTGGAGAGCGGCGGCGACCTTGGAGAGGGGGTTCGCGGGGGAGAGGTGGGAGGCGTAGATGTTCGTCCAGACGTCGATGACGGGGGCGATCTCTTCGGTCGTCATATCTGCGAGGGTAACATGGTGCTTCTCGGAGAAAGTGAGGACGTAGCATTTGCCGGTGGCAGCCTCAGCCTTGAGGAGGGATGCGGCGAGGTCTGATATCGTCAATCATGATGTCCACGTAAGAAACAGAGAGGAGTCTACCATCGCTGCCTTCCTCGGGCTTGTACTCGGCCTGGTCCTCCTTGACGGCGCTGTAGTCGTTGACGAAGACGAAGGTGTTCTTGTAGTCAGGGTTCGCGTCGCCAACAGCGCGCGAGTTGCGGGGGCAGAGGTAGCACTGCAGAGGGTCAGAAAATGCTTTTCTTCTGCAGCTTGAAACGGCTTGCCTTTGGATCGTACTCAGGAAGCTTCGTAACAGTGGGCGCCTCTTGTTGACCTCTGTCCACCTTAGCGCATGTCGCATCACGTAGCCTGGTCGAAGTGATCTTACTGCCAGGGGCGCTTGGTCCTGTGAGGGGAGACCAGCAGCCAGGTGCCCTTGAGCGGGTTGTACCGACGATGGGAAATGTCGTCGAGGATCTTGTCAGGCATTGCGATGGATAATGCGGTACACGAAAGACAACAGTGATGTTGGAGAAGATGGCGGGGTAGTAGCTCCGCGACGAAGACAGCGCGGGGTTCGTCTTAATGTCAGTCGCAAAGGTCTCACTCAACCAGCCAAGAGATGGAAAAAATGAGGGAAGGCTCGAGGATGAACCAGTCACGATTATTTGAAGAATCACGTTGTTATTTTCTCCATACCAATCTGGCTAAGTACAAAAGTCCAGCCCTCGGCAGGTCGCGGCCGAGGAGACAGACGGGGAAGCTGCCACAAAACAACTCACCTCTGGCGGCTGGTGGTGACGTCCGATCCCTGCAAATGCGCTTCGTGCCTCGGGGATGTTGCGCCAGAGGACGTGGAGGGACAGTGAAGAATTGCCCCGCGAAACCCCACCATCGCAGAGGCGCGCCATTGTTCTGGCGGGCTCGATGCGCTGAAGGACCGAGCTAGCGGCGGGAAACTGGCGGAGAAACTCTTTGGGGGCCGCGGGTGACGACATGTGGAACGCGACAGTCCTGGCTCGGGTCAATGGGTGAGAGAGAGGTATTTGCTGGCTGGTGTCTGTACTGGCAGCAGTGAAGTCTTCTGCTATGCAGCTCTTCAACCCCAGGTCGGCATATTAATCCACGACGCCGGTAGCCATCATCTTAACGTACATACACTGCAGGAAATGGGTGCAGATGCAAACAGCCGGGCGATGGTCCGTTGGCCGAACATTGAATCGGGGCTGACGGAGCCGTTTTGATAGCGACTAGCATGTGGCTTAGCTATCGGTTCACCATGTGGCTAGTGCTTTAGCCTCAACAGCCACACTCACCTGGCCCAAGCGCGGCTAGACTTCGGGTCGGGTCAAGCACGTCTCCAGATCCCCGGATTCTTTCCATTGGAGCCTGGCGTTGTTTCGACGGCGAACCTTGAAAACGTGGATTATCAACAGCGCGCATCGGCCCATCCGAAATCCATCGAGTCCATCGACGACCGTCCCATCCGCATCGAGCACACCACGCTTCTACATCAAAAATACCAAGCCCTTGTCGATAAACCACCGTATGCCCGCTTCCACATCGCGATAACTCGACCGACTCCGGCTGAGCCTTACCAGGGGCTGGCCTCCACGTCCCCACCGCAGCCCTGGACGAAATGGGCGTCATTAGAAAGAAGACCGTCACACGAGGCGGCGAGGGTGGTGTCAAGTACCACTGCGATATCTGCTCTGTAGACATCACATCAACGGTATGTTGTTTTGTTGTTTTGCCCGTCGTCGCGTCCCTCAGCCCCGCTGCCGAGCTCCGGCGCAAACATCATCTCGCGCCTCGCGCTAACGCCCACCCTCTGCGTCGATAGGTACGCATCAGATGCGCCCACTCCGCCTGCAACGACTACGACCTCTGCGTCCAATGCTTTTCGCAGGGCAAATCCAGTTCGAACCATAAGCCAGAATCACATCCATACCGCGTCATCGAGCAGAACTCCTTTCCCATCTTCGACCGGGATTGGGGCGCCGACGAAGAACTTCTCCTCCTTGAGGGCGCAGAGATATACGGCCTGGGATCATGGGCTGACATTGCGGATCACATTGGCGGTTTCCGCCACAAGGACGAAATTAGGGACCACTACCTGAAGGTCTACGTCGACTCGCCCAGGTTTCCGCTGCCGAAACGCTGCAGTCCAGGCGACAATGAGCTCGCAAACGAGATCTCCAGGGAGGACTTCCAGGCCAAGAAGAAGCGCAGGATAGAGGAGCGCAAAGACGCCGCGAAGAATGCGCCCACATTACAACCCAAGACGAAGCCGACCGCCTCCGTACCAGCATGTCACGAAATTCAAGGATACATGCCTGGTCGTTTGGAGTTCGAGACAGAATACGCAAACGAGGCGGAAGAAGCGGTACAGCTCATGCAATTCGATCCAGGCGATGGCCTCAACCCTAGAACTGGTGATCTTGAGCCGGAGATGGAGCTGAAGTTGACGGTCATGGACATCTACAACTGCCGCCTTACCCAGCGTGTCGACAGGAAAAAGGTCATTTTTGAGCACAACCTGCTGGAATACCGCGAAAACACAAAGGTCGAAAAGAAGAGAAGTAAGGAGGAGAGGGATCTGCTCAACAAGGCCAAGCCTTTTGCAAGGATGATGAACCACGACGACTTTGAGAGCTTATGCCAGGGTCTTATTGACGAGCTCAACCTCCGACAGGCTATTACCCAGCTTCAAGAATGGAGGAGTCTGCGCATTGGTGACCTTCGAAGCGGAGAGAAGTTCGAGACTGAGAAGGCGCAGAGGGCACAGAAAGCGATACCAATGGGCTCAATGGACAGAGAGCGCATGGCGTCGGCCCAAAGGTCCAAGGCGGCCGCTGTGCCCGACCCCCCAAGCGGAGCCGCACTCCTTGTCCAGCCCGAGCTGCCAATACGGACAGCACCGCCATCCAATGGCACCAACGGCGCGGACGCGAAAAGCGAGCCTCAAACCAACGGCAACGTCAACGGGGCCTCAACAAATGGCACCGTCATTGTGGCAAACGGAACGGGCCCGTCAGGTCCCGTCACGCGGCAGAAGTACATGGCACAGGCTCTGCCAGGCGTCACACCCCTTACCCTTGCACAAGAGGCCGCACCAGACTTGCACCTGCTCACGCCTGAGGAAGCCAAGCTCTGCGAGGTGGTGCGGCTGCAGCCCAAGCCATACCTGATGATCAAGGAGCAGATTCTCAAGGAGGCCCTCAAGAGCAACGGTACACTGAAGAAGAAGCAGGCCAAGGAGATCTGTAGGCTGGACTCGCAGAAGGGTGGGCGCATTTTTGAGTTTTTCATCAACGCTGGCTGGGTTGGCAGGGCATAGTATGCTGCAAAGTAAGCAACCAGCGCAGATGCTGGGTCTGGCTTGGGCTCTGGCTCAAGATGCGATGTCCTTACCTCAACTGACTTGACTTTGGAGTATCATCAAAAGGGGGCGGTGGGTCTGTTTTTTTAGGGGAGTAGGGGAACATATTTTAGTTTGAAGTGTATCAAGATACCAATCTACGAGCGCAACTCTTTGCCTCCAATTCTCACAGCGGACGTAGCGTTACAAAGTTCATGTAGCTTTTGTTGGATAGATGTGTCCGCGGTTCACTGCTTCAGGTTTTGCATCAACGGTGAAGGGTGAGGCCCAAATCGAGCGAAGACAGACCGAAACTTGACTCATGGTTCCAAGACACACTAAAATATGGCTTCAACCTCACTTCGACGCGAACGCGTGCCAAGCTGAAGCTATGTTGGTCTATTGAAGCTTCAGGATCAACTTGATGGAGAACATTAGGTAATCCGAACCGTAGGCACCGACACCGGGGGACGCTCGTTCTGCTGCCTGCGTGGATCATCCCATGTTTGCTGATCGAGAGGGAAGGGACCCATAACATTGCAATTTCAGGTTGCATCGACCCGGGCCTCCAGGGGGCACTTTAACGGACATAAGGCCTTTCTTCAGCAAACTTCAGAGCTTTGGCCACTGCATATTCGTGAAGCGCAGTTCACTCAGTGATGGCCCCATGGTGAATATCACGAGGTCGTCTAAGCACAGAGAATTTCCGTATGTGGTTGAAATAAAGATTAAATGTCGACCGGGTATATTTTACGCCCCAAAGTGTGTTTTTAAGGTTAAGTTACAAGAATTAATTACAGGTAAAATTTAAGATTTTTATTTTCTCCTCCCGAGAAACTCTAGGTGGGAAAATGGAGACCGTAAGATCCTAACCCCAGTGGTGGACTTGTCTTCTTCAAACAGCTCTTGGCATGATCTTGCTTAGAGCATAACGGCACCGACGATGCCAGCAGCAGCAGCCGCAGCGGCGACGAACAGGCCAGTCTCCTTGGGCGCGGCGGCAGGGACAGCGGTGGTCGAGGCAGCGCTGCCAGACGCACCAGAACCAGACGCGGACGCAGAAGATCCAGCGGTACCAGTCGCAGTAGCACCAGAAGCGCCGCTGCCGCTGGACGTAGCCGTAACCAAGCCCGTAGCAGTCGCCGACGCCGACGCCGTGCCGTCCTCGGAGGTGATGACCGCGGCCGCGCTCGTGCAGATGGCGTCGCCGTACTCGGCGAGGATGCTGGAGAACTGGGGCACGTCGGAGCAGGCCTGGTAGAGGGAGCGGATCTCGGTGATGTGGGCGTCCTGCCAGCTCTGGAGGGCGGAGGAGTAGGAGGTGATGAGGGCGCCGGCGGAGCCGGTGATGGAGGGGAACTGGCACGGGTCGGTGATGGTGGGGACGTCGACGTCGGTGTAGGTGGCGAGGGCGGTGGGCAGCTCGGGGAAGTCGTCGACGACGGTGGAGTGCGCGGCGTAGGCGGACAGGCAGGCGGCTTCGTCGCGGGCGGCGAGCTGGGCCTCGGCGCGGCGGAAGGCGTGCGGGAGAGTGCCGGACAGGTCGCGGACGGCGAGGACGGCGGCCGGGAGGGTGGCGGCGAGGAGGAGCTTGGACTGCATTGTGGCGGTTGGTGTTGGTGTTGGTGGTGAAGGGGTGTGTGAGCGGGTGAAGCTGGTGAGACTGGTTAAAGTCTTTTTGTGGGATTATACGGCAGCTTGGCTTTGGGGCTGGAGAGAGAAGAAACAACAGGAAGAGGTGGACAATGGGGGGCGGGATGTGTTCAGCTCTTTAATATCATGTCACCGGCTGGATTCATGTAGACACCCTTGTTCGACGATTACTCGATTCGATATGGCTCAGATGGGGTGTGGTGTGTGACTGAGTGCCCCAGAGAATCATTCACTGGGTCTGACTAGGCGACCTACCCACGGATACAGAAAAAATACAGACATCGTCAGGCAGGCCAAGCGAATAGGAAAGGGAGCCAAGCCAACCAAGACAGTCGGGCAATCTCGTTTGCCCCCCTGAGTTGGCGCCGAGTGTGCTGTGTGTGCCTGCTGCCTGCTCTGGCCGGGCGAACGATGCAATGATCGCCCGCGCCCGGTACCGTGGGTCCGCGAAGGGATGATGGGTCGACGGGAGAGAGCATATTCGTACCTCCCGTCGAGAATTGGACCGAACTGGACTTTTGTCTTGTGCCTGGGACAGGGGTCTGTTGGACGCTAAGCTACGGCGAGGATGTGAGAAATTTGGGAGTGGTGGTTATTCGGAAGATAATGCACAGCGGCACGGGAAAGGGGTAAAGAAGAAGTAGCAGCAGCAGCTGTCATTCACTGCTTTGCCGCTTGGGATCTCAAAACTGTGCAGTGCAGTGTGACGGTATCTCACATGTATCTCGTCCTCTCTCTACAGCCTATGATGGATCGCGTCCCCTATCGCTCACCCGAAAAGTGGGAAATATCCAGTAGGATGGTCTGGGCGCGTCGTGGGTTTCGCGATGTGGTGCGGTCCAGCTGTTCGGCCGCGAAAAGGGCGAGCTTTTTTGCGCTGGCAAAGTTCTGTTGATTCAGTGATTCTGCTGTGTCTGGCTGTCTGTCAGAGATACGGACAGGGATGAACTGCAAAAGTCCTTTTTTGTCGGCGACCAGAAGGACATCACATCCCTGCTGAGCATCCTCAGGTTGAGTGTGGCTCCGCCGTTCGCGTGATGCCGCGCGACCATTTAACCAGTAAAAAGCTCCGACGAGGGAGATTGCGAGGACCGCTTTTCAAACGTGGATTTTTTTGATGGTAGTCTGCACTATGATTTGTTGATGGTTGAGAAATATGGGACGGAAGTGGTTTTTGCTGGCTTTGAAGGATTCGCGCAGGTCTTGGGTTACCCCAGTTTCCTGCTCCTACTGGAGAGAGGCAGCAGAATAACGTATGGAGGTGACGAAAGTCAAGAACCGCATCGTGAGGCTAAGTTGCGAAGGAATCGAAACAGTGCTTGGCATACACGAAGTGCCTTTGTTGCAAACAGGAGCGATATGTTCCATTGTCTGCCTCTACCCGTAGTGCATTCTCGAATCTCCCGGAGCCGGGATATCCCATCTCACGTCCAAGCGGCCGATGTCGTCCTGCAGGCAGCTAAGCGGCACGGTACTTTTCCCATTTAACTTGTGCCATCCGAAGAACCGAATATTTCAGCTAGCCTACCAAACTTTTGCCTTCTTTTGCTATTATTTTTTCTAGCCATGGTTTTCAGCTCCCCACGTCGTGAGTAACGGCTCCAACGGCATTTCCTACGTTACACTGGTTTACATCCTAGACACAGCCTCGATGCATTACACACCGCGTCGCGCTAGTGCTGACGGCGCCAGACGCCGTCTTGCCTGTTATTCGGAGCCTGTCCCGCTGCAGGGCTTGGCGTTTGCCCCCTCCCGCCTCTGTGTACTGTGTCAGCCTGAGATTGGCAGCTGTCTTTGCTTGAAGCGTGACGAAGTGGTTCCGGAAGGAATGCGCTGCGGTGGGCGCTGACGTTGCTTTACATTGTTGGCATGTTCGGCGAGTTGAAGATGTGCAGGTCAGGGTGGGGAGGACAATAAGGATCTTACCTCGTGCAGCTAGCGACTGTCGACTTTTGGTAAGTCGTAGTTTTCTACGTTGTATGAGGCATGTAAGTGAGATTGAGAATCCCCATCTGAGGTGGGTTGGTAAATTCCAACGGCGGGAGTCTATCTCGATCCGGCTCCGGGACTTTTGCCTTTCAATAGAACTTCGGCGTCCCTTTCGAAGATGGACATGATCTGCAATCCCGAGTCATTCTGTAAACAATTCTCGGGATAATAAGGCCAGCTGAAAGAAGGTTATTCAAACTTGCCTTCGGAGGACATCCGCAGCGTCTAGCTCGTCTTCAGCCCAAGCCCGAAGGAACAACAGACCGTAGCATCAAAACCCTAAATTGCCCCGAACCTCAAACCAAAGTCATTCTCCTCAACTCAAAATCAAGCCCAGTCTCTCTTGTGAGGATGGCAGTGTCCAGAAGCAGCCAAGTCCCTCCCAAACACCGAAGCTCCAATAAGCAGCCCGCGCGGCGTAAGCCACCGGCTCAGCCATTCGGCGCCCGGTCGTCGGTAGGGCTGACGTGCGTTTTCTAAATCCAACCGTCTTCATTCGGTCCAACGGTGCATGTGTGTCGGCACAAAGAAGTTGTGGAAAGCCATATTTGGCAGCTCGTGCTGATGCTGACTTCGCCTCCATGCAGAGGCTACGTCAAAGGATTCCCCGCGGGGTATCTTGGGGAGGAGGCTCTTTGACGGATGGTTGTTTATAAATGTGGTTTCTGCCTGTGGGCCGTTGCTGTTTTTTAGAGAGTGTGCTGTCGAAATACGTCTTTCAAATATTGAAGAAATATCAGCATGAAGAGCGTACTCACATCCATCATTGCCCTTTCGGGGTTATTTGTATCCTTGGCAGATGCACATGTCGAAATTTCGTATCCGGGATGGAGGGGGAACAATATCATTACAAATGAGACGTTCCCGTTCGGGATGCAATGGATGTATCCATGTGAGTTTTCCTAAACACTTCGCCTGCGTGATCAAGTCCAATGTCTAGACATCTGACATGGCATCAAACAGGTGGCGGCCTCAACGTAACCCAGAACCGAACCCACTGGCCTCTCGAAGGCGGTGCCATCGCCGTCCAGCCCGGCTACAACAGCGGCCACCAGAGCGCCCTCATGTACGCCAACATCGGCTTGGGTGAAGTGCCATCAAACTTCACCACAGTCATGGTTCCGATGTTCCACCTCACCGGTCCCACGAACGAGGCCTACGACGGCACAGTCTGTCTGCCGCATGTCCCTCTTCCGAAAAACGTGGAGCCGAAGGAGGGCGATTTGGCGACGATACAGGTCGTTCAGGCAGCGAGGCATGGTGGTGCTCTTTTCAGCGTACGTCCTCTCCAGGTGCTATAGATGATGCCGGATAGCCTTGCTAACTGGAAATCAGTGCGTCGACATCATTTTCACAGGCGATGAGTCCAAGATTGCCCCAGTGAACGAAAGCAACTGCTTCAACTCGTCGGGTCTGAGCATCCAAGCTGCGAGTATCGCGATAAACGAAAACTCAATTACGGACCCGTCTCCTACGGTCGTTTCCACTCCTTCTCCTACGAACGCTGCAATCCGCATGGTGGCGCCGGTGTCGGGCTTGATTGCTGTATTGTTGCTTCTGGTATAGGATAATTTTGATATGCGAGCGGATATATCCAGCTAACCAGGCAGACTGCGATTCTCCTATCTATGTAGTAGCCATAAATACTACTATTATTCAGGTTACCATTATTCTTATTCTTATCGAATATCGTCGTCGTCGCCGTCGTCGTTGTCTTCGTTGGTGTCGTTGGTATCGTCATCATCATCATTGTTGTTATCATTGTCGTCGTTCTTGTCGCCGTCGTGACTATTATCATTCATCGTTGCTATTAAAATGATTATTACTACTATCCTCTTATCCGATCCGTCCGGATACCAAAATTCATAGATTCAATTCACTGAGGTGTTGGTAGTCAGTTAAGTAGGGACGGCAAGAACTCCAGGGGCATTAGGGAGGACAGGGGTATCCAGCCAGTGAAAGGGAATCTTGTCAGCCACACATGCAATCGGTCACGATTTTGCCGAGAGCGGAATCTGACAGAAGAGTGCAGCCTGATCCTCCAACGCGTGACTGCCTAATATCACGAACCCAGAAACACATTACTCGACACGTTCCCCAGTGTCAACCAAATCACGAACAATATGTCGTCTGTATACACTTCGCTGAAGGCCTCGCGTCGGGAAATTCGTCTCATTTCGATCCATTCAGACTTGCACAAGCCTGACAAGATTGGTCTGCCCGAAGACAGCATTCCTGATGGAATTCTTGTGTGCACTATGAAAACGGTATCTCTGAAAGATTGGACCCCTGGCTATGCCGCCTTCCGAGCCAAGGCAATCGACTGGTCCTACTCGCCTACCACTCTCTATGAGAAGTGGGAACATTTCTCGCGCGAGAATGCTGGATGTACAGATGACGACAGAACCACTCCTGATAGATTCGTGTGGGGAGACTACGAGACCATCAGCTACACATGGGAGAATGGATCGAACATACAGCACACTATCTGCGTCAACGACAGGCCATTAGTCGTTCAAGATAATCTCTATCAGGCACTGCAAGAGTTCCGGAGAGGTAGAGACTTTGTGGAAGGCCGAACACGAATGCTCTGGGCCGATGCGATCTGTATCAATCAGGATGACCTCGACGAGCGAGCTACCGAGGTCAAAAGAATGAACGAGATTTTCAGCACTGCGATCAAGTCAACGGTCTGGCTCGGCCAGTCCCTCGACCTCAAAGGCGTAGATACCGAAGTCTACTTTGACCTCATCGACCGTCTCATTCTCTGCTCATTGACATTCACAAATGACTCGTCAACTGACGACCCACAACCAACGTCAACTGGGATCGCCTCATCTGAAGCTGGATCGCCGGATGAGCATGGCCCAGAAGACCAAGATAGCCGCACATTGTCGGGAGAGGCTCTTGCTGTGCTCTCTCGGTTCGATCCTGCAGAGCGCCCTCCAACCTCCGCCCTCGGGAAGCTGTCCGCCAACGAACGCCTACTAGTCCTGCTATTTCCAATATTTCGCCTCGATTATTGGACTCGGGTTTGGATTATCCAGGAACTCACTATCAGCTCTAGCCGAACGGTCGTACGAGCAGGGTTCTCGGAGATCTTGTTCTGGCGCTTGTCTTGGTTCGCCGAATATTTTGTCCAAGCTACTGCATTCGACCCAACATGGTCACCTGATGTAGCATATTCGGGGACCATCATGAATACGCTTTTTCTACTGAAAACCATCTTTGAAATTCTATTTCAACTTCAAACTGATGAGTGGAAGGCGGAACCTGAATACACTTTGATTATACAAGGCCTCATGTCTCGATCATCTCTTCCTCTGGATAAGCTGTACGGAGTCATAGGCTTGTTGCGGCCTGCTACGTATATCGGAATTGACGTTAATTATAGGAAGACTGTCCAACAGGGTTCCATTGATGCAGCTATAGCTTTGATTCGTGCTGGGAAGAGTCTCAAGAATTTCGAAATACGCAGAGAATTTCAAAGCTTGCGGGTGCCGTCTTGGGCTGTGGACATATCAGTAGACCAAGACCTAATGTCAAGTATCGCGATGTACTTCCAGAGGAGGAGAGGTCCAGCTGATGTTGCGGAGGTGGACTGGAAGGCATTTTGGGAGCGTCAAGTTGGACTGAATGATCAAGGCATCTTGAGTCTGAGGGCCACATACCTGGACACAATTGATGGAGTCATGGCCTCTGTGTCTGTGGAGAGTGGGGACCCGAAAAACTCGTCCCAGAAGCTTGCCCCAAGAACCATTGATCATTCAATGACGGAGCCAACAAGAATTTGCCACTCCTATAGAGACGACTTCGAAATGCTCGTTCATCTGGACAATATTCTACGTCAGATTCCAAACTGGGAGGTGAATGAGTTCGAAAACAAATATCATACAGAAAGATCACCTGACGTCTTCAAACTCGGTACACTGGCAGCAAGCTTGGAGCTGGGCAGCAACGGGTCGTCTGTATCGAGCCCCTTGGAGGTTTCGGCGGGTACAGCCACGGAATTATCTTCCCTCAAGCGGTTCCTTGATGCCAGTGCCGACTTCAAGCTTTGGAAAAACAAGTTATCATCGTTCTTTCCCGGAGTTGGACAAAAGCCAGTGTCCTCAATCCCAGTATTCCAACCATCAGACTCAGCAAACCTTTTAGAAGCAGATGAATTATTGGCACTCGAGGGCATGATGCAACATGTCAACTTGTGGACACTTCCTCAAGTGCGACTGATAACCACCACGAGTGGATTTCTCGGTGTGGCTGCTCAACTTGTGAGACAGGGCGATAGGGTTTATGCGATTGAGGGCTTCGGATGCCCTGTCATCCTACGACCTATCGAGGATGCGGACACCTTCGAGTTTATTGGTGTGGCTGAAATTTGGAGCCCGGCGGTCAGTGGGAGTTGGAAGAACATGTTATTTGATTCCATTGTTAGACTACAGTGAATGTATGCTTCGCGAGGCGCTTCGGAGGATATCTAGTCATAATCTGATAGAGCCTAGATCTGTGATAATTAAAAAAGGCTCCACTTCATGGATATATGACCAGAAAGCAAACTTCTTTTACACTTGCACAACTGATAAGCCAGTAGATGACCTTGGCCCCGAAGCGTAAGTATACAACAACAAACGGGACTTGTCGTCGTGCGAATAGAAGTTGAAATCAAGATATCGTTAAGAGCCACAGTACGGTACTGTCAGAAGAAGATCCATCAGATTCTTCCGTCTGCAGGATTGATTGCGAGCTTGAGAACGTTGCATTGTTGGTTCAATATGCAGCGGAATGGGAAGTCCTAACAGCGACTCCTACCAGACCAACAGCTGCTTGAGAGGTCTCTTCGGGTGCTGCTGTGCATGTTGATAAGACTATTGTGTAGCATCGTTGCTTACTCTGCATGCCTGACGTGTTTACCTTGACCAATTCCAACTTGTCTCCCTGCAGCACACCCTAGTTCGGACACGACAGAGCGCCGATCGCTTGTGAAGCAAAACATCGCCATTGGAGAAACAAAGTTGGTTGCTTTCAGCATACTGCAGCAATTCTAAGACTGTATGCACACAGGCGGGGTTGACTGAGGAGATGGTAGGGGTCGTACCATGAATGTCACCCTCGCGGCGCGTCCGCCACAAGCTGCCGCGGGAAATCAGATCCGGTATATTTAGTGATGGGGCCCCGCAGCCTTCAGACTCGCATCTTTGCTACTTATTCATTGTCAAACGAATATCACGTCTGCAATACTTATGCCATTTTACAGGCCTACCTTCTCTGTCAGAAACGCCAATTTTTCATTCTAGATTCTGTATGCAAACATAGGTACCTATCGATCCATTTGAATTCGGCACTGGATACTGACCAGTTGTACTCGGTATTAGAACCCATCAACCATGAAGTTCGACCTTGAAGAAGCCAAGGCTCATCTCAGGGAACACGGCTGGGTGCGCGTGCCCTCAATTCTCACAACGGAAGAGGCTGCGGCTGCTCTCGATCGACTATGGAAGGTGAAGGCTGCCGCTGAGGCCCGTGGAGAAGACACATACCTTGCATTTCTCGACCCAAACCCCAGTAATGTGCGCGTTTTCTACCTGATGGAGCTTGACAAGATCTTCCGAGACCTCATCTCGCACCCAACTGCCATATCCATGGTCAAGGCAGTGCTTGGCGAGAATTTCCTTATCAGCAACTTTACTGCCAATATTGCTCGCCCCGGATCCCAGAGTATGGCTTTGCATTCCGACCAGAGCATTGTCTTCCCCGATCCGTGGCAGGACGTGTGGGCGCTGAATGTCATCTGGTGTCTGACAGACGTCAACAAGGAGAACGGCGCGACACAGTATATTCCAGGGTCTAATAAATGGGTTTACCGCAAGCAGGTGCCTGATAATGCACCTGAGATGCTGGTCCCCTTTGAGGGCAAGGCTGGCGACATCATTGTCATGGACGGCCGCGTGTGGCACACCTCGGGCAGCAACACTACCAAGGATCAGGACCGCGCTCTGTTGTTTGGCTATTACACTGCACCTTTCATGCGTCAGCAGGTCAATTGGACTGCCAAGCTGCCCAAGGAGATCCAGGATTCGTGCAGCGAGGAGCTCAGGGAGTGGCTTGGCCTCAATCCCGTTGGAAACATTGGCATGACGGGGGATCTGCGATACATGTCGGTTCAGTACCCTGAGGGCAAGACAATTGCTAGCGAGACGGTAGCCAGTGGTTGAAGTTAGAGTTATACTGGAGTCGGATTTCACAGGGCCACCGTCTCATCATCTGAGTTGATACAGCTAGACGAAATACGGGCTCAGACTATAATGAAATCGGGGTGTGATGTGATTTCCTCGCAATTCGCACGCCAAAATATTCCTCGCATGCATATAAGAAAAGCCCAACGAGAAGTCACTCTCGGCGGCTTCAAGAATTTTCAAGGGTTGCTAAATGTAAGGTATTATAGTACCTATATTCGGCTCACATACTTGATCAATACATGTAGCTAACCAAGTAAAGTTTTTCATTACTAATATTGTCTGTGTTAGTTTCATTAGGATGCTTATGGCCGGTGCAGCTGTGGTCTCCGTCGTCCCTGTCGTCCCTGTCGTCTCTTTAGTCCCTGTCGTCTGTGGCCGCCAGATTAAAAAACACTAAATACCGCACATTTGTCTTCTCAACCCAAACGTACGATAAAGACCTGGATTTCATGAGACTGATTGAACTTGTCTTAAGTCAAAGACGCCTGATAATAATCATGAATGGCTACTTAGCAATGGGAACGATGCTCGCAAGACTAGGCGATATTTATATTCCGTAGGGAAGCTTTGATTGTCTCATACAGATTTGATGACAGTCCAGCTGGAGGCGACTTAGGTGCTGCAGTATCATTACTCGCTCTTTCCTGGAAGGGAAGCGTCATTGTTTGTTGTATTGACTTGCCCAACCTCAAAGCCAACCCGCCTAAAGTCTGCGAATATGACATAGCAGATAAATTAATGGTTCAGCTTCACCGGAATTGATCTCCAGTACTCAAGGGCCTCCCTTCTGATACTATCCTCCTCCAGCCATGTTCCATTGGGGCTGACATTCACTTGCCACCCCAGGCCATCTGATCCTGGTTTCGAGTACAAACTCCACTCAGCTGCAGGCGACGCCTTGAGGGCGTTCGGATCACCGTTGACCACAAAACTGGCATAGTATCTGGCAAGTATCTTTCCGGCTTCTGGATACTGCGTGTCAGGTTCAGCCCATGCGTATGGGACGTCAGAGCCGTGAGAAATGCCAAGGTAAGGGGTGATGCTGTTATTGGTGTTCCAATGCAACTTCCAGACGGGAATATCAGCCGCAGAAAGACGAGATGCGATCTCTTGAGAGGCACTGATATAAGAAGTATCGCCGTAGACTGCGGTGAGACGTGTGAACTGCGCGGATTGGCCACGAGCATCCACGTAAGGAGAACTTGAGTAGGCTTGGGGATCAGGGTATAACCGAGAGAATGCTTCACGATCGCTGCTGTCAAGACCCGGATACAGATTGGCCAACCAACTCCAGGCTTGTTCGTCGGTGGTAAGATTTGTCGGTGCGTACATACTTCCTTCGTCGGTGATGAAGGAGGTGAGAGCTGGGACGTGATTCCACTCCCCAGATTCCCAAGTCTCTGACGGTAGACGAGGAATAATGGCAGCGCCCGAGACGGCTTGGAAGGGATGGGTTCCGTTGTACCGGTAATCAGCCAGTAGCGCCGTAGATGTTTGCTCAATGAGATCCACATCGACTTGTCTCAAACAGGCTAACAGGTCCTCGGCAACGCCGTCATCCTGGCATCCTACTCTTTCAAGGAACTGCTCGTACTGCTTGACAATAATGGGCTCAGAAGCATTTGGGAAAGATCGTCCAGTTGGGCCACCAGACTGGAAGATGGCTTGATGGAAAAGCTTCTCGCCCTCAGCGAAGGGGTTTTGGTAGTGGAAACCGACTGAGTGGGCACCGGCGGACTTTCCACCCAGCGTGACACGATCAAGGTCTCCGCCGAATGATGAGATGTACTTGTGGACAAAGCGAAGAAGCTGGTGTTGGTCTTGCAAGCCCAAGTTCACCAAGTCGAGATCTGCAAGGAGAGGTGATGCGAGAAACCCGAGAGCAGCAAGCTGGATTGACAAGAATGTCAGCTAACGAGAGAGTAGATGTAAGTGGCAACAGAGTGAACCAACCCTGTAGTTGAACGTGACGACCATCACAGGTTCAGGTGATGAGGCTACAAATGACGCGCCATCAAATATAATACCAGCTCCATTGCGGAACAGACCCTGGCACAGATTAGCTTAAGTCCATTGCATAGGGGGGGGGGGGGTAGTTATCTAGAACGTACGCCATGGATCCAAATCAAAACAGGCAGCTTCTCCTCGATGCTAACCCCAGCTGGTCTGTAAACATTGAGGTTCAGACAGTCCTCGCCGTACTCCAAATCAGTCTTGATGTAGGTCACCAGATTCGAATTCCCCGGCTCTTGAATGCAGACTTTACCATAGACCTTAGCATCGCGAGTCCCATTGTAAGCCGGCGGCCAACCTGTAACCGAGAAGCGCAGGTCACCAATTGGTTGAGTCGCGTAGTCAATACCGTACCAAGCATGAACCGGCTTTGAGAGGGGGTATCCCGAAGTCGTAGAGTTCAGTGTTGTGCCGGTAAATGAGCCATATGAGGGAATTGAGACGGTGAGCGTCTCATTGAGGGGCAGTGGGCTGGCACGGGAAGCAGTAGCCAAGAGGAGAGAGGCGAAGAGGTTGGCGCCGTGCCAAGAGCTCCCAACAGAGGGCAACCAAACCATGACTTTCCGAATCAACGGTCAAGCGTAGCACTATTCCCAGACCGCAAACGAAGAAGAAGAGACTGGAAAATCTACAAAGTCACAGACTCGACAATTATTTATTCCGCTTAAGGAGTCGGCAGATAACTAGCCGGTGCCGATCAAATACCGGTAATAACCCCTCATACTGTCATGTTACCCTGGCAAGTCCCCCACCGAGACGATAAGAGTCCCCGCTAAGCAATTAATGGTGCAAGAGTAGTTTGAATGACGAGATTCGTGCCTTGGAATGGCGAACAGCCAAGAACTGTCGGTGGTGGATAAATTGGATTGGATCATGTCGACAAATATTGTAAAGCCAAGAATGATTATGTAGAAGGCGCATTTGAGTTAAGTACCTGCAGTAGTTTGGCCAACTGCCGCCAATGAGGAACGCCGCTCACAACAGTTGTATTGATTTGGTGTCCACAGGCTTCATTGTATGCTCCTGAGGTCGCACGACACTTCGAATGGACTTGTCTCCTGTTATCTCGAAGTCGTTGTGATTTTCGTACCGTGTTCGTGTTGATGCAGCAATATTGCTCTCATAACATTCTCCGGGTCACGCGGGGAACACGCCAAGGAAGCCGAGTGGGGAACTGGTCGGGGAAAGTGCGACGCTTGAACCTAGTCGTCGGCGCCGGTGCCGGTACCGGGCTGGAAGACGGGGCGTCTCGGTTCATCCCCCAGCGAAGGCTTTTACTGCAATCCAGAGCGGTCAGATTGAGCTTTCGCTGTATCAATCATGCAATGTGGCGAATGGGTCTTCTCTATTCAACACGGTCATTCAAGTAGGCCATATAAACGGGCAGCCTACTCCGCGGCTACCACGATTGCAGTTAAAGTACTCTTGGTAGATCGCTTCCATGTATCATCTTGTTCACGTCAATCCAGCATAAATCGGACACTGGGCAGAAGAATGACTTGCTTGTTTGCGCTTCCGAGCCTTCCAAAGGAATGTTATAGTACAGAACATGTTCAACGCCTTATTTGTGACCCTTTTAGTTCCTCGTACAATCATCAAATCGTCGCCCAACTTTACCTACATCCAAATAAACATGGATGTAAACAAGGTTACGAAGACGACGCAGGACCCTGCTTGGATCAAGGATGCGGCGTTCTTTCCGTTGCCGCCATTACCGCCATTATTACCGTTGTTTCCGTTACCATTATTTCCCCCGTTGTTGCCGCCGCCACCTCCTCCTCCATTACCGCCGTCCTTGGCCATGTTCAATGTGAAGAACGTGCCGCCAATTGGGCGCTTGAGACCGGCCATCTTTCGGAAGGACGTCAACTTGATAGTGTCAGTGGGTGACATCCATGATTATGAAGTATCAGGGAGGTTCTTCTCACGTTGAAGTTTTTGCGGTCCTTCATATCCATACCGACCATATCAAATCCCATCCTGTTCATCTTCTCGGGCTGGACGTAGAGCAGATAGATATATCGATGCATGCCACTGCCGGACTTTGGCTCCGGCGGCATGTATTCGGTGAACGCTGCTGATGAATTCTTCAAAATCATTGAAGAGTTGAGTACCGCCGACTTGGTCTGTTCGACAGTAAAGTTTCCAGCCAAGTAGTGCTTGATGTTTCGCTCGCTCGGGTTCTCACGCGAGGGCGAGTCAGGTCCAATCTAGTTCGCTAACGTCAGTCAAACCATTCCGCATCAGCTCCACGAAACAACCAAAACTTACCATCAAGACGATGAACCGAGAGTTCCTGGTCACATTTTGTGCCATGCTGATGTTTTCCACACTGAACTCAAAGGGCATCTTGACCTCCTTCATTTTTAGCTTGGAACCAGGCATCATCAATGCCTTATCACCATCGCTGGCCATGTATCCTGCGTAGAAGGAGACCATGGGGTCAAATGATCCCATCACTTCTGGGACGATACCGCTCTCCATGAATGCCTGGTGGAACTCGGATGTCGACATGCTCCTCGGCGGCATATCGCCATGGGCAACATTAGCGGCTGCGAGTGGGGCGAACAACGCCGCGATACTGAGAATGGCCTTCATGTTGGTGTCTGGTGGTAGGTTGCCGAATGCGTCGCGGAAAGAATGGCGTCCTGCACCTAATGATATACAAGAGGGTTGAGGGCGAAAGTGACAGCAGGGCGAATCGGACACATTGACGAGTACACGACGCAAGGTTGGGCCTAAGGAAGTAGATGATCTTTATGTTCTGCCCAACTCATCACTTTACCACCAACACCCTAGTATTGGGGCATCACGGGCCAAACGTTAGACTGAAATCCTGGATCTTGAGCTGCACCAAATTGCTCAACATGCTCTGGCGATGAGACAGAAACAGTGAGGCTATTAAGCTTCGCGACAGTGCTCAAAGAGGCCGGACGTGCGCGGGGTACCGCAGACTTTTGAGCTCAAAGTTTCAGGAACATGCACGTCCCGCACCACCATTGGACCTCCTCGTTGGCGGACTGGGAACAAGCTTTTGAAGAGCGGGTGGGATGTCACTCCTTATCCTTGCAGCATTGAAAATGCGTTGCGAAATGGTTAGAGTGCTCAGAGAAACATCCTGTCACGATCGCGCACACGCAGCATGTCGGCCCATGGGAAGCTCGCAACCTTCAAATTTGTTTCCTTGCAATCATATTTCAGTGTTTCTGAGTGGCTGTCATCGACTTTCGCATGAAAGACCCTATGGTGAGAACAGACTTGGCCATATCTTGAGCTATCGTGTGCCTCCAGACGAATTAACGGACAGATAGACCCTTTCCTAGGGACCAAGGGTCGTTTATGCCGCGTACGCCAATGATATCATGACTTGAAAGTTGAATCCGTCCTGGTCTTAATTGTACAAATAATAGCTTCATAGCCCTTATCTTGCCCAACAAGCGGGAAACACGTCGCAATGCTTCGGAGAGGGCTCCGACTCAAAGCTTTGAGCCGCATGGTCACATTCGGAGATTTACTCCCGCCAAAGTGCGGCGACTTCCGAGCATCAGGCGGGGCAAGAGAAACAAGTTCACGGCTCGGGGGCCTCCGAACTAGGACAAAGCTTCGATAGGACCAGGTGAACGTAGCTGTGGTCATTCGACAAGGTATATGCTTGACGCGACAACCCCAATCTTCACGAGCCGGAATGTTTCCCACGTGCCCGGGTCGCTTTATCAACCCGACTAACAACCCAGGGCCAGTTGTTCACCACATTTCCCTCTAGATTGAGAAATGGACGCCGAAGGTACTTGTTTGCTGCTGGATTAGGGATGCTAGGCGTATTGGATGCCAAGGTCAGAAAGGCGCCGTTTCAGGGCGCCAAGAAACTCAGAGGCAAAAATAGAGTTCGAAGATCATCCACAACCCTGTTCCAGTGCAAGACTACGCGAGAGGTGACTTTGAATGGAAACAATAAACGTCTTCCTTCCTCTCTCAATTGGTTTGAGACTGTTGACAATTCACCTGTTCGGGTCAGTGATCGGCATCTACGGGGTTGCATCGTAAGGTTGCTCGTTTCAGCGAATCGCAAACGGATGCGACTGCGCTGATGTTTTCGAGCTCGCAACCACCAGACAGGGAAGGGATCCTGGCGCGGATTCATGTGGACAGTGGGCCTGTTTCATGCTTCATGGTGAATTGAGGTTTGCACCGGCAGGGTGTTGGGCGGTTGAAGATATGCATAGGATCCCAATAGAAGGATCAGGAGATGAGATGGCAAAGAAACGAACACAGAGGCATGGAAATGTAAACACCAGGAATGATACTGTGAACAGCTAGATGCAGTTCTCGAACAGGGATTCGAAGTTCTAGTGATCTCCATATGAGATCCATTATGCAACGGTGGTTGAACCTTCTTTCATTTCTTCTCTTTGAAGTTTTGAAAGTGGCCGACGAGGCTTCAATTGTATAGTCAAAGCCTCGTATTCTCTATCAATATTTCCTCTTTATTCCAACGAAGAAATAACTACCGTGTCTAGAATCCCATATCGGATTATTGTCCAAGAAACCTTGACTGTTCCACGTCGTTCGAGCCACACGATCAAAAGTATCGACGACGGACACCGGCAACTTAGGTAGTTAAAGATCTGCTGTAGTATTACAGTTCCAACGACAGGGATTGAGTTAATGTTATAGTTACTATGGAGGAGCTCATCCCGAATTGCATCGGATATACGACGGTTTTCCGACTGATATCAAAGCGCTACGCGGCTGCAGCTGTAATATCAGACGGGATGTCATCGCTGAGAACGCAGCCAGAGAGTTTGAAGAGTGAAGTTAATTGCCAATCAATAAGGTCGAAGACTGTTTGCTTGGTAATGTGCATGGCCTCTCAATCTCTTTCTCCGTGGACTTTTACACTGTTATTTTCCTGGTTCCCTCATACTGATTCCTGCATTAGGACAAGCCGGACACGAAAATTTCGCATACGGCGCAAGTCATGCCATTGTCCATGGAAATGGTGAAGATGGCCAAAGTAAAAATCATAAACGGGCGCAATCCTGCGATCTCATGGCCGACGTAGGGTGCAAGTAAAATACACAAACGATGAGTTGGACTGGTTACAGAAGCTCTAACACAGGTATTCTATGAGATCTGACTACGGAGAAACGCTCTGTGGCTGTGAAATGTGCCACAGCCTCGCAGAAGGCGGAATATCACATGCCGAACACACAAGACAATGGCCCCCGCCCAAACTGACCCGGTTCTCTGGGCACGGTCAATATTGCCCATTTATGTCGGGGAATATCGGTGTTTGCCCGATATTCCGATACGCAACGGCCAGTGTACCGAAATGCCGTGCATACCAGATCAGGAAAGGCTTGAACGCCTCGGTGTCCCCACTTATTCGGCCCCCGCTTCGGTGCCGGGCCACCGGTGAGTCGCCCGCGAGCCTCCGTCCACCAGCAAATCCGCTCCGTTGACATACGTGGCATCCGGGCCCGCAAAAAAGGCAACAGCACCGGCAATGTCGTCAGGCGTACCGATACGGCCAAGAGGAACGCCTTTGATTATGCCCTCCAACATCGATCCCGCGGCTGACTGCATCACCTCGGCGATCATTGGGGTCATGGTGACACCGGGGCTGACGGTGTTGATCCGATTTCCTTGACGGCCCCAAGCAATTGCAGCATGGCGAACGCGAACTATGCAGCCTCTTTTTGAAATGGAGTAAGCGTCGCCTGGGTCTCCGGCAAGGTTGATGTCTGCATGGTTGAGGAGTTCGGTAGCAGAGGCAGTTGCGAAGTGGTCGTCCAGAGCGGAGTTCGGCTTCTTCATGTGACCTGCCATGGAGGCTATCACAGTCAAAGAGCCGCCCGGAGCCATCAATGGCTGAAATGAGTCTATGATGAAGGCAACGCCAAGGAGATTCGTGTTGTAAATCAACTCGGCGTTATTGGCTGCGTTGGACACACCCGCTGTCACCACAACAGTCTGAATGGGACCTAGCTTGGCTGCAGCCTCCGTGAAAGATGCTACAAATTCTTTTTTCGAAACGTCGATTGACTGGGCCGTAAATGAGTGACCGGCAGAGCGGAGCGAGTCTTCGGCGTTTGAGAGGGTTGCAGGGGAAAAGTCGGAAATAAGGATGTGGTGGGACGGACCGAGCCGACGGGCAATGGCAACGCCCATGCTGCCGGCGCCAATGACGGCAAGAACGGGGCGGTTTGGAGACATGATGGGAGAGAAGAGCGTAAATTGAGAGGAAGCGAAGATTGTTTGCAGAACTTTCTGGTCGCAAGTGTCGATTGATGGTGTTAAAAACGACGAAGCTCGCGTTATCAGTCTTCGAATCTCGTTTTCGGCTCGGTTGAGTAGTCGAAGACCAAATTGCCAAGATATGAACCATCGAATCAAAAGTTATCGCATTCGGTTTCGTACCTCGTTCAGATCGGAAATCAGGATGCTACGCTGAGTTGGTGAAAAGTGGTCCCCTGCATGAACGTGGCTTAGACCAATCCAAGTCATCTTCCACGTTGGTGTCAAGCTCTCGCAAGTTCCTGTTACTAATTATCAGCTTTGGAAACAGTCCCATGCACGAAAAGGTAAGAATGTTCACATCAGACTTACTGTGGGGTGAGACCAATCAACTTACTGCTAGAGATCGCAACTCTGCGAAGTATCATCTCAAGTTGCCTGTTATTGGATGTTGTTTTGCTTAGTTGAACTATCTTAAACTTTCTGATGGGGTTGCTGAAATGATTCGGAAACAACACTCACATATCAACTCCGCTTGATTGAATGTAGCGTGACTCGGCAAGTTAATCAAATCCGTAAATGATTTTGGAATAAGCACTAGCAATGTTGGCTGAAACTCTGCTCTAGTTGTCTCAGAGGTTACGTTATCAATACAGACAACATAGTTAATGAATCAAAACTATCTCAGCGAAGCTTCGACTGCGAACATATGATCGGAGAAATCGCCAAATATAGAATTCTCGTGGTATCTTATGCAAGGCCATGCAGAAGTTACTTGGCAATGGAAGAGCTAAGCGCCGGCATCTTCCCTTTCCACTCGTCCGCCTTGCCTTCCGCTGCATCAACAAGCCACTTTGCTAAGGCTCCTCTTTTCATCGAAGATGTCCATCCAGACTCTCCGATCCATCCGGTGAAGAGTTGGTCCTGTCTGTCTTTCTCCCAGCTCTCGGGATCCGAGTCCCCTGGAATTTGAGCGATCCGAAAGACCGTCCAGTCCAGACCCTCGGCCTCGGTCTCAAACAACTTCGCAAGATTCAGCATGTTGTTGTAGATTGGGCCTGCAAAGAGCGACATGAAGATGGTTACCATCGTCTGAAACATGGTCCAATGGTCTTCGGGTCGTTTGATGGACAATGTCCCCATGGCGAAAATTCGCTTGACTCCGTGCTTTCTCATTGCAGGAAAGACAGATGAGCGGTAAATATCTGCAAAGAGCGACGGATCGATCTTCGTATTCTTGATGTCGGGCCCCAAAAGCGAAATGACAATGGCGCTCTCTGACATTGCAGAAGACAAGGCATCCGAATCGCTCATCTCTCCCTTTACAACCTTTAGTCTCTTGTCAGCGCAAGTCAAAAAGATTGTGATTACAGCGGTAGAAACATTGACCAAGGGCCTGAATTACCTGGATGAGTGGGTTCGAGGCTAAGTCATGAGGAATCTTCGCAGGGTTCCTCGCAAAGACCACAGTCGCATGGTTTCGAAAGACGAGTTCCCGAAGCAGACAAATGCCCGCCGGCCCCGTGCCTCCGAGAACGAGAACTTTGCTTCCTGGCATTGCGACAGGAATGGAATGAGCTGGATGCAATGGCAAGGTGGCTCAGACTCATCAAGCGACTCTCCTACGATATAAGACACATTTTCCTCCGCATTGATCTCTGTCGCTATTCCGCAGTCCGACTTGTAAGTCACGATGGCTATCCAGCAACTGCATCAAAGTCCGCCGCCGCGCCATCGCCCAAAGTCCGGCGCGCAACTAGGTTCCCGCGCGGAAACCATTCCGGGCGGGAAACTTTTGCGCGCGGACCCAAGTCGTGCGGACCGCGCCCCGAGCGGGTCTCTTTAAGACCTAACCGTCCGAGTCCAAGGCCAGACGCGCGGAAATCCTCACCTCCTTTTTCAGCTGTTCAGCCATATCTTGTACCACGCCGCTTCCTCTTTCGGAAAATAAAGGGAAAAACGGCCGAAGGGCCTGATCAAGTCGAAAACATGCCCCGTGGCACGTCGAGCTGCTGGACGTGCCGCATACGCCACAAAAAGTGCGACGAAACGCTGCCCGTGTGCAATGTGTGTGCCGGCCTCGAGATCAGCTGCTACTCCGACCAGGAGGTTCCAGAATGGATGGATGGCGGCGCGAGGCAGCAGGCTATGGCCGAGAGGCTCAAGACGGAGGTCAGGAATGTAGCCAAGCGCCGTAGGGCTAGACGGATCTTGCAGCGCATCATCGGAGATGCGGATGACATATCTAGCGACATATTTGTATTGGATCCTCCCGCGCATATCAACTCCCGTCCGGCGCCTCGTTCGGCGGACAACGACAACGAAAGACAAGATGCACCCCGTACGACATCCCGCCGGACTGGCACGCCATCAAGATCATTCACCAATAGCCCTGGCTCTGATTACCCCATCGACCCTCTCCTACAGGAAATCACGCCGCCATCTTTGCCCAATCTCCCTACGGAACTCGAGCAAAGTTACATCATGTCTTATATCGACTACATCTTCCCTGCAGTATTCCCGTTCTACACGCCCAGCGTTCTCGAGGGTGGGCGCACGTGGTTGCTTATTCTTACCCTGGCCAACAAATCACTCTGCCACGTTGCTACTAGTCTGTCATCCTACTTCTACTCCGTGGTACCCGTCCAACAGCGGCCAGAAAGACGGGAATGCGTACCCGAGGCCGAAAACGAAGTACAGAACCAAACATGCATGGCCATGAGGAAAGCCCAGTTTGACCTGAACGAGGTCAGTAAGCACGGTGTACACGGAGATTTACTCACAAGCGCGCGGCTCTTTGATAGCATCGTACATCTGATGTGTCTCGAGGTCTCCATAGCCAGCAATGAAAACTGGCAGTTCCATTTAGACGCTGCGGTCCTTCTATTCAAGCAGATGTTGGAGTTCCCCGGAGACGTTGGGAGCCATCGGTCAAAGTGGGACGCCATGTTGGAACACATGAGACGACTAGCCCACCCCGGTATGGACAATCCGCCTCGGTGGCCAGCGTGGACAGTGGACCAGGCCGCCTTTCGCTTCTTCTCTGGTCTGTTGATTGTCCACGACATCATCTACAGCACAGGAGTCGAACAGATCCCCCGGCTCCAACCCTTTTACCCTCTCGTCCTAGCAGCCGAGGACGAGCCGAAAGAAGACCCGGATCGAAACTGTCGACTAAGGTTGGAAGACTATGTCGGCTGCCAGAACTGGGCAATGATACTCGTTGGCGAGGTGGCTGCCCTTGACGGCTGGAAGAAGACCATGCAAAAGAAAGGAGCGTTGTCATTGATGCACCTCGTCAAGAAGGGGGCGGACATCGAGCAGAGTCTGCGCGATGGCTTAAGCCGCTTGGAGACAATTGACGCAACAGCCAGGGATCATCGACCGCCATGGCTGGCCGACTCGAATCAAGCCCATGACGAGGCAGAAGCCTGCCACTTGGTCACGCAGATCTGGGCGCACGCAGGGCTGGTATACCTCCACGTGGTGCTTTCCGGATGGCAGCCAGCCAACATCGATATCGCTGACTCTGTCGCTCAAACGATTGAGTTATGTAGGAGACTAGGAACGCCACGGAGAATTCATACGCTTGCCTGGCCGTTGGTTGTAGCGGGATGCCTGGCGCAACCTGAGCAAGAGCCTGCGTTTCGAGAGTTGTTCTCACACATGGGTCCCTTGAGGTCATTTGGCTCGACAAAGCTAACAATAGATATTGTGGAAGGTGTATGGCAAAAGAGGGAAAGTATCGCGGCCGACTCTTGGGATGTTGCGGCGTGCTTGAACAGCCTCGGTCGTCGAGTGCTGCTTGGATAAGGATGTGTTGGAAGATACACGCCAATCCTGACGACGGCAGGTTGCCGGCAAGTAATTGCTCCGTGGCGAGAGTTGCCATCAAGGCGGTTACTAGAAGTCAAATTCCCAGTCTCTTAAACGGCATGATTTGTCACTAGTCATCCACCAGAAAGGCATCGACCACAGACCGACGGACGTTTCTCAAAGCATCCCACCGGCCCAGCCCCGCGGGATCGCGAGGGTACATGCAAGCAAGGAGGATCGCTGGTTTGGTTAGAGAAAAGGTATGCCTGCAATGAATAGTTGCATCCATATTACATCCGCATTGCGACGTGAACAACGCTGACGAGCGAGGTACACAGGACTTATACAATCGAGAGTTCTACAACCACGGGCGACCAGGCACCTACCGACCACGAACGATACCGCGCAAAGTCCTTCTAAAAACATTTATCGAATCTATCGATGGCGCATGTGATATCCTGGATCGAACCATCACAAAGCGCGGCCCGTATACGACTCGTACGCTTGGTTCATATCCTTGCTTCCCTTGTGGTCCAAGGGCACCATCGCGATGCTCGTAGACTCTTGCTCTTGCTTGGGATCCAACTCAGGACTGTATCGACGTCCGATAAGGGCCGTGTCGTCATCAAACTCTCCATCTCCAGCTCTGGTGTTCGCGAACTGGCCTCCGCCGCCTCCGATGTGGACATACTTGTGCTGGCCCCAAGTCTGAACCCTCTTCAGCAGGGTCAGTGGCCTTGGGACACCACCTTGGACGTTGCCGCTTTTGATATCCCGTCCCCCGGTAATCATTCCGCTGGTGGGACCCTTCGGTGCTCGGGGGTTATGTGTCTTGATGCCCATCAAGACCGATGCCAGGAGGGAGAATGCGAGGGCGATCCAGGTCGGCACAAACAGCAACCCGAGCGCAGAGGAGATGCCGATATCGTTGAAGTCTTCATTGATGGCGTCGTCTACCTTCTTGAAGATGACTGTCGCCGCGATTGATGCCGCGAGAAGACAGATTGTGGCCATCGCAGACAGGACGACACCCGCGAAGCCAGCCCTGCCGCAACGACCGCTGATGACCGAGACAATTGGAGCCAAGATGGTCAGAACGAACGCGAAGATGTACGTGACGCCAAAGAAGGAGGATGTCTTGGCATAGCTGTTCAGGGCGTCGTTGAGGTTACCGGATAAAGTCCCAGCGATCGAGGTCGCATCAAGCTTGAGGTCGCTGCGTGGGTCAAACCAGTACCCGACCAGACGCGTGGTACAGACCGTCACATCATTGATGTGCCCGCAAGATCCGAGAAGTGTCACATAGTAGACGTCGAAGATCTGAAGCGTTGCTGGGGTTGCATCTTGCCCGACGAGGTCGGCGCCCGAGACTCTCGAGAGATCTTGGAGGTACTGCGATCCGCCGAGCTTCGCTGGGATATTCAAGTTCGTAGCATCAACCTATTGAGTCGGTTAGAGCCATAGAGATCCCGAGAAACAAGCATAGGGTATCGCCCACCCGAAGGAATGAGAGTTTATCGCCAACCCCAGGCCGCGAACCTGATGCAATGATAACCACGATCAACATACCCACAACCATCGATGCCAAGATCGGCAGAAAGGTGAAGGCAGGCACCCTGCGAGTTGGTGCAACGTGTGCCATACCTGCGATACAGAGGCCAACAACACGGAATGAGTTGAATAATCGAGTTGATTTCGCGACGTATGGAATGTGGCGGGTTCAGTAAGCAGAGAACGCGGACGGTCCAGCTACAAGTACGTGAAGGTCTCCAGGCCTGCCAAGGATGAAGCAGGCAGCCCGGAGGCAGACACCAATCCCCGGAGTAACGTTTGATGGCCTCGGATCCAAGGAACCGTTAAGCGTGATGCCAAGTTGGAATCTTTGAAGTGGCGCATTCACGGGAGATGAGCGGCGGCTGATCGCGTCCGAACCAGCTCACTGGGCGCCCGTTGGAACAGTGGCACTGGCTTAGGTCTTACGTGAGCTCTCGTCTGGTGTCTTGTCTCAGTCTGTGCGGCCATGTTCTTGTCATTTTTTCACACTTCTTCATGCTTAATTCACTTATTTGGTAATCGTCCATCGTCTGAATCTGTTGGATCAATAACCGAAAATGGAATTCAGCCCAGCCCATCTTCGGATGATGATCAGGCCGGATGAAGGATCGCAACATCACCGCTTGGCAGGCAGACCTGATCTCGAAGTCATCTATGGGCGTGGTCGAAGGAAGCGCGGCAATTCCAGGAAGCTCATCATTCCGCAGCAGGGGTTCGCTCTGTCACATCTCGGACGGCGGAATAGACGTTATCCGCGTGGCACAGCATCCGACGGACGTTGGTACAAGGGGCTAGGTGACGACCGGGCACTGGGCTTAGGGCTCATGGTCCAATTGAATTCGCCCGTCAAACAGATCTCAGATGTACGAAGGATCAAGAGACTAATCTGTAGCCGCTGCATCGTCAGAATGCTATTCTGAAATTCCATCCTCTCCCCAGACGCTTAGACGCTTGGTCAGCTCAGCCCTAGTGCGACCCCTTTTTGTCTTTGACTGGTGCGGGGAGCGTGGCGTAGACTTGGCGTTGACCTTAGTCCCTGAAAGCTGTTGGTTTTGTCTTCTTGGTGTCACGATCAGTTCTGATCTGGCCCAAAATGGCTTGGGAATTTCCAAGTCGGCTCGAGGAGAGAGCTTGGCTTCAAAAGAGTGTGAAATATCACAGCTATCCCTGCGTGGCATGACGGACAACTCTTCCTGAGTCGACACCCATCACGAACACTCGAGACTCTTATGTTTGTCTGCAAACATGAAGTCCATTTTCTCGTCACTGACCGTGGCCGCTGCAGTTCTCGGCGTGCAGGCCGCGCACTTCGATGTCAATGTCGGAAAGAACAACCAGCTCAAGTTCGAGCCAGAGACACTCATTGCGAACCGTGGCGATACAATCACGTATCACTTCTTCTCCAAGGCAAGACTGCTTCATCAAATCGAGAAGAATGTGAACTTTGCTAAGATTTCCTCAGAATCATTCAGTCACACAGTCTTCATTCGATAGCCCCTGTAGTCCGCTGGCCAGCGGTGGCTTCTTCTCAGCCTTTGTACCTTCAACTTCCGATTCGGAGTGTGCGAAAACATTTTTCACAATCACAGTGAACGACACGAAGCCTATCTGGATATTCTGTGGCCAGGGCAACCACTGCCAGCAGGGTATGCTGCATAGCATCAACCCGCCCTCGTCAGGAAACACCTTTGACGCATTCCGCGACAAGGCCAAGGGTGCCGGTCCGAGCAGCTCTCCTCCCGATGGTCTGCCTGTCGGCGGCAAGCGTATCTCGCGGGTGGACGTGGGTCTCAACGGAGCTCTCACTTTCAGTCCGAATGACATCAAAGAGCCTCCGAGGACGTATGTTGAGTTCAGCTTCAACCCACGAAACCACTCAGTCACGCAGTCGTCTTTTGATAAGCCATGCGAGCCATCTGTCAACGGCTTCAGTAGTGGTCTCATCCCCACAGCTCTTAGTCCGTCCGGGGTAACCTTCAGTATTCTAGTCAACGATTCCAAGCCGTAAGACCTGATCACCTTGACGTAAAGATGCTTTCCGCTAACTACGACATAGCATCTGGTTCTACTGTGCACAAACAACCGGAACTCACTGCCAAAAGGGTATGGTCGGAGCCATCAACGCCCCAGATCAGGGCAACACACCCCAAGCTTTCACAGACCTCGCCTCCAAAGCACCTCCCAGCACCCTGCCTCCCATGGCTCCCCTCGGCGGCGTCCTCCGCGCAAACAGAACGATCCTTCCGATGGTGAATTCCGCCGTCGTCAACGTCTCCGCTCTTACAGCAGACATGATCGCCTACATCCCCAAGCCGGGTGACAACGACCAGTACATGATGGGCAAAGCCGGTGGCGGCGCAATCACGAACTGGAACTTCGGCACTAACATCAGCGACGCGGCCGTGGAACATCTGCAGCTCATCCAGTTCCTCGACAACATCCTCCTAAAGGTGCTATTCGAAGGTTACGAGAGTCTGCAGACGGGTGGCAAGTGGGCCAATGTCTACCCCGAGACCATTGTCGAGACGATCGGGACAATGGCCGCACAGGCGTGGGTGCATCGCGGCACGGCGACGGATTCGCTGCAGCGCTTTTCCAAGACGGTGTTGAAGGAGTGCGCCTACGCCATTCCCGACCTTGACATCGATGCGTTCCTGAGCACGACGCTTACGATATTGCTGTTGGAGATTGGACTGATTATTGACGCGACGGCGCTGCTGGCGCCGTCGGATCCGTGGCTCATACCGGCCCTGGCGACATCGCTCGGTGCCAAATCGCGCATGACGGCCGTTATCAACCTGATGCAGAACCATATTGCTGCGGCTGCGCCCCGCGAGGTGTCTATCCCAGCCGAGTTGGTGTACTCATATGCCATGCACCACTACGTGTCCTCGTGCCCGGACAAGTTGGCCTGGGACAAGCCATTTGCGAAGTTGGATATCAAGGGTCAGGGGTTAGACCAGGCCCAGAGGTTGATGGGCGTTGATGTGCAGTGGGAGGGCAAGCATGATGGAGACTTGTTCCTCGCCTGGCTTGGTGCGTGGGGAGAGGTTAAGTTTTCGTCCATTGCTGATGGCAAGTCGTCCGTGCCTGAAGGTTTATATGGTCATGTTTGGGCTGTTGTCACGTCGAAGAAGGATATCAAAGCCTCGGAAATTGCGGGTGCAGCGATAGCTGGGCCTGAGATGATCTGGGTCACGCAGCCTTGAATACGTTTGTCCTGACATAATTTGATATAGCGGCGGAGTACATAAAGGAAGAAATGAAGCCATCGGATAACGTGACACAGGTAGAGGGAGATCATCATTGGTGGAAGAATTTAGATGCCACATACACTATCATTACGCATTTCGTATGCATGCTCCTATCCAAGGCGCCTAATGGGTGCCAAACTAAGTGGTTTTCTAAGCGGCAGTTGTTGCGTTGCCAGCCGCCTGGTACTTGACGATGAAAGGCACCGTCGTAAACACATCCCAATCTTCCTTCTTCTCACGATCTCCGTAGATTCTGAGTGCGCTAACTCGCATCTTATACACACCAGGTTCGAGAACAGTGCCGTCGGCAAGCAGGCCGTTGAAGTACGCTCGTTGGTCAACACGCGTAACGTACGGAAGAGGCCAGCCGGCCAAGCTCCCGAGGTTCTCCTCCTTGCCATTGACAACAGACAGGACGTCGACCGCGAGTGAGGCGGTGCCCACGGTAGGTTGGATGTAAACGTTGGGAGTGGCAGACTGGTCACCACGGTCGGTACGAGGAGGGTTGGCAGGATCTGGGCGAGCGATGGTGTAGGTGCGGTTCGCGGGGACGACGCCGTTGTACTCGGCGAGGTAAGCTTGCGAGGCGGTCAGGACTGGGGTGCTGTACATGCTGCCGACCACGCCGAGGTACGGCACGTTGAGTGAGGGGGCGTCGGTGGTGCTTGTGAGGATGATGTAGCCGCTGTACACCGGCAGGAGGGTCGCGTTGAGGTTGGAAGGGGGTATGCAGGTGACGGTCAAGTCAACCGAGCCACCAGCGGGAACAGTCAGCTTTCTATGGAAGGCGTTAGTCAAGGTGAAACAGAAGTGGTGATGTCAGCGACATGACTTACTCAGAGCTGAACTGGAGGTCCGCCCACTCCTCGATGATGGGGTTGGGGAAGGCGGCCGCTCTCAGGCGGTCGGAGGTGGAAATGAAGGTGTACATGGTCACAGCCTTGCGGTGGCTGATATCGAAGACAAGGTCTGCGGATCCAGTGTTCTTGATGCTGACGGTGGCGTTGCCGACGAAGTTGTCCGTGTCATTAAAGGAGATGGAATTGACGCTGAGCTCGGCGGTGGAACGGGCTGCATCAAATGCCTGGACAATACCAGCGCCCTGTTGCGGGACGGGGGCAACGATGTCAGAGTGAGCTGTGGTGCCATCATACCAGTCGAGCTGCTTCGCGGTAGACGAGAGGAACGAGGCGAGGCGCTTGGGGTCCTTGGTACCATGAGCCTCGGCGAGCAGGGCGTAGATGGCAGCAGTCATCGGGCACGACATGCTCGTTCCCGTCATGACTCGGTAAGAGCCCAGGGCAACAGGGTAAGTAGACAGGATGTTGGCACCGGGGGCGGCGAACTGAGGGCTCGCGTCCAGTTCCCATGTCGGTCCCCAGCTGGAGAAGGTGCCCATGTAGCTGCCGCTGCTGTTGTTTTCGAGGTTCTCGAGGCGAGTCTTGGTGTTGTTGGCATTCGGGATGGAGACAGCGACAGCTCGGCCTTGGTCGAGGAGAGATAGCCACTGCGTAGACTGATAAGGCGGGACAGACGCGACGCCTAGGATGCCATCGGAGTAAACGTACTGCTCATCGCGCATGGTTCTGGCACATACGTTAGTTGATCTATCATGACCATCAGACATGCTCACACTTACGTGTTGTCGTTGGTGTAGTAGAGGATGTAATGTCCGCCCTTCGCTGCAACATTGTTGCCTTGGTCGTTAGGGTAGCAGCCGGTCGCTCGAGAGTCGGGGAACTGCAGCAGGGCGATCTTATTGCTAAGATCCGGCGTATCTTCCGGCAAAGCACTGCAGGCGTCGCCAGTCCAAAGCTGAAGGGACAGATCACCAGTCAACTCGGGAACACCAGGCAGGTAGCCAAACTCGGTCTTACTGCTTCCAGTAGAATTCGAGTCAACAGTGAAAGTGCCGGCGTTGAGAAGAGTGGGAAACAATGCGTTCGTAACGGCACCGATGCCGGCAACGCCCCGCCCTGTTGCCGGAGTTGAGGCGTAGAACATGCCGGTGCCACCATCGTTGCCCTCAGAGATGACAACAGGAACGCCGGCATCAACAATGCGGGAAGCAACAAGGCCCCAAGCGTCCTCAGCCCAACCGGAAGCACTGTTGAACTCGTCAACACATCGTCATTGATGAACAGTCGCCGGGTATGACTTACTCTCCATCAGAGCAGGAAATGATATCAGCTCCCTCCTCGAAAGCCCGGCTGAACGCAGCAATTAAAATCTCGTTGGTCCCCGAAGCAGCGCATCCCCATGCACGGTAAGCAGCCAGCTTCACTCCGGGAGCGGCACCAGTGAAGCCGTACTCATTGCCTTCGAGCTGAGCGGCGATGATTCCAGCAACGTGGGTTCCGTGGCCCACGCAGTCGTCCATGGGGTCGGCATCGGGCTGCGCAGGTCGAACGCCAGGAAGAAAATCGTCGCCGGTAAAGTCCCATCCGGCTTCGACGAGGCAGCCAGGGCCGAAACAGCCTCCGAGGGCGGGGTGCGTCCAGTCGACACCACTGTCGATAATTCCCACACGAATTCCCTTACCGGTGATGCCCTGTTCGCGCAACTTGTCGACCTGGGTCATGATGTGAGGGGAGAAAGTGTCCGTGGTCGAGTTGCCGGGAGCACCGCCCTGACGCTTTATGCGGGCGTTCGCAGTTGCGGAGCCTTGGTTAGGGGCACCGTTATCCTCGGGCAGGTCGAGCTTGATGGTCTTCACGGGCCAAACATTCTTGATGCGGGAAGAACCAGCCATCTGGCGACGGAAGAGCGCGCTATCATGGTGCGCTGCGTTGGACTCTTTGACTTGGAAAGACACACCCTTGAAGAAGCGGTAGCTCATCTCCATACGCGTGTCGGCATCGATGCCAACGGCCTTTAGCGACTCAAGGAAGCTTGAAGGGGTGTCGTTGTCGTCGGCGAACTCGACAATGTACGCGCCCTGGAGCAGCTCGCTGCGGCTCTTCGTCGTCTGGGTGTCGTCAGATTCCGCTCTCGGGAGGTGAGCCGGCGCCGGGGCATCCGCGTAGATGCGCGGGTGGAGCGGCTTGGCCGTCGCTGCGTTGGCGCCCAGGATGGCCGAAATGATCGCGTGTGAGACCCTCATCTTGACTTGATCACTCGCTCACAGGATGTAGGCTAGCGGGTGAGGAGACGAGAAGAAACAGATCGGGCGCCATTGCGGGTGCAGCCGTTGATATACACGGGTAGCCCGCACCTCGTCATGGGGGTTGTTTATCGGTTGATGGAGCAGATGACACGAGTTGGAGATGAAGAACGGCAAATACGAGCTTCGTTCGTGATCTAGCGCGCAGATCCCCGGCTTTGCAAGGGGCGGCCCCACTGTTGAAGGTGTGCCCCTCGCGTGAGCCGAGATCCCCGACCTTGGACTCTGAAGAACGATTGAACGAAGGCGTAGTTTTTTGTAGAATGGACCGAAAGAACGACTACTCGTGTATCGATCCAAGTCATGGCTCGACATATAATTCTATTGTTAGAGGTCTTCAGAACCTATTGCCTTCGATCTTTTGCTCGCAAACAATGACTCTGTTCAATGTTCTTGGGTGGGTCCTCTCAGCAAGTTTATAATGCGCAACTCTCTTGACACTCCTCCGTATTCCGAGGGTATCCATTTAAATAGAGTAAGGTAGTATTCGCCAAAGTTACCGAGCCGTCACTTTACGTGCTTGGGCAGGTGGGCAGACGGTGCATCTCCCCACGAGGCGGTTGTCATGATGCGCCCTCGAAATGAAGACTTGAGGTTTCGATTCACATCGGGAAAAAAAAATCAAGGCCTGTCGATGACATAAATGATTACTATCAGAAGTCTAAATACACCTTAACTTGATTTCGCCCTGCGAAGTTGCATGCCCGTCGTATGAAAGCCGCCTCAACCCTTCCAGTCTCTCGCATCATTCAACAGGGCTCCGACCTCATGAGTCCGGTCATTCGCGCGCTCAATCACGTCGTATTCATACATAGCTTTCCTCCAGTCTTGAATCTCGTCCACGAGACGGTTAGGATTTTCTCTTGCTGTTATGGCGATGTCGTCGAAGAATTCCTCCAGCCTCTTCCGTCTCTGCCGCTGTGCTTGCGCCGCTAGTTCACGCTCTGTGTGCTGGCTCTCAAGCTCAGACCTGAGCCTCAGAATCAAGTTATCGGCTCGTTGCAACCCCGCATTCTGGTGCGCGAGACAGGTCCGAAAGGCCTCCCCTGCAGACATTTTCTGGCCCTCAAAGTCAGCATCCGCAAAGCACTTATCCATCTGCCTAGTCTGGAGCACTTCACTTGAAGTTTCAAACTGAGAAGAGTTGTAACCCGATGAGATGTGCGATAATTCTGGAGACTCGCCCGAGGAGTTTGACGTCACATTCGACGGCAGCCCGGGGGTTGGCGGGCAAAGTGGCGAGCGCATGTCTCGAACTACCTCCTGCATTAAGGAAGATGGACCGTGTACCTTTTTCGGCCTAGCGCGCGGCTGAATCTTTTGGGATCTGTCTGTGATATCTGCACTCCAGGTATTGACATCACGGCGCAAACGCTCTTTGGCCCTCGCAGAAATAGGCTCTCTGGGAATCGGGCTGGGGTCGTATACGGTTGGAGTTTTGTTTGTGTCCGCCTCAGGGAATGCCCTCTTGGCCTTTTCGGTGGCGTTGAGCCGGGGCTCAACACTTTCATTTGTACTCATTGTAGGTTTGATTGCGAAGATTGCTCACTAGCGTAAGAAGTTCTGACGATGGTTCCTCGACAGCTGGGGTGCGGTGTTCGCTCTTATGTATCAAATCTAGAAAAGCAGCGTAGAGAAGTGTTGGGAACAAATACATTGTGAGATCATACACACAAAGAAGAAATCACAGTGTCTTCAACAGAATGGCCCATCTTCAAAATTGCTCCTTTCATTGTTCTAGCTCGAATTGCACGACCATGGCCAGGTTTACGCCTTATCTTGCAGTCTGAAAGGACTCGGCCAAAGGTACAGGGGAATTGGCCCCGGCTTCAAGCTTGTTCTTCAGCATGTCTTCTGCAAGACCTTGGATTGATATGATAAAGAGGCTGTGTCAAATTTCTCTGGTTACTCACGTTCTCGTCACTAGTAGTGACATGCGGTACTTTGTTTCAAGATACATAAGCTGAATAAGATCAAGAATACGTAAGTAACAGCCTTACGGGCCTTCAACGAGGTGGCCACTTGGAGATACTGTCATGCTGTCTCATTTGGCACACGCTTCTTACTTCCACAAAATAGTTGTTCCCGTGTTGTGCGACTCTCTCGCCAGCTCAATAATCCTGATCGCGTCGCGTGACTGGGTGGCCTTCAGCTCGAGCTCAGCTTTACCATTAATAGCGTCGGCCAGGTTCTCATAGATACCCAGCCAGCGCCCAGTGATGCTGGGATATCTACCAGTGTACTTCTTCGTCGCTTCATCGTACTTCTGAACCGTTCCATCAAACTCCTTGTACGTTGTAAGAATACCACGCAGCTCGGCTGGTTCCTCGCCGAAACCGGGCTCAAGCGGCTTGCGGCCCTCGGCAATTTGCTCCTCCTGAGGGCAGGTGCTTCTTTGTTGGAACTGTGACGTGTCAGCGGACGATGTTTCGTACAAATGGCGGGCAACCAACCTTGAGCCATGATCCCTTTGTTCCCCTCACGAGATGTTTGAGTTGCTGGGCCATGGGCGTGGTTACGGAGGTCTTGACGGTCACCAGGAGGTCCTTCTGCGCTCCATCGTACTGCAAGACGATTGTGAACGAGTCTTCCACCTCGCTTTCGATGCCGCGCTGGGCGCGGAAGAAGCCAGTCACGGACTTCGGGCGTCCGAAGAGAGTCACTGCCTGGTCGATGCTGTGTGTTCCTGTATTTCGACACGATTAGAACAGTGTTCTTGGGGCCTAAGCTCGATGTTCAACTCACCCAGACCGAACGCCATGCCATCGCCCGGAGTGTACTCCTTCTTGTTCATTGAGCTGAGCCAAGGAGGAGATTCGAAATCATAGTGGATCTCGGCCTCCTTGATGTCGCCAAGTGCATCTTCTTTGATGAGCTTGCGCAAAGTTTGGAAGTCACCGTCCTGCAGTTTCGATGAGCCAACACGATATCATGGGGTAACTCAAGAATACTCACCCATCTACGATTCTGGAAGCAAGTCAAAATGAGGCCCTTCTCCTTGGCGATTTGAATAACACGGTCTGCTTCTTCAGATGACCTTGCGAAAGGCTTGTCGGCGATGGCTTTAAAATTGTCAATCTCCGATCGCATAATCAGCTGCATTGGATAGTGACTTACCATGTTTTCCCGCCAACAGCGCCTTCTCTGCGAACGATGCGTGCGTATCAGTGTGGGTGGCAACCACGACGAGTTGAATGTCCGAGTCGGCGAAGAACTCCTCCGCAGTCCGGTAGTGTCTGATGTTGGGAAAGTCGACCTTGCAGTGGGAGCCCGCAGGCGCGGATGACAAATCGCTCGGAGCTTCCGCTCTCTGCAAGATCGCAATCACCTCGTAATCTTTGTTGGCAGTGATGAAAGGAAGGTGGAAGCTCTTCGCGGCGAAGCCGTAGCCGACGACACCGACTTTGATGGTGGACATAATGTTTCTTGTGTAAGTTTTCCGTTTTTACTCTCGGGCGGCTGGATGAATCCTACAGAATTTCGAGAGTTCTGCAAGCAAAGAGCTGGCTACCTTCATTTATATCCCATCTTCTAAGATGCGGGGTGTTGGTGCAGCGGCGGCTCGGCGGTGCGGGATGACGGGGTGTGGCGGAGAGGACCCACCTCAGGCCGACACTCCGCGGACGACTGGAACTTCGTTTTCGCGTAAGTTGTAGTACCGACTTCAATAATTATACTTTAGTTTTGTATCTAATGATTTGCCAACTAGAATCTCAATTATATCGGACACTTCCCAACCAGCCAATGCTCTTCTATTGATTGCAGGGAATTTTTGAGTTGAGTCTCGCTGTTCTTCTCGTTTGAGATACATCGCCAAATCTCCTTCGCACGCATGGTACCAAAATCTAAGGTAGGCAAAAAAACCTCCACCCGCACACGACCAATCATTCATGACATGGTTTTAGCCGCATCGCCTCAAGCCCCGCTAATTCCCCAACTGCTAGACTTTCCCGATCGAGACATGACTAACAATGAATGACGTTATTGAAGCTATCCCTCACATTTACTCCAGATATTTACCGAAGACCAATGCAAGTTGGATGGGTTCCACCATGGACCCAGGGTGGCATTGCCCTGCCAGTCTGAATCGTGGGACTCACTCTAGTGAACATAACCCGGTTTCTGTCCGTATACGACAAAGCTAGACAACAATAATCAGCAGAAAGCCCGGTTTTCACGGAGCGGTACAAGAGCGGTAGCACTTACATGTCAAACAACAAATGCATATCCCCCTGTTTCAGCTCCTTCCTAACAGCCGCTAACTCAACCTCAACCTCAACCCGCGATCTTCCCAAGATGTCGCAAAACAGCTTCAGAGTGAACGCCTCCAGCCCTTCCAACGTGATCGCCAAATTCATCATTCCAAGATCTTTGTAGTACGGATCCCTCGGCCAGGGACCTATGGGACACTTGAACCCCCGGGCGAAGACGCCATTGAAACCTACCTCCTTCACCATCCCTTCAATTTTGGCCGCTGGGGAAGGGTCGCGGCCCATGCTTCTGCAGGCGTTGGCGAATGCCTGGTTCCACTTCCAAGTAGCATGTTCGGTAGTGTATGTGCTGTCATCTGAGTAGAATTCGGTGTCCATCTCCTGGAATTCGGCGAAGCCTCCCGGATTTAAGTGGCTGATTCACGGTCAGCTTTCCAGAAGTCCCTGAGCAGCACCGCCTGCTAATAATATTGAGACTTGACGTACTCGTAGATATTCTTCACCAACTTGGGCCAATCCGCGATGGACGCAGCCATATACCGACACATGATGAAATCGTACTTCCTGTTCGCAACCCAATCACTTTCCACGTCGTCTACCTCAAACTTCACGTTCGGGGGAACCCTGCACTCCTGCATATTAGTCTTCGGACAGCCTTTCTAACGTGAGTTCACTTACCATTCTGGCTGAATCGGACTCAGATCGTTTCCAGTGACCTACTCTGCTTGTCAGGTTCTTGCTTTCGCAACGCAGGACCAACTGTTCATCTGACCTCTGCGTTTTGGAAAATATCACCCATCTCCACCGCCCCTTCGGGTGATCAGCCATCTCTCAGGTGTTGGAATGAGGAAGCTCAGCTACGTACAGATTCCCGTGCCTGTGCCGATGTCGAGCATCTTGTGTATCCTCTCCTTTTGCAGTGGCGCAAGATACAGTCTGTTGCCAATGGTTTTAACGATCATGGCATGAGCTAAGTCGAGGCGATCCATTTCGTACTACATAGGTCTCGTCAATGGATTGTAGTTTCACTGTAAATAATGGATAATCATACGTCGTCGTTTGGGAATGCGTAGGCTGCGAATCGTCAGCGTTCATACTTGCGATGTAACTTGCATCGGCTGAAACCTCGAAGCCGACTTACTTCCGGGGCGGAATGCATGATACCGACGGCCATATTCAACAGGATAGTCGACGACACTTGAAGTCAGCGACGCGCTGTAATTTGACCTGCTCTCGAGTAAGCATTCCTGATCCATGGGTCGTTGGAGGCTTATTAACTTGCAGTCTCTCATCAATTGATGCTGCATCATCCTCTCCCTGAGGCAACATTAGCACGGGACCTGAGTCGAAATTGAAGTGCTATGCAAACGTACATAAGTCCGAGCCTCAGCCTCAAGTTGATCCATCTCGCCAGTAGACGCAGTCTCGGGCTGCAACCTGCCAAGTGGGACGGTAGAAAAAAGGACTCGCGCATCAGCGATAAGACGTCGGGGAAGTGGTGTTTCGCTCTCTGCGGGGTCGTAGAAGGTACGCGGCCGCCGTGCAGAGTTCACGAGTTGAGTTCGTCTGGTGTTTCCAACCGCCCGTTTCCTTCAGAAAGATAATCCCCGTGTTGTTAGAAATGACAAATTCTAAAGCGGTATCTCGCACTGCTAGCAGTAGTCCACTGACTCGGATCTCATGCGTTTGTCGAGTGGGAACATTGAACGGTCGCAATGCCGGCTTAAGGACTGGTTCTTTCTTTATCTGTGTTTCCTGTCGGTGAGGATCGAAAACACAGCTATTGTCTTCTCGACCTGAACGACAGTTTGTGAAGGAACAAAGAACATTGAATATTTCTCGTGAAATTGCAAGGAGTAGGTGAGTTTCGAGGGAACAATTGATTCTACCTTCCAGGTTACTGTTCATTTGCATTGAGAAGAATCAAGTCCATCGATGCAGAGCAAAGCCTTTAAACAATGAACTCGACTATTGGAGCCGAGTCGTATTAATAGCCGCTCTTTTCCACGAGTAGAACTTTCTAACTCTTAACATAACCAATTTCCAACAGCTTATCCGAGAAGACAAATCCGTCTTTCCACTCACCCAGAACCCATCGCAAATCAAACAAACCACCCCCAAAGCAGACATAATGGCCTCCCACAAGCCAACTTACGCCCAGGCCCTCGCCCACGCAAAAGTCCTCCACGACGACTTCCAAACCGAACTCGCCGCCTTCCGCCAGAATCTCAGCTCGCACTGGGACAGCTGTAAGGACATCCTCGAAACCTTTGAAGACGGGGATGATTTGATTGGGGGTCGGGAAGCGGACCGTGTGGAGGTGAAGAAAGGGCGGTACACAGATGATGAGTCCGGGACAGGCCAGGGCAATGGTGAACAACCTTGGGTCTTTGAAGAGTATGACCCCGGAGCTTCAGGCAAGGCTGGCCCTGAGGAATGGTGGGAGGATTCGGAGAAGAAAGAGGCGAATCTTATTGATCTGAGCTAGAATAATCATGTATTTCAGCTATTTGCTTGGATATCTTTTGCGCAGTTAGCTAGCCATACTCTCCTACCCCCCAACCTCAACCTTGAACAGACCACCCGCTAACTCTCAACCAAATTCCCCTTCAGCTCCCTATACCTGTTCTCCGGATCCGCCATCTCCTCCTCCACCGTCTGCAACTTCTTAATCACCCTCGCTGGGCTGCCCACCGCCACACTGTACGCAGGCAAGCTCTTCGTGACCACGGCGCCGCTGCCCACCGTCGTGCCGCGCCCGATCGTCACACCCGGCATAATAGTCACACCCCCGCCGATCCAGCAGTCGTCCTCGATGGTGACGGGCAGCCCGTACTCGACGAACTTGATGCGCGAGAGCACCGAGGTGTCGTGGCCGGCGGTGTAGATGCTCACGTTGGGGCCGAACTGCACGCGGTCGCCGATTGTGACGAGGGAGACGTCGAGGATGGTCATGCTGTGGTGTGCGTCAGGTGCTGCTCCGCATCACAAGAAGAAGGCAACATACTTGAAGTTGGCAAAGCAGTTCTTGCCAAAGATGACGTTACATCCGTAGTCTACAATGAACGGCGCCTCGACAAACGTGCCCGCGCCGAGCTTACCGACCATCTTGGCCAGCGTCTCCGTTTTGAGCTGGGCCACATCGTCGGCGGTGTGCTTGCGGTGGTCGATCTCGTTGAAGTCACGCGCGAGGCAGCGACCTTGGTGGCGACCGTCGACTAGGATCGGGTCGACGGGGTTGTACCTTTTGTTGCGGTTAGTAATGGGCAACGAGGTATTTCTAGAAATAGCGCGTACATCATCCCAGAAATCATCTTCTCGTACTCCTCGCACCAAGGCGTGTTCTGGAGAGTGCGGGCTACCGCGATGATTTCGGGGTCTTTCTGGGACTTGGCCATTTTTGGTTCGCCGTGTTGTTGGGTTGGTGTTTTGAATTGGCCGGCGGGAAGGTGATTGAGACGGTGCAAAGAAGTGACGACGGTGAGATGAAGCTGTAGAAGAGAAACAAATGAGACTGCTGTTATGGGCGATTATAAGAAAGACAACGATGGAGTATATCGTGTCCTGAAGTCAAAGAGTCGTTGGTGTTGTGTGTAAGTGGCGGTTGATGCGGAGACTCCGACGGATGGCTCCAGCTTGGGAACTCGCAAAGGCAGGAGCATCCTGGGTGGGTCCTGGCATTTCTCCCGATAATTATCACGGCGAATCCTGAGTGGTCGGTATGGGTAAATATCGGGCTACACAGCGTGGGTTGCGGAGCACAATGTCGACGCGGTGGAGGCTGAGACCGTGGTCCCGGTACGGCGAAGCGGCCCGAGAAACACTAGATCCAGTCTTCCTGGCACCCGTTTCTCCCGGAATACATATCCCGCCTGGGTCTGCATGCCGGTTACCGGGTCACGGGTGAAACGACGCGTGTGCATAGCCCTATTAGTATTGGGTAAGTTTGTCATGTCTAGTGACCAATGAGGCCGTAACTCGTATGCTCATATCCATCTAGGAGAAGTATGTATAGAATCATTGTACCCAGCGCCTCGCAAAGCCCCAAAATGCCCATGAGTGTCTAGCAAACCCGCCTGACGCGTCTCACCCGCTAGCAGCAGTTTTCCTGCGACTCGCCAGCCGCTGTCTGGAAGCTTGCAGCCTCTCCTCATCCATGGCTGACCGCCACGTGCAGTCATCCGCAAACTCGCACATGCGGCACTTGTACGCCTCCTCGATCTGCACGCCCCGCGGCTCTCGGTCTGCGCGCCACCACTCCAGCGTGCTGCCCAGGTAGAGGTTCAGCGCGCGGTCGTCCATCGGGAACACCTGGCTGTCGATGAGGGAGCCATCGCCGCGGTATCTGTACTCTACGGCGAGTAGTCTACCAACGGAGTCCGCACCGTGAGCGAAAGTCTCCTTCAACTCAGATCTGAGAAGTGGGAGGAGTTCGCGGAGCGTTCTGTACTTGATAAAATCTGGCGTCTGACTTGTGGCTCCATCCACGTCCGTACCGCCATTTGCCGCATCAGATGATGGTGGAACGTAGTCGCCATCTGGTGATGAGTTGACGTCGAAGAACAGCTCGTCGTGCAAGCTGCCAATCTGTGCGATAAACGAATCCGAGAACGGCACATCTGGGTCCAGATTATACCGCCTGAAGATTCTCAGATAATCCAACTTGTCCGCCGCCATCTCTGACAGGAACCGTTGGTAGAGAAACAACTGCACCTTTGCGGGGCGCAGCAGCGCGGGGCTGTTAGGCGCCTTCATGGATCCCCGCGTCTTGACGTCCGTCAAGTAAATCTGCGGGATCTTCTCCTTGCCCGCACTCTTCGACGGGAAGTAGTCGGTGATGCTCGCCTGGCTCTGGCCCTCCGACTCCTGGCTCAGCTGCTCCTCAAACTCCGGGTCCGGGTTCTCGAAGCTCAGGCCGTCAACGACGCCGTTGACGAGATTGCCGTCCGCGAAGCCCCATACCTCAAGCTCGCGGGTCATGCCCGTTTCACGGAGCGTTCGCATGCCTTGAATGAGGTTCCACATGCGCAGACCAAAGCCGTCCTCTTTGCTCGCGATCTCGACGCGGACGGTGGTGTGGACTTCGTCCTCAAGGTCCTGGTGCACCTTGGTGCCCTGCTTCATCGCCGCGGTGCGTGTCTTGCGGCCGAAGGGCAGGCGTGTGAGGGTGTAGAAGTATTGCAGCTCGCACCACGCGCCGGCTGTCAGGTCGGTGACGGTGAATGGCTTTCGCGGGTAGGATCGAAATCGTACGAGGGGCGATCGGGTGTCATTGTCAGGTTCTGGTGGAGGAGTGGTCTTCGGTTTGGAGGGCGAGCGCGAGGATTCGCTTTTGGAAAGAGCTTTGCTCACTAGACGCTTCCCAGTCAGTCAGTTTCCGATTAACGGTCCTTTCCATGCGGCGAACTCACGATCCGGGTAGTTGACGACGCCGTTGCCATTCGACGGCGGGGTACCAGCCCTGTGCTTCCTGCTGTCGGTGCCAAACGCAGCTCTGCGGCGACTGTGAGGAGACCGTAGTGGCACCTTGGCCGTAGCAGACGGCTCGTAAGAGAGGGCATTGGAAGGAGCATCGTTCAGACGGAACTCCTCCTCGGCGACGGTGTCGATGCCCAGGTCTTCTGCAAGGCCGGCGACTGCAGCAGGTGGTGGTGGTGCTGAGGCGGGGTTGGGAGCTTCGGTGATGAGCTGGCTTAGCAGAGATTCGTCTTCAGGAGTGAGATCGTAGCCATATTCGTCGTCAGAGTCAAGCGAGAGCGATGTTGCCATTGTTGTGCGACTTTGGAGTCATGTCGGTGCTTGGTGGGGTGATGTGAGGTCCTTCTGGTGAAGGCGTCACAACTCAGCGGGGAGATCGCCGCTAAAAACACGAGAAACGCGTTGGAGGAAGTGGCGATGGGAGGTGACGGCGTGGATGCACTTTAGTGCTTGCAGATGCTGTAAGCGGAACTTCGCCGCCTGTGATTGGGCGCTTGGGGTCGCTGGTGCCTGGGAGCCCCTGCACCACGAACAGGCAGCACTGCCATCCACTGAACACCTCACGTAAAAAACACACGAGACGAATTTGAAAGGCCCGTCTCAATTGCAAGCCCGCTTTGAAGTCTTTGAGAAACCCATGGTGTTATGAATGGCCGAGACCCTTAAATGCAATTTGTGCGACATTTAGTAGGAACGTCCTCTGAGAGCTTGTCTACAATAAGACGACACCCTTAATTAGGACTTGCGTTAGGTGTCGAAGCAGTAGAAATGAGAGATAGAAATGAAAGATAGGAATGGCAATTGCGTGCCTTCTATTCAAAGACTGTTTTTGATTCTGCATAATATTCTATTGAAAGTATCATATTCGCTGTCATCTTCTTTTGGTTCGAATTAACCATGATTCTAATGTGAAGCTGCAAATGCTTTCCCTAGGTCTATGTGAAACCAGAACTCCTGAACGCCGAAACACCCGAGTTTCTCTCTGTCGCGATATGTCAAATAATTAATAAGGATTTTCCGCGGTGCGTATCCTTGCGATAAAAGCAAAGTCCAAAAATCTCTATCCATTGTTGAACCCGAACCCCATCACATCTCCTTCCTCGATTCATCCTCCTTGGGGAGATCGGTTTCCTGCAAAACTCCTTTCTCCCATCTCAACCAACATCCCTAGCTTCTCACCGGGTCGTTTAATTCATGCACTCAGGTCTTTGACGCGCGCCGCGAGCGTCTCCCGGAGCTCTTCCGCCACAAACTGGCGAGAATCCCTCCCCTTCGCAACAACCAGCTGATCAGCCCACCGGACAAGATCGTTCCAGCCGTGGGACTGGATCTTGGTAATAAAAGGACTTAATATGCCCTTGCGAAAAGTCTTGCTCTCACTAGCCGCGATATTTGGCAGGAACTGCATTATCTTGCGCAGCTCCGTGATTGTCTTTTGCATATTGGCAGCGTTCGTCTCTGTACTGATTTGGCGCTCGACTTCGTGCTGAGCCTCGGCAGCATTGATCTGACCAATGTTGTTATTGACATGAGGATCAGTGTTCTCTTGGCGACCATGATGGGCGTCTTTGCGTTATCTCTTGATCGCTGGCTTGACGTCTTCGTCGTCCGAGTTGATTTCGATGACCTCAACGTGGCCTTGGAGTGTGGCGGTTGATGCATCCCTCTCGGCGCGTCTTTTCTTCTGCCCTGGACCATGTGTGACGAATATTTGTCTTCCTGACGCCGTACAACCGCCAGATTCAGCAGACCAAGAGGAGGTCTCCGGCGCTTTTCTCTTTCCAGAGTCGTCTTGAACGGCCCGCCTCGGCCCAATTGTTTTTTCAAGACTCGGCTGAGGACCTGTTCGCGCATCATCATTCCCACTTCTAGAGTTGTCGTTATGTTGAGGCCCGGCAGACTGAGCACCATACATCGCTCTCTGCAACCCCTCCTGTGAGTAGGTGTTCACGCCAGTGATGCAATTGATGAGGTAGCTCGCTCCCGCATAGCACTGCCTGAAAGTCGGATGGTTCAGCCAGGTTTCGGGAAGGTTGATCTGGAACCTCAGAATAGCAGAGCACACCTGCCATTTCACAACGACCTTGTCTCCTTTCTGCATTTGTCGAGCCAACGAGACTGTGCGGTTATTGTGGCAATCTCCGGATGGTCCTCTCTTCTCGCTATTCGTCAATTCTTTGGAGAGGTCATCAATGACCATGGTCTTCTCTTGTCGGGACGAGAGAATGTCGTGAATGTCTGAGTCGAAGATTCGAATTGCCAGTTTGAGGTACTTAATCTGGTAGGGAAGGTGGTACGGTTTCTTCTGATAGCGGTACCTGGCATGCGCAGGCGCCGCCATGCCTGTTTGTTGGTTATTCATGTTTGTGGCCCAGGAGGATTGTGAATATGCTAATGCCGTTTCGGAGATAGCTGGCTAGGGTGAAGTTCGTGGGGTTGCTTTTATAATCAGCTCCAGAGGAAGGCGTTATCGTGGTGAAGTTATCAACGAAAGATGTGTGTTGTGTTTGCAACGAGGATGAATAGATTGCCGACGAGAACTGAGATTTGAATAACCTAAAGGTAAGAGCGATGCGGTCTTGGATTATTCTTGAATATGTTGAAAACGAAAGAAAAGATCTCTTGCAATACTTTCGCCGTTGTCGAGTTGATGTTTTGTTTGGAGGAGACTCGGGTACGGCTGGAGCCGATTTCAGATGGTGAACATCGGACGGGTGGGTTCGTTTGGCGGAGGGAAGGTGAATCCTTCGGTGGGTGAAATGAGTTTCACTTCAGGAGATTTTTGAGGAGTCAAGAACTAAGAAGGTGCATATGGTGATTGCTCTCTACTTTGCGGAGAGAACGTGTTGCCGTGAGAAAATAAAAAGGATAATATGAGGCGGGATGATATGCCGCAGATGGTGAACCTCTAGGGGTGTTGTGAGGATGATGTTGAGTTCAAGACTGGGAAGTTAGAAAGTGAGTTGAAGTGTAAGGCTTGGCTTGTATTTATAGCTGCGCTGAGGCGGTGATGTTGGGATACAAGCTAGCTCGCTATAGAGAAAAGTCCTTCAGCCCTCTTGAAGTGCCATCAATCCCCAGTGCCTCCTTCTCATCGTCACCCAGTACCCCCAGTGCCTGCCTCCTAGTAGGCGCATTCGCATCAAAGTACGGCTTCTCCGCGAGAGAAGTCACACGGGTGCCGTGACGCGGGTGCTTGCCCTCGTAATCCCAGCTGGCGTTGTGAATGGTGATCCTGTAAAATCGTCAGCTCATACTCTTCACCATCATTCTTGTCAACCATCAACTAACCTGTTGTCCCAAAGGGCACTAGTGTTCGGCGTCCACTTGAACCGCACCTGGATATCCACATTCTGCTCGTACACATCGAACAGATATCCCAAAATCACATCGCTCTCCGCCTTGTCCAGCCCGACAATGCGATCCGTCATCGCGCGGTTCACCCACAGCGCCTTCCACCCAGTTGCGGGGTGCACCCTGACAAGCGGGTGTGCGCGCTCAATGTGCTTTGGCCCGGCCTCCTGGTTGTCGCGGTCGAGATATGCGTGCGCGGACTTGTACACGGCGTAGCGGCCATCGATGATCTTGCGGAAGTCGGGCGACAACTTCTCATACGCAGCGTATCCGCTCGCCCACAGCGTATCACCACCGATGGGCGGGACGGTATCGTTGTGCAGATGCGTGACGCCCGCGGGCTGGCGCTCGTGGACGAGGTCGGTGTGCCAGCGGGAGGCGCCGCCCGGGTTGCGGAAGTTGGCCGGGCGCTCGGTGGCCCACAGGGCCGGCCAGATGACGGAGGCGCCGAGGACGCCGGGGACTTGCGGGACTTGGGGCTGTGTGATGGCGAATTTTGTCAGCAAGCGTCGACTTGAGTAACATGGGTTTGAAGATTACTGACATGGACTTCAACCTCTCCAAACCATTCACCGAGCTCTTTCTGCTGCTGAGGTGAGAGATCCTGATCCCTGAAGAAGACAACACTGCGCTCGGCAATCAAGAGCGCGAGCTCATCTTTTTGCTCAGGGGTGAGGTCCTTGAGTTGCAAACCCTCGATTTCGGTACCGATATGCGTCGTCAAGTCAGTGACCTTCGTCGCGGCGCCGAGCAGGTTCTTCTTGGACTTGTCGGCACGAGCGCCAGCGTCGATGTATTCGCGCTCCTTGTTGCGGATGTTGATGGCATCCTGTAGGAAGAGGGGTCTTGAGGGGCGGTACGGGTAGCCGTTGGAGAGGTCCACGCCGGCCTTTGTCAATCTTGCCTTTGCGGGCTCGGGGAGGCCGAGGGTGTCCTTCCGCGGCTCCGCCACATCGGTGATGGCTGGATCAATGGGGGCGGGAACCATGATTGCGCGTGGAGTCTTGAGGAGATCTTGATTCGGACGGGAAACGATTTGGATATAGATGTTGTTTAATCTGTTGGTAAGATGATGGAATCTTGGCAGAGAAGGGACGAGCTGCTGTCATAAATGTCCTTCAAAACTGCAACAGCCTTCCTTTATACTGGACAAACAACGTTATGTCCCAAACATCCCTCCGATGATATGATCACCATATGCAAGCATCACAGCGCCAGCAAATGCTCACCAATCAAGCTATTATTACCAATAATCGCGGGGTCGACGGCCATTTAGACGACTTATCTATGGCTCAATCTGCATCAACAGTGACGAATCCAGGGACCTCTGGGCGAGATCGAACCACTCGAGTCACGGATCTCGGGAAACGACTCGCGAGCCAAATCCTTTGGCGCAGCACGCCATACAAACCAACCAACAGCATGTTCTCTGCAACACCGAGATACAACACTCCCCGAGATGGTGTTGTGAAATAACGGCAACGACGAGTGAGGGGCGTCCCTCTCAGCTGCCCCCCGCGCGGCCGAATTGGACGTTGGGGATATGTCGCGGATCCGGGGTTGTCAGCTTGCCGCGCAAGTGGGGGTTGCGCGATACAAGGGCCCGATTGTGTGCTTGTGGACCAACGGCAGGCCAGACCCTTTGTGACGCGATCGCCAGCGCCCAACTCAGCATTTGGATGCGCTTCGGAAGCTAAATAGGCGTGGGCTAACCCGTCTTGTTTGACGAGATGCTGTCAGCTTGGGTGGTCTCCTTATCTCCGCTCCGTTGGAGCTATCCTTTGGACTTGTGAGAGAGTCTCCAAGAAACCAAGGTGCCAGGCGGTGATCTCCCGATGTCCAAGGCTGGGCGATTTGTGCTTAGTCTTAGTGCCTCGTACGGATAGATTAGCCAACTTAGCATCGGGGAAAACGAAAGAGGTGAAGAGGGTTCTTGAAGGGAAGAAATCTTTCACACAGTTACATGAGGAACCGCCACGATGAGCCATATTTTGCCTTGAGCAATCCCACCTCGCTTTATCTTCGCGGGATGTTGTCGGATGTTGCCCGCCACGGGTACCAAACGGCAGCAGCACGCCATCGTATCCAGAATCATCGTCAGCGGGAAAAGCCCAGTTTTTGGCCTTGCCGCCGCGAACTTGGCCGATGTTGCTCCGATAAGACCCCTACATCGAAAGAAAATTCACATCCGATGGGATGTTGGTTTGCATGTATAAAGCGCGATGCGCTTGCTGTCAATGTGGTACTTGATCTAGACTACTGTCGATCCTGACGAGCATCGTGCATTGTCTTTGCTTCAATCGTCGTTGTCCCGGCTCCGGAGCCCATTCGTTCACAATGGCAGTCACCGAGGTCAATGAGAAGACGGCCGCTGTCGACTCGCCACGGAGCAAATCCCCGACCTCCGTCGACGCCGACTCCGCCGCGGGGCATCTCGTCGAGGAGAAGCCCAAGCTCACATGGAAGTCGTATGTCTGGGATACCCTGGACAAGTCTCCCGAGGAGCGCAAGTTCATGTTCAAGCTCGATGCCATCATCCTCACCATGGCATCGCTCGGGTACTTCATCAAGAACCTGGACCAGATCAACATCAACAACGCCTTCGTGTCTGGTATGAAGGAGGACATGCAGCTTTTTGGCAATGAGTTGAACTATATGCAAACTTGTTGGACTGTGGGATATGTTCTTGGGGAGATTCCAAGGTTAGTTGCGAACGCTTTACATCATGAATATCTGGTTTCTGAGCGATGTATATGGCTAACACTTCAACACAGCAATCTACTCCTCACCCGTGTCCGTCCCTCAATCTGGATCCCCGCCTGCGAAACAACCTGGGCAGTTCTCACTATCCTCATGATCAAATGCACAAACACCACTCAGCTCTACGTCCTTCGCTTCTTCATCGGCCTCGCCGAGAGCACTTTCTACCCCGGCATGCAGTACATCATCGGCTCCTGGTACCGCAAAGACGAACTAGCTAAGCGATCCTGCATCTTCCACGCCAGCGGTAGCATAGGTTAGCCATGCCTTCCCTCCAGCTTTCACTTCTACTTCTGCAAAGCACTCATGCTCACTCGTCATCTAGGATCCATGTTCAGTGGCTACCTCATGGCAGCCGTCTACAACCTCGATGGCGTTCACGGCTGGAAGGGCTGGCAATGGCTCTTCATCGTCGACACCGTCATCTCGCTTCCCATCGCCCTCGCCGGCTTCTTCCTCTTACCGGACGTCCCCGAGATCGCCAAGGCGTGGTACCTCAGCGACGACGACATCGCGCTCGCCCAAAAACGGATGCAACTCGAGGGCCGCGCTAACCGCCAACCCTTCACGAAAGCAAAGCTCAAGAAAATCTTCACCAGCTGGCACCTATACACCCTCACGGCGCTGTACATATTCTTCAACAACGGCTGCGGTCTTCTTGGCCAGCCGGGCTTCCAGCTCTGGCTCAAGGGCGCGGGTTACAGCGTCAAGGAGGTCAACACATACCCGACCATCACATCCGCCATCGTGGTCGTCACGACGCTGATATACGCGTGGTCTTCCGACACGGTGTTCAAGGGCGCAAGGTGGCCGCCGATTGTGTTCTCGGGTCTGGTGCAGATTGTCATCTACTCGAGTCTCACGGCGTGGGATATCCCGATCGCGTGGAAGTGGGGATGCTTCCTTTTGGCAGGGTTTGGGGGTGGCATCAGCGGGTTGACATTTGCTTGGGCGCATGAGATCTGTAAGGATGACAATGAAGAGCGCGCGCTGGTGACGGGATCGATGAACCAGATGGCGTACGTGTTCCAGGCATGGCTGCCGCTGCTCATCTGGCAGCAGGTGCAGGCGCCGCAATACCCAAGGGGATACCCTACGATGGTGGCGCTAAGTGTCGGGCTCATTGGGACGTCGTTCTTGATTCGGTATCTTCATCGGAGGGAGCTGGGAAAGAAGGTATTGGCGGTTGCGGCTTGAAATTGGGTTGAATTAATATCACAAGGCAAGACGCTGCAGTAGCAAAAGATCGAAGTGCAGATTGTTTCAGCAACATACGCGGGCATTGTTCCACGATAAAATTGAACAAATTCGAAGAATGAATAACGTGTTTGCAGTAGACCTCTGTAATGCAGAACCTAGCTGGTGATCAAAGATTATGCAACCATGGGGGTATATATGTAAATATTTAGATAGTCGTAAAGCTCCACAGAGGCAGGATAGCTAGGCTGCACAGTCGAATCAACCGGACTCATCCAAGGAGAACAGGTTTCTCTCTAAGAGGAGGCTTCTCCAAAGTGGTGGTCTCAACTTCAAGCTAACCCGCAGAGGTCTACGCAGTGGTAGCACGCCCGTCAGAGGGCTGTCGTGATGGCAGGGCGCCTGAGCGCGGGCTGTCAAGCGGAGGATGCTTAGCATAAATCAGCTTAAGGCTCTAAATTCAACGACCTGACCAGACATACCTTCAGGAAATCAAGACCGGGCCTGGTTTTTTTCCGCTGTGGCGCTTCGAAGGCTTGTGGCTTTTCCAGGGCTCTTCGTCCCAAGCCTCGTGGTTTGGAGGGAAGCCAGCCAGCTGGTATTGCACACCACCATTGAGCGCCAACCCATACTTTGCTTTGTCATAGTCCTTGTTCTTGGTCGTCGGTCCGAGTTTTCTGCCATTCAACGGCCTCCAAGAAACGATCTGTTCGTACTTAATACCTCCTAAGGCCGCCCATTCGCTTTCCTCGTCGAATTCGCTGTACTTGCCAAGAGTCCCAACAGTATCGATCAGGTTCGGAGTAACATGGATCTTGTAAACGTAGGCGGAAGGCTTCCCGTACACAAAGACAGCCGCCACGGACTCGCTGGAACTGGTTGAGACGTATCCGTCTTCATCCCGGCTCCCGATGCTATGGGTACCCTTCATGTGGTTAAAGAGGCTGGTGTCTTGGGTTTGAAGCCCAAAGCTTGCTTGACCCTTGGGAAGAAACCCCCCAAGCATTTTAATCTCCTTGGGCGACCTTGTATCGCCACGATAGACGTGGAACACTAGCAGAGGTGCTCCATGGCAAAGACGACACCACAAATGGGTCCCCAAAAAGAAGAGAAGAAGTGGGAGTTGTCCAAACATCCGGCCGAAGAGGACTAACACAGTGGAGCGGAGTGGTCAACTCGAGAGTGAGTGAAAGCTACGAGGCTGCTAAAAAAAATAGAAGAGAGTACAGCAAAAAAGCCGATATAAGTATCCGTAGTAAGGGGTCATAAGCAAATCAGGAAGCGACAAAAATCAATCAGAAAGCGACTTATACATATGGGCCGTTAAGATGTTGTATGCATCCTTGCGTAAGCGAGATCTTTGCTTGCATTGTTTTGCAATTTTGTTAAATCACCTCTTCAGGAGGAGGTGCGGGAAAAAAGTGGAAAAAGTTTAATTTTCAGCATAAATAGGCCCAGTTTTTCAGAGACTTCACATCCCTTTGCCTTCCCTTTTTCTATTGTTTTGGAAACAGCCCAAGGGATAGTCTGTCATTTTTTCCGTTACTGAATTCAAACGCAGCTTCCATTGCATCGCTTCGTCATCGTTGGAATGAACAGGCCGGTGTGGCACATTGCGCGTAGCCCGACAGCGGTGTCACCGAACTTACGTCCCGGCCTTTTTGGTGATGCCGCAATCATTCAACGGGACCACCGAGCTTTCGATGTCAGCCAGTACAAGTCCAAAACTTTTCGTACACGGGGGCTAACCGTGCTCTGTCGTGGTTCGCTAATAAAGCTAGGAGCTAGCAGAGAAGGCCGGCATCCTGAAGCCCGGCGAAAGCGTTCTGTCAGTGAAATCAATCAACCACCTGTTAGAAGTTACTGCTCGGCAATCGACGTCCCTTCCTCGCCATTTTCGCAGATAGTCTATGTTCTCCCGACATGCTGTAACGAACCACAAGGGAACTCCCTCTGGCACAGGCGTATCCTCAGATTCCGAGTCCACAGCGTCGTATCCGTATCCACTGTGGTAACCTGACTCCTCCTCCAAGGAAGCCATGAAGCGTGCATCGTCCCAGACAATCTCACGAACGCCATGGCGAAACGTCTCATGATTTGCAATGTTCCTGAAGACTTGGATATTGTGGTTGCTTGCTGACATAAAAACACGCTTAAAGCTGAGGTGAGGGCTGACGACTTTGGAAAACCGTCTAGAAGCCAACCGCAATTTCCTGAGGTCGGAATTGGGCAAATGCGCGAAGATGGCCCCAGACAGCTCTGTTGGAAGCCCAGTAAGAAATTCCCCGATGGTGCCCGGTTCGGCCGGGGTTGAGTCTTGGTGAGGAGTTGCCATTGGAGGCTGCGAAGACAATGGGAGGGGAAGGCGAGAAATGGTGCTGTGTTTGGTCGCCGAGAGTGCAGCCACTTTCTTGTTTAAATATACGGGATCTGACGTTCGTACCCTGGTAGGCGTGGTAGCTGCAGCAGGGATCTTTGGTGGGCTCGACAATGTATAGGTTGTAGTCGGGCACGATGTCTCCTGGCATAATATCAGAGCAGATGCCGAGTAAACTGTAAATCATATCTCGTGGGTCAAGACAAAGCCTATCTTTAGACCTGATGAGCAGATCCAATAGGTTGAGCTTGGTTTTGCCGTTGTTTTTCGATCGATCCAAACGTGTAACCGTCTTTCTCAAGTCCAAAAAGTCTTTGATCCAGCCCCACCTGCAACCCCAATCGACATCCTCCGGTGGAAGCAGATATCTTCCTATCAGAATGAGCCAACAAGCAACATTACGTAGCTCATAATAATTCATGCGATTTTCTCCGAATAAGACCTAGAGTCGATGTGTAAGACCGAGTTCTTGCAAAATCCATGCGCGTTACCACCAAAGACTGTGTAGGATGAAGTCCATTCGACCCTTCCGAGACATTGACGCCAGAGTATCGCATGGCCTCGCAGAATACCGTCTGCGAATGGATCATGCTGCTCCGCCAGCCGACATTGGTAGGGCCTCAAGCACTGTGAGTATGGAAGTTGTTCATAGCAGTTCATGCAATTTCCCCGTGCCATCTTCAACTCATGATCGCATCTCTATCTGGATCACACTTGCATACCTAAACATGGACCAATCAGCAGATCCGCCAGGCTGCCACAGCCGATGACATCGCGAAGTGTGCACAGACCACTTTCAATGCGCCACAGCAAACAATTTTCGTTCACTCGCTCCCTACTCATCAACCGCCCGCACTCATAATTACCCATCTCACAACGACGTCGCCACAGGCATTGTCTCGCAACTTCCGGTGGCATGAGACGCGCACTCTTAAAGATGAGCAGGGTTCCCACAATAGCAACCGTCGTCCGCGGCGCCAGCGTCAACATCGTCCTCAAAGCCGACCAGCCCACGGGCCGCACCGTCTCGGGAACCGTCCAGGATGTCCTGACCCGCGGCAACCACCCGCGCGGCATCAAGGTGCGCCTCTCCGACGGTCGCGTGGGACGCGTACAGTCGCATGCAGGAGCCCAGCAGGCCGGGACATCATCTGCGGAGCAGCCGCAGGAGTTCTCGGGTGAAGCACCGCCCGCCTTCGGGGACAGGCGAGGACCGCGGGGCCGGCATGGCAGGCGGCAGGAGCAGGAAGCCGAGCTGCCCTCTGCGCAGGTTGGACTTGATGCGTATATTCGGCCCGCGAAGCAAAAGAGAGGTGGCCGTGGAGGGGCTGCGCAAGCTGCTGCTGCTCCGGAGAACGAGGATACGGTTCCGGCTGTGCCCTCTGAGGTCGTCACCTGTCCTGTGTGCGGCACGTTTGAAGGGGATGCGGCCGCGGTTGAGCATCACGTCGCCAGCCATTTCGACTGAGAAATCTCATTTGCCTCTGCCTTGCACGCCTGGTGGTGACGCTGTTGGCTTGGGTGCCACAGTCTCACCTAACGACAAGCACTCCGAGGCTGGTGCCTACTCCAAGCAACCACGAAGGACGAGAAAAACAACTTCAATAGCAAATCGACGCGATTTCACGTTGACGCGGAGTGGCAACAACGGCCTCTTAGAAGGATGACCTTGTATTTACCGGAGGGGATCTGTATTCCCAAGGTCTGGCATTCGCTGTCACCGCCCTAGTAGCTATTGCTATGCTCACAACCAGCACCATCTTCTACCACCCGGGATGCAACGCCGTCGTCAAACTGTTTCCCAAGCGACTACAGTCTATATCTAAATCCAGCAGTCTTCCAGTCCGTTACGTCCTCATAATCCTCCGGCCGAAGCTCAACCCGGTCAACCATGTCCGCCACATCATTCGCATTACCATCCGCCTGCATCACCTTCCCGCCACCAACAGCGCCAGCTCCTCCAGCACTGCCCTCAAAACCCTCCTCCCTCGTGCGCTTGGCGTTGACCCACTGCAGGTAGAACCGCAGAGAAAGGGCAAGCACCACGACGAGCGAGTAGCAGATCATTATGGTCCGGAAGGCAGTGTTATAGTGCGGCTCCTCGCTGGCCTTGAAGAACTGCGGCCCGGCGATGTTGCCCGCGCAGTACGCTAGAAACAGCAGCGCCGACATGGTCATCTTCTTGGTCACGCCGCGGTAGTTGGCCTGCACTAGTGACATCGCAAGCGGCATCGCCGCCGGGCCAGGCGAGAGGAGGAAGTACGCAAACAGCTGGACGCCGTTGCTCACATGCTCGCGCGAGTAGATGATGGCTGCTCCCGTGATGCACGGGAGCACGATCAGCGCGATGAGGATGCAGTTCATCTTGCGGAAGCGACCCGCGACCCAGCCCGTGCCGGCAATCATACCCGCCGAGAGGAGCGAGTACGGGATGTTGATCAGCGTCGACTGCAGACTCGTGAAGCCGAAGGACTTGATGACGAGGTTGGCAAAGTTCTGCGTGCCGCCGTTGGGGATCTGCGAGATCAGCTCGAGGCCGAAGATGAGCCACGTCTTGGGGTCGATGAGGCACTCGCGCATCTGGTCCCACTTCCAGTGCGTCTTCTCCGTGCGCCCGGTGCCCGCGATAACAACGCGGTCGCCGGCGTACTGCCGCTCCTCGGGCGTCAGGAAGCGCGCGGAGGAGATGGTGTCGGGCAGCCACAGCCACAGCACGAACGCCCAGACGAAGGTGACGACGCCGAGGATGATGTACATCCAGCGCCAGGGGCCGATCTTGTCGTCGATGTGGCCGACGCCGAAGGCGAGCAGCGAGGCGACGAGGCCGCCCACCGAGTTGCCGGCGAACCAGATGCCGGTGCGGGTCGGGATCTCGTCGCGGGTGTACCAGGTGGAGGTGAGGAACATGAAGGCCGGGGTGATAGTGGCCTCGGCGACGCCGAGGAGGAAGCGCACGGTGAGCAGGCCGCCGTAGTTCTTGCAGGCGGCGGTGACGGCGACGACGGCGCCCCAGAAGAAGGTGTTGGCGGTCATGTACTTTGCGACGGGGAGGCGGGCGATGAGTAGTGTCGTGGGGTACGTCCAGGCGAAGTAGCCAAAGTAGAAGATGCTCGAGACCCAGCTGTAGTTCTGGCCTTTCAGATGCTGTCACGGATGCGTCAGCAAACATGCACACATTTCATCGTCCACCATCACATTATTGGCCAGACCGTCTTCAGGGAAAGTTGCGACTAAGGCACTCACAGTATCATCTCTCAACCCAAACACACTCGCGCTCGACAAGATGGTCTTATCCATGAAATTGAGCATGTACGTGACGAAAAGCAGGGGAATGACGGTGCGGTCAATCTTCCACAGAATCTTCTTCGCCATCGCGGTGTCGACATGCTGCTGCTGTTGCTGCTGGTCCACGCCCTGCGGCGCATCATCCGGAGTCGAGGCCATATCGTCGTCAGCTTCGAGCAACCTCGTTCTCTCGTGAGCGTCGTCTGCGTGGTGCGGTCGCGAGCTGGATGCTTCCCCCGCCCGAGGTGCAGCCGCCGCCCTTTTGAAGAGCCCGGCCATTCAGCGAAGAACCGGTCGCATGCGCGGTTACCGGGGGGCTGCTTGCCTGTTCTTCCCGCGGCGAAAAAAGCAGAGGGAAAAATCAGGATGGGGACCTTATCTGCGGCCTTGTCTGCCGATGGCCGCTGGGCCACGCGGTCGCTGTGACCCGACCAACCACCACCGCGAACCGGAGGGGCGGGAGATAAGCAAGCGACTGGATGCCAGAGACGAGCACCGCTAGACTCCGCTGAATAGAGCACTACCCCCGACGAGGAAAAGGAAAAAGTCGTTCCACTCTAGGGTCGGTGAATATCCGAACCGAGGATGCGACGTTACCACACTGCATATGGCTTGGAGATGAAAGAGGCAGACGTTAAATGGACCTGACAGGCCGGCAAAAAGAAACAAAGAGCCGCTTTGATACCGGCTGGGCGGTTATGGTTGGCTGATGGAGGCTTTGGGGAATAAGACGGGCCCCAGAAAATTAAGTGTTATCGGATCCTTCGTGTTGTTGGGGTCTCCACATTGCTGCGAACATCGGCCGTCAAGACTCCATCAAGGCTCACTTGATTCGCGACTCTTTCGATGTTTGATTTGCAAAGGGTCTTCATCCAACCACTTACGAGATGGATATTTGTGATGTTCCATTCGCATCACCCGAGAACTCGGTCGAGGCGTTCGAGTTTTCGCGGTAGAAAGACAATGGGCCAGTCAGAAGAAAGAGAACCAGAGACCGGCGGGACTCTAAAGAGTGACATCCCGCAATACATTAGATGATAGCCGACAGGGGGCAATTTAAGACGTCGGGACCTGTCCGACATAACGGAGCTGCACGTCAATCACCACAGTCCAATCGGCCAACTCCAGTCTCACATGAAGGTGAACATCTGAAGCTTCATCACAGCAACTCAGAAATCACAGCCAGTTTTCTACTCCCAGATCAAACTCACCACCACCTGCTTCCGACTCCTCTTGGCCCAAAATGAACGGCCTCGAAATCTCCCCCTTCATCGCCTCCCTCCCCAAAGTCGAACTGCACATCCACATCGAAGGCACCCTCTTCCCCTCCCTGCGCTGGAAACTCGCCCATCGCAACAATGTGCCCCTGCCCTATGCAACCTACGACGACCTCCTCGCCTCCTACACCGTCTTCTTCAACCACCGCCCCGAGATCAACGGCCGCGTCCCCGGCATCCCCACCTTCCTCGAGGCCTACTTCGCCGGCTGCGAGGTCCTCCACACCGAGGATGACTTTTACGAAATGTCCATGGACTACCTCCGCCGCTGCGCCGAGATGAACGTGCGCTACGTCGAGCCCTTCTTCGACATCCAGGCGCACACGCGCCGCGGCGTGCCCGCGGCCGACGTGCTCAACGGATACCTGCGCGCCCAGCGCGACGGCGAGCGCGAGCTCGGCGTGCGGTCGAACTGGATCTTCTGCTTCATCCGCGATGAGAGTGTGCAGGATGGGCTGGATGCGTACGATGTCGCGCGGCCATGGGCGGCGGGGAACGTGGAGGGCGGCAAGGGGCTTTTTCATGCTGTTGGACTGGCGAGCAACGCGTTTGAGAGGCCGCCGATGCTGTTTGAGGAGGGGTACAGGAGGGCAAGGGCGGATGGGCTGCATGTTACGATGCACTGCGACTTTGGGCAGAAGGACACGCACGAACACGTGCGGGAGGCCGTTTTCAAGGTTTGTGGCGGCAAGGGCGCGGAGAGGATCGATCACGGGCTGGACGTGGCGGACCGGGAGGAGCTGATTCAAGGTGTGTTGGAGAGGGGGATCGGGTTGACGCTGTGTCCGCATGCGTATCACCGTAGGACGCCGACGGAGGTGTTGTTTCCCAAGATCCGGGCGCTGTGGGAGCGCGGGGTGAAGTTTTGTGTGAACAGCGATGATCCGGTGTACATGCATGACGTGTGGGTTGATGGGAACCTGCAAAAGGTGTATACGTATTGTGAGATGAGTAAGAAGGACATGGTGCAGTTGGTCAGGAATGGAGTTGATATGTGTTGGGCGAGTAACGAGGTTAAGAAACAGCTGTACAGAGAGCTTGATGAGGTTGATGTTCAAGAGTAGAGAATTGGTTAGTCGTATGAAGAAAAATAAGGATTTATATCGAAACCAATTCTTGACTGATGCCTTCAGAATCGGACATATCAATGTTGAATTCAAGCTCTCTGTGAACAGACTCGTTAGTTCATATGACCTGTGCTACAGTCCCAAGTTGTTCGGGCTGCTACTAAGAATTAGTAGCACATAGCTGTTAATGCCAAACGGATGAAGCGATACCTAACTATTTTATTTTGTTACACTTTCATGGTTACTACCAATAATAGACCTTCCTTTAACTCTTATTACTATCTATCTTTCAACCCTGGAACGCCGCCTTACCGAAGATATCACTAGACTTTCACAATTAGACATATCTACAATCTAGGAATCTCTTCCTGCATTCAAACGCAAATGGTCTCAATCAATACATATCGTTAAGTTCGTTCCTATAGCACATTACTGTTGTAATTCAGTTCCGAGTTGAACTCACAATCGTCACCGATATGTTGGTATTGCCAAATCATCTTGGCATCTTCATTGACTTTAACTAGACCAAATGGTTCTCTCACAAGCCTAGTCCCTTCCCAATCAAACGCTATACAGCTATCAAACTTGTCTCCTCATAATCGCACATGCCTTCTCACTTCCACCTGCAACCACAACTCAATTTCCTATTGAAACGTCTTGGGTGGCTTTGGAGCAGGAGACAATATTTTCTGGTCTTCGTTATGAGATATCGTCGCACCTTCCTTGACGAAACTCTAGTGACTGCCCAACAGACTTCTTCTACACCGCGTGTGCTCTTTCCTAGACAATCTCGGGCCATAGCTGACGTTCCAATGCTATTTAACCAGCCCCATTTCAAGCACTCAGCTCTTCTCTGTTCCACTCTCAACATCAAACACGTTTCACATCCACTTTAACTCACCACAAGTGACTTATCTATCCGCTTTCGAAGGTGGGCAATAAGAATACGACGTCAGTCCAAATTCAACATCACTTGTACAGCGCATCAACTTCACAAACAACATCAATTCGAGGGCTGTTCCTGCCACCGCCTATTTTCATATCTCCTATAAGAACACCGAAATCAGGTTCACCTACAGAAGGCACAGCCGTTCAACCCAAAGGTCTTACCGCACCTGCCCGAGGATCTGTGGTTTGAGTTGCTCTTCGTGCTTGCCCGCTTCCAAATTCATACGACATCATCCCCTCAAGTCCATTCTTCTTTCTTCATCACAACACGGAAGCCGACGAGGATTCGTTGTCTGTCTTCAACCTCACCACGAACAGTATTCTTCTGAAAAGGAATCTCAAACATCGTTCGTTTGTCACAAGAAAGGTCACACGATCCCCAGTCACGCCTGCCTCCAGAAAGCCAGTGGTCACCTACCGCCGTACGCCTCTCGGTTACTCCCCTTGATTCAACTCTACAGCACAGAATCATTCGAAGAAAGAACGAGCCAAAAGCTGGGATCAACTGTTCAGCTCATAGTCAAAGTCACTTCCGTCGACTCTTGACCATCACCCCAAGTTGATTGTTCAACCCTCTTCGACACCGATCTTGAGAGTTAGCCTGCCGACCATAGTGAACTTTGCGACTCATTCCTTTCAGACATCGCCACTTCCCACTCGAGCTTTCATGATCAAGTGTCAGAGGGTACTTTCATTGCCCACAGACTGCAACCATGGCCCGCGGCGAACGTGTCAAGAAGCCCTGGCGCCTGAGCACGCTGGACAACTACTTCATTGACGACCGGGCTGCGATGGTCGACCGCGACCCAGAAGCGAACTTTGTGCTGAGCGTGACTAAGTACGCCGATGACGAGTATAAGCCCTTGCAGCTGCCTGCGAATCCGAGAGGGCGACCGAAGCGCGTCACCGGGACTGCACGTATCTCGCAGCGACAGGCGTCCAAGAAGGCGAAAGAGAGAACATCCATGCTCTATGAGGAGTACGGACAGCCCATAGATGAAGACGAGGTATCGAGCGAGGACTCGCCTGTCAAGGGACAGATTGCAGAGAAGCAGGCTGAGGTGTTCGTCGCAACGATCAGACCCTGTCAACCGGCCGCAACTTACTCACCAACCCAGAAGCCCAGCTTCGTGTCGATGACTCGTCAGGCACCATACAGCTGTACGCCGTATGTACTGACTGAGAGATCAACTTCAGGCAAAGCTGTTCGAAAGCGTGGGGCTAAGACCAACGCTGCCGCACCACGTAAAAGAGCACGTCGAAATCTTCTCCAAGACAGAGAAGATCTCTCCGATGACAGGGAGGTCACTTTGGGCCGAGAGATTGCTGGTAAAACCAGCAATGATATTGCAGAAGTGGACAAGGTTGAGGAAGTCATACATGTGGTCGTGGGTCCAATGACACAGGCAGCGCCCGCCAGCGCGGCGCCGTCGCAACCTACTCTCCTCAAAGCGCCGGGACCGGTGGAAAGCCGACCAGGAGCTGTTCCAGGAAACGACGGACAGGACACACAGCACAACAAGACGGACAATCCAGGCACACCTGTTGAGAGCCGGAGCGGATCGGTCGAAAGCCGCATCGATAGCATCAGTTTACGATGGGGCCAAGTCGAGGAAATCATCGTCCATCAAAGGTTCGTGAACGCAGCGTATCTGACGATGGCGGGACTACGGAGCAGCATTGTTGACGACTTGGCGCGCGAGTTTGGCATCATCGACTATGCAGACATCACTGATCATCTGAACGAGATCCGGCGCAACGAGCATGAGGGCGCAAGAGTTGAAGCTGCAAGAGGGCTGGGGAGAGTGGTCATGGACCGTATGATTGTTAGTAAGTGAAGCTTGCTTTTGGTATCCTCAGACTCCATGGAGCTGACGTTCTACAGCAGGTATAAAATCGGAGTAAGGCAGACGGGGTCAAGTGTATTGATACATAGAACGGGATACAGAAGTCTTTTGGAATGACGGAGTGATACAGCTTCGTCACAAATCAAGTCATAAGGAGTTAAGGGCGCCCGAAGGCTAACATAGTCTGGGGCTTGCGTCAAGGGCGACGGATGCCTTCCCGACAGAGAGTTGATTTTCAACAGAGGTTTCGCATTTGGTCACACAAGTTCACTAAACATAAATTACCATAGTCGCAACAATTACTCAAGTCCAAACCATCAATCACCGTGATCTTGATACGTTACTTGCTCATCTATGGTGTATCAAACCTCATCCATGCAACTCTAGGTTCTAAACTCAGTCTTGGCAGGCAAACCCATGAAAACTTCGCGCAAACACGTCTCCCCGCGAAGCTTACATTCACAGGGCCCTCCTGACCATGATATTGTAATCATGCCATACGTAGTCGTTCCCAGCGTCCCTCTCCCAGACAAAGGAATCCCTGTTCGCCATCTCCATGTCAAAAGCGAAAGCGACCTTCGCCACGGTCAGCCGAATCGACTGCAGGGCCATCTCGCGCCCAATGCACACTCTCGGCCCGACGAGGAAGGGACGATAGCTGGTCCGGACATCGTGCTCAAAGGCCGTCCCGGGCCCATTGTCAATCCACCGGTCGGGGCGGAATTTATCGGCGAGTGCCCAGTAATCCGGCCGCCGCTGGATAGTCCAGATGTCGGCCGAAACGTTGACGCCCTTGGGCACGTAGAGCCCGTCGATGGTGGCGCCTGGGGAAATGCGGTGCGAGCCGCGGCCGTTGATGGGCGGCAGGAGGCGCAGAGTTTCCTGCACGCAGGCATTAAGGTAGGGCAGGCGGAGGACGCTCTGGGCTGAGATCTCGGCGAGCGAGGAGTAGGTGGCGCGGACCTCGTGCTGGATCTTGTGGTAATGGTCTGGCTCGCGCAGGACATGGTAGAACATGGCAGACAGGGTTGTGGCGGATGTGTCGTAGCCTACCATGCTGTTTTGGATTCAAGAGTGCATGTCAGCAAGGTGCATCTGGGAAAAAAGCATGAAAGATGATTGGCCACTAACGCGAATAAGGCCGAGTTGCTCAGGATCTCTGCCTGAGTCAGGCCTGCGGACTCTTTGGCCGCCAGGATGGCGGTGAGGAAGTCTTTACGGCCGCCTTGTCGGTCGATGCAGCTGGATGACTATGTTAGAGTTTCTGTTCGGTCGGTTGGTACGTGTTGGGACGACGCGGGGCACTGACTCTCTCAGTTGATTCATCAACAGGAAGTTCTTGGGAACTCTGAAGATGTGGGGCACGATCATGACAGGCAATTTGGCCAGGCCACCAAAGATTGGGATTTCTGTGAGGAACTGGAACAGTTCTAGGAGAGGCGCTCCTTTACCGTAGGTGAACTTTAGCTTTTCGTATGCGCCTGGTTGGATAGTTAGCGCGACGCGCAGCCACAGCTTGGTCGTTACGGATATTTACTCATTTGGTCATGGAGCAGGGGCTCGCCGAATGACAAGTCACCAACAATGCTCCAGATCATCCTTGCAAAGTGGTCGCTGATATTGATAATCTTCTCTTCGTTCAGTGCTTTTCCCAAATTGTCGACCGCCCTGCCAACGTGGTGCTGGACAATGTCCTCTTGTTCCATGAGAGCTTTCGCGGTGAACGCTGGCTGTAGAGCAGTGCGGAGACGCTTGTGCGCTGTCTTGTCTGTCGTGGTCAACAGGTTCGGCGCTGCCCAGATCAGCTTTGCAAGCAAGGACTCAATGGTGCCCTGTTTCGTAAAGTGTCCACCATTTGGGCCCGGGTTATGGATTGTCTTGAGAGCATCTTCGGACGCAAACGACAATTCGTTGGGACCGATTCGTACAACGGGGCCTGGAAGTAGGAAATTAGTCTTGGTTTGAAATGTGAAGATATATATGTGAGCTGTTACCATATTTCGCATGAATTGCTTCGATGTCATTGTTGAGTCTATGCCCCGACACGGACCGGATGAGCCAAATCTGGCTACCATGTTAGTTACAGCGAAATCGGCTGAAGATCAGGGGCCTTACAGGAGATATCGCCGCAATGAAGGGACCTTTGACGTGGGCAATTGGATGAAGATAGTAGTTATAAAGACCTAAGAGTACTGGGCATACAATGAACTGTACAGAGGTGAGTCGGTTAGTTGACCAGGTTCGGTGTAAGTCAAGGGCACACTCAGTGACATACTAGAAAGCCGAAGTACACCGGCATGTTCCCCCATGACAGCCAGCCATGGGACGGGCGCAAGATCCACGGCACAGCAAGTGTGCTAACCTTGTCTTGGGGAAAAGCGTTGAGTGTGGCGTCCATCTTCTTTGGCTATTTAATTTCAATATGATGTCGTTCATGAGAAGGTCGCAAGGAACTCTATCGCCAGTTCAAATGGAAAGGCTGCAATGGTAATTGAACTCCCTGGTATCCAAAATGTGGATATTCTCTCCATCAACTCATCGGCTGGTGCTTTTGTCAAAGATGGATCTGTAAAGCTCCAAGTCTCCAGCTACCGTGTGCTCATTCTCGGTCAACTCAGCGGTCCTGGAGCACATGCTATCAAACTTTCTGCAATTGATTGCTTCGCCTGGACTTGATTCGTAAATCCATTCCGTGGCAACGGTCCGATTCGGTCAATGCCTAAACACCGCGGCCGGCTGAGCAATTCCCCCACATACCGGCCGACCTCTTCTGGGCGGCTCCGAAAGTTTATCATCTGAAGTGGCACGCCGTCCGAGGTCATCACGCTTCGGCGTTAACCTTTATGGCATAGTCTTCGGTCTCGGTTTCCTTCCTAAACGAGGTTACACAACTGCCCCGCGTATCGACAGCTGAAACGGTTGACATGGAGAGATTGACGATAATCACCCGCCGACTGACACGACTCCACATCTTTGTGGTATGTTCCCGCCGACTGCTTGCCGCGAAGCCCCTCTCGCAACACCTCCACAGTCACACCGAGGAGCTAGGAGCTTTGAGCCCTCCAACGCCCAAGCATGACTTCTCACTGCTCTGTTTACACTACACCATGACGATCGGCAGCCAAGAACGACGCATCCACTGGTAGATAAGGTTCGCCCACTGAGAGCGGCTGCTCACATAAACTCTCCGAGGCTGTTTCGATCGCTGTCAGGCCAACAACCATTAACTATTCCCGCCAGCGACCCGCCCCTGCGGGTCACCCCAATGTCGGGCCACGTTCGCGACCTACTCGGACTCAAGCCACGTTTTTCGGCTGCAGTAGCTAGTCGACATTGGAAAAGTTTGAATCTTACCCCTTGCCAAGATTGATTTAGGTGAGATGGCATCCCAGAGCCACGAGATGTGCGTGCGTGTAATTATTCCCCGCGCTGAAGTTTGGGGAGCTTTTTCTCGTCCCCTTGCAATTTCGAAATGCAGTGATAGGATGCAAAAGTTGACAGCCTTTCCGGCGGGATGTCTTCGGCTAAGTTGTTTGTATGTCTTTGCTTGAATCGCGCTCCTATAGCACATGACTCGCCTGGTCATATCTCAGTGGCGGATCATATCCCCGAGCGTATCCTTACCTGTATCATCTATCGTAGGCGGCAAACTTTAGACGATAACCCGCGCATGCTTCTACTATTCTGCCAAGCCGCCTGGAGTAATCCATGGTAAGAGTGGAACCGACCCACTGGATCAATCCGCCATTTCAACCCTGACTTGCCTCTTCAAGACCAACTTTCAGCACCTGGTCGCAACCTGTGCCTTGGCGGGGTGTCGGCAATGGATAACTCGCCGTGCTCGCGCCATCGGCAAGATCCTTGAGGGCTCTATCGCGCCACATTCCCGTTTGACAAGCTGACGCCATCTCCATTCCTATCAAGGGCCTGGTTTCAGCTGGCATGTGGTAAGGCTGGGTATCACCGGGGCCTAACTCCCCTACAACCATATTGTATACGTGCCCCTACTAGCCTGACTTTATTATACTCTTCCAATCATCTAGAACACCATTGGCGAAGCATTTGACTGCCCGGCTACATTGCCCTGCTTCTCTAGGTCCGTAACTTTCTTTCACGGCCGCCTACCGTTGCTTCCTGCAGGTCTAGACTTTCTTTCGGTAAAGATCCAACCCCTCCCACGTACCTCTCCTACGGAAAAATGAACCACTCCCACCAAATCTGTTTAATCGTCGGCAGCATATCCGCATGATTGGCCGACCTCAGATAAATCTTGTTTGCCAAGGTTTCCTCAGACATTGCATCTGCTCCCTCGAAGGTTGTAACATGCATTCTGCGAACCGCCCAGGGTCGTGTTTGATCAATGGCACGTCAGCGCAAGAGAGGAAAAGGCCTTTTCCCCGATGAAGCCTTAAACCCTTTATACCTATGGTGACTTGTCAGCCAAACCCGAGGAGACGCGATAGTCTGCTCGTTCTGCTCGTTTTAAAAACCGAAACTGTGTCCATTGGTCACCACGCTATACTACTTTTATGATTTGATCGCCCGCAACACACACACACCCGTTGGCTAATTGGTCGGATTATCTGCTCGACGTTTTCTAGAACAAAGCAAGATGTTCGGTACTTTGATGTATGATCTACAGCACAACGAGCCCACGTTTATCGAGAACAATCCTGAGGCGGTGATCAATCGGAACCGACGGGGCAAGCCACACATCGCATGCGAATTTTGTCGAGCTCGCAAGGTAGGCTTTTCTCTACGAGCAGCACTTGAGACTTCTTCTGATTGCGTGAAGCTCCGATGTAATGGGAATCCAAACGGTTGCGACCGGTGCAAGTCAGCATCCAACATTTGTAAATACCCAACAAACAGAGGCGTTATCCGAAAACGAAAACAGTCCACCGCCTCAACCAAAGACTCGTCACAACCACGCCAATCTGCCCTTGGAGATACCACAGCACCGCAGTCGCCAACACTTTCCGACCACTTCAAACTTGACCCGGCAATGATGTTCCGCACATCAAACAACGAAGCCGAGAAGACCGTTGTGCTGGGTCAGTTGCATCGGCAAAGCAATCTGCCCAGTCCGGTGCTTGATCTGCCAGCCTGCCCCACCAACTTGATGGGGGAGTTGACCAACGGCCAAAACGAGAAGCATGAGCAGGATCAGATCGACCAATGGCTGGCTTCATGTAGCCTGTTATCGCCCAATGGCACAATTGATATGGGCAGCCTGAAGACAGGGGACTTCACTTGGCAAGAGCTGAGCAAAGACATGTCATATTTTGACAATGTGGATGACAGTGGAGATGATGGAGCGAGCTCTCAAGAGACTCAACTCGAGGACTTCGACATGAATGGTAAGCATCATCTGCAATCAACTTGCGGACCCGGGCTTGTTCATTGGATGGCTGACTGAATTACTAGATCCCGCAGAAACCATCGACGATTCATCATCAACCCCATGCCTATCATCCTCAAGTCTAGACATGCTACTGGACGAGAACTTCCCCACAAATACAAGCGCTCCCCTGCCGGATCCCCCATCGAACAAATCCCAACAACCAAGCCGCAAACAGACCCCAGTAGCATACAAGATGTCCGCGCCGGCACCAAGCCCACTTACGGCGCTACTGGAGACGGCCGAAAACACCTACAAGAAGAAGAGCGAGTGCCGCTGCCTCCGCCTAGCTGCCCACCTCCTCGAGCAACTTGGCAACGAGGGGGCAAATACGGAACAGCCGACGATGGACGGCTTGCTCAACTGCTGTCGAGAGGCCATCAAGGGCTGCGATTCAATCCTCAGCTGCACATTGTGCAAGTCTCGGTCCGAAAGCATGATGCTTCTCGCCATGGCGGGACAGTATCTCAGCAACATTTGCGAAAAGACGGTGCGGTGCTACGTGGACGTCGTCCAGCAGCCCCGGCCGGCGAATCCCCCGGACGGAGGCGTTGCCATGTGGTTCCGCTCCTACAAGATCGAGAGCGCATCGGAACGCAACCAGGTTCTCAGATGCCTCGTTACAGGACAGTTAACAGAGTTTTGCCAACTGATCAGCAAGATTAAAGCGCGGGTTGGCACGAGAAAGGCACACCTAGCGCCACTGCTGGGAGCCGAGCGGAAGATACAGTGCATGCGAACCATGTTGATGCAGTGTGAAAGTTATGGAGGATCTAGAAGCAACAGTAGCGACTCGCCGTCCCTAGCATAGCGTAATCAGAATATGTCAGTTGTCTCACTAGCGCTGCTGTACGTGAACATGTTGAAGTTTCTCTTTACGAGTGTGTCGGCTTTCTCCCGAGGGTTGCTGGGCCTTCCTGGTCGTGAAGACTTTTGCGACGCATGCATGTGCAACGTTTTTGTGGTTCGCCGGCTTTTGAGTTCGTAGCTTGAGACGAATATGCGATTACCTTTAGTCACACTCGTCCCAACTCGACTGAGGAGTATGCTCGGAGTAATCCTGCTCAGATGAATTATCTGGGATCTCGACAGACAATGTGTCAAAGCGTATAGCACAGCTTGACGGAGGCTAACAGACCCAACGGCTAAAGTTGCCTGCGCCTAATGTGCCTAAAGCGGCATGACAGTGCGCCGGCAGCCATACCCATACAGCAGCAAATGGATCACGGAAACAGGCAATCATCAAGTCTGGGTTGCGGCGCAAATAGGGTCCTATTCCAGCGAGCAACTCGGAAAACTCGGCCAATTAAATACTCATGCGATGGAAAAGCATCAATAAAGCTAATACGACCCTTGTTCTATGCTGCCTTCACAAGCGTGGAAACATAACGACTCTTTTCTCCAATTTTCTCAGCCAATACGCTCAAGCTCGGGCTGTGAAGCACGTCAAAAATGCTTGTCGTCTCGGCTCCCGCACTAGATACGAGCCAGTTTCTGAGCTCTACCGCAATGAGCGAGTCGACGCCGTACTTGGACACGGGATACTTCTTGTCAATCTCCGCAGCGTCCAATCCGAACATCTCGCCCAACTTTGAGATGATGGCGTCGAGGATGAGGACCACAGCACCGGTGCCGCTCGTGGCAGACTGCAGAGAGTCCGAGAGGCGGGCCGTCGCTTGACTTTGCTGATCACCTCGTCCACGTGGACCGCCATGTGCGTTGCGAGTAACTTGGGCAGCCGTGAATCGCCTGTCGTTGACCCACGCAACCGTTGATGCCTCGTCGAACTCTAGGATGCCCGTGATAAGTTGGCTGAGGTCGACCTGGCGAAGAGGGTGTTGGATGGCCGTCTCAACAATCTTGAGCATTTGTGCCTCGCTTATGTCGGCAAGACCAGTTTTGGTCAAACGTTCCGCGACACCCTCGGTATTGGCAACAAATCCGACCTCTTGGATGCTGGCCAGGTCAACCGACACCGCAGGCAGAGACTGAGAAGTCCGGAACTTAGCAAAGGCGTCTTGGAATGTTCCGCCAGCGGAGTAGTTCGCTTGGCTCGTATTCCCGCCCAGGCCAGTCAAGGATGACAGCATGATGAAGAAGTCAAGGTTGGGAAGGTTATTGTGGATGTTCCACGTGGCCGCGACCTTGGGGCCAGTTGCAGCAAGCCATTGGTCGTACGTCATATTGGGGAAAATAGAGTCCTAAGTTGCTTTAAGTTTATGCTTACTTGTATGGACAAAATGGGAAGGGAACTTACGTTGAGGGTCATTGCCGCCTGGATCACGCCACGAACCGGCGGGAGACTTTGGCTAGCTTGGTCCAAGACTCTGCGGAGCTCCGCCTCGTTCGATACGTCGCAATTCCCCAAGAAGGCATTGCACCCCGTGGCTTTCAGATCGGATATGAGATCCTCACTGTCTGGATGGGTCTTGGCGCTGCGAGAGAGGATAATGAGATTCTTGCAGCCAAGGCTGCGGGCCATCCACCGTGCGATGGATTGTCCAATCCCTCCCATGCCACCCACAATAACGTACGTCGCATTCGGTGAAAGACGGGCGGGCTGAGGGGACGAAATTACCTAGTGAATAGTCAGAAACCGTGTAATGGGATCGGAGGGAAAGTGCGACAGGAAACCATACCTTGATAAGATCTGTCTTCTTGGGTGTTACAACAATCTTGCCCAAGTGCTTGCCGCTCTGCATCAACCTGAACGCCTTGTCGACCTCCGAGATGGGATAAGTTGTCATTGGTGCCACTACTCGAAGCTGTCCATTCCCGAACATCTCCATGACGCCTTGCAGGACGTCTTGGACCGCTTGCCCCTTGTATTTGCCCAGTTGGAAGAGATCAACAGCAGCAAACGAAACGGCGCGACGCAGAGGGCTCATATCGAGGTGCTTTGCAGCCTCCATATCGCGCTTGCCAATCTCGACAAAACGTCCAAAACGTGCCATGCAGTCCCAAGTCTCTTTGAGCAGTGCGCCCGAGAGGGAGTTGAGAACAACATCAGCGCCTTTGCCGTTGGTGGCCGCCATAAGTGCAGGTCCGAACGAGGTATCTCGGCTGGAGAATATGTGATCTCTTGGGATCCCAAACTCTCTCATAACAAAGTCACGCTTGGCTTCGGTGCCGACGGTGACGAAGACGTTGGCATCGCGATGTTGAGCCAGCATCACTGCGGCCTGCCCGACTCCACCGGTAGCAGCATGGATGAGAACGTTGTCGCCCCTGGTAAGCCTGCCGATGTCATACAAGCCATAGTAGGCTGTCGCGAATACCATTGGAATGGTGGCGGCTTCTTCGAATGACATGTTGTCAGGGATGCGAACAGCACATGGCCAGTTGATGGTTACTCTTGTCGCCCAGTGTCCGCGAAGGATAGCGCAGACACGGTCACCAACCTTCAGACCACTGTCTCTCTGAGCGTCAGGACCAAGTCTAGTGACAATGCCGCTGCACTCATAGCCCATGATGGTTTCATCAAGCTGACCTAGAGCAACCAAGACGTCTCTGAAGTTCAAGCCGAACGCGCGTGGCTCGATCTCAATCTGTTCTGCGCCAAGAGCGGATTCATCACGCTCGACTTCCCGGAAGCGCAGGGTGTCGAGTAATCCAGCCGTGCCAACCTCCATCTGAAGATCGAACTTGGAGTCCTTGGCATCAAATTCTCTGATCTCTGGCTCAGGTTCACTGCCTTCGGGAGCGAATGCCTTGTTCTCGTTGTCGTCATTGTAGATGCGGGAGACATGAACGAGTGATTTGTCAACGGCATATTCGCAGTCAATGTCTTTTGAACTTTGTGAAAAGTCGAATGAAGTCGCAAAGACATCGGCGATGAAGTCCACATTCCTCTCCGACCACACCGGATCCTTGGTGTCAAGGTCAAGGGAGACGTAGCGCCTTCCGGCGTCTTCCATCCGCAGAGTTCTTAGAAGACCAGAGTGCATGGCCATGTCGGGATCCAGGCCCTTGATGAGACTAGCCCTTGTGACCCAGAGAACACCCCGAGCGGTCGTCAGCAGACGCTGTATACTCGCAAACTCGTCCTTCGTCAGGCGACTCAAGAGAGGCGCAACCATCTCGACGAGCATGATGCAAACTTTGTTCGTGGCATCCACCTTCTTCCAATCCTCTACGGTAGTAGAAGCTCCAATGTTACGTTGAATGCTGCTCTGAAGGCTCTGTAGCCAAGGGGCGGGTGCCTTCTCTGAGGGCGAAAGAATGGTGACTTCTGAAGGATAAGAAGTCGGCGCGGCGGCGGTTGAAGTAATGACGCTGAAGGAGTAATTTGCCTCGTCTTCCATGTCGCGCACCTCCAAGTCAATCCCGGAAAAGCCGCTTGCCTTCAAGACCCTGCTCCAGTGGTCGACTGTGAGATTGGGGCCACCCTTCCGTTCGGACTCTTCTGCAAGCCACCAGCCTGGCAATGCGCCAAAGATCAGCTGGACGTCCAGAGTATCCTTGGTGGTCTCCACCAAAATGAGCTTTCCGCCAGGCTTGAGCAGAGAACAAACGTTCTTCATCGTCTTTTCCATATTCTTTGTGGCGTGAAGAACCTGGCAGGCGATGATGAGGTCATATGAGCCAGGCGTGAAGGATTGCTCGGTGGGGTCGGCCTCAATGTCCAGCTTCTTGTAGCTGATCATATCACCATACTCGCCAAACTGCTTCGCGGCTGCTTCGAAAAAGCCGGCAGACACGTCGGTGAAGGTGTAGGACGACAAGCGGTATCTGCCGTCTGGGGTGTCCTCAGTCAATCCCTTGAGGACGGATCCTGTGCACCCACCGGTACCACCTCCGATCTCAAGAACCTTGGCTCGCGGGTTCTTCATGGAGTATAGATGCACTAACTTCTGGACCTGCGCGTAGGAACGGTTGCAACGCAGAGCCTTCTCATAGAACTCATATAGGAGGTTGCCTTCCATCATGACTTCGAGAGGAGCCACCTGCTTCCGGAGGATCTGAGACAGATTTCTTCCAATACGGCACAGAAGGCGGCCATTGACGCTCTGAGAGGCAACTTCGTCGAAGAGCATGTGTTTCATTCCCTTGCTTGCCTTAGCCCAGGAGGCGCTGCCACGAGCAAGACTGCCTACGAGACCAGCCTCATAGTTGGACTGCATCCAATTGTACAGGGACTTATGGTACCACTCCATGTCGGCGAGAGCCTGTTCATCTGAGCTCAAGTCCTGGATGGCGTCCTGGATGAAGTGCCAAGCAGCCCGGACGAGCTTCTTATTGACCGACAGTTCCTGTGCGCCAACTTCGAATCTCAAGGGCCGCACAATTGTCTCAGTAGGCATCAGCGTCATATCAGGATGCCACAACATCTTGAACAAGAGCTTGGTGGCATTCTCTGATGCGTCGGTGTTATTCACGCCGCCAACGGCCTGGCAGAAGAGCCCCTTGACCTCCAAAAGTGTCGTGTCAGTATGTTGTGGGTCGGAAGTGGTAATGGTGGAGCGGAATCCTGATCGGTCCTGCTTGTCCACGGTCGCAAGAGACTGGAACTGGCTCCCAGGAGAGGATGACAGGGACTGAGAAACAAAGATCTCTCCAATGGCACGAGGCATGACCATGGAGTTCTGGTATGCGTCTGATGACAGCGCCGCATAGGCCCCCTGGAATATGGAGTCCAATGTTGTAGGATGAAGTACGTGAGAACTGGCAAACCTAACGTCCGCAACCTGGAACTGGAATCTCGAGCCGAAATCTTGTGCTTGAATGCTGATCATGTTTTGGAAGGTCGGACCATGCTCCAGTCCCATTTTCCTGAGACGACCATAGAGCTCGCTAACCTCGACAGGTCGTAGACCGTTGTCATGCACACCGTTTGACAGGCTTTTGGAAGCCTGTACCGGCGGTAGAACTGCATTTGTCCTCTTTCTTTGTGAGATGTAACCGTGAATGTGCTCAGTCCATGATTCTCCATCTGTGGTGGGCGACTTGAGCGAGAACTCGTACCATCCTGACTCCAGGTTCTTGTTGTCGCATGGGTGAAGAGAAAGTTGGACCTCAATTCCGGCCTCCGTGTCCGGAATAACAAGTGCGTTACTGATCTGGATGTCCCTCAGGCAATAGCCATCAATTGTGTTCACGTCAGCATCAGAGAGTTGCCGCATAGCCTCAATCGCCATCGCAATGCCACCAGCACCCGGGTAAACGATGTCAGACTGAACCAAATGGTCCCGAAGCCACGGCAGCTCGGAAGCCTTGAGGAAATGTCTCCAGGTAGGGCTCGTCGCTGCTGGCCCGGAAAGCAGTGAGCCCAATAGCTCGTGGCGGACATGTTTCCTGTTGCGATGCGCAATATTGAGCCGTGACTCTTGCCAGAAGCTGTGGGTGTGGTTCCAGGGGTATGAGGGGAGGTCGGCAATAACGTCGTAGGCTTCATGGTGATTGTGTCGATTAACAGCAGCGAGATCCACAGGGTAGCCCTTGCACCACAGAGATCCTGCCGCAGTCTGCATAGCAACCGCCGCGTTCTGGCCTCTAATCAAGCAAGACGCATACGGTAAGCTTATATTCTTCAATGAAGGAGTCTTGCAGATTTGTCTGATTGGCCCAGCCAACGCGGAATGAGGGCCGATTTCAAGAATGAGATCGACGTTGGTTTCGCTAGAGGCAGTGTCCACGCACATCTTCTCGAATGATTGTGAGAAAAGCACCGGCCACAAAAGGTTGTTCACCCAGTGTTGCGGCCCAAGCTTCTCGGGACTTTCAATGAGGCCTCCTGTGACTGGCGAGGAGTAGACAATTTTGTTCCACTTCAGCTTTGGCTGGATGACGTCTTTCAACGCCTTCAGGTATTCGTCGGCCATAGGGAGCATGTGGTGGGAGTGGTATGCCGACTTGACCTTAAGCTTTCGAGCGAATATCTGGTCATTTGCGAAGTCCTTCTCGAGGCGATCGATTGCATCAAGGTCGCCGGAGAGCGTAACGCTTGAAGGGCTGTTGACGCAGGCCACTGTTACCGTGCCCTTGTCAACCCCATGCTCCGCTAAATATGACCAGGCTTCGTTAGATCCAAGACCGACAGCCATCATTCCGCCCGGTGCTGAAGAAGCAGTGTGATATTTTTCGGTCAGGGCACCACGGAAGTAAGCCACACCCAAGGCCTCCTCAAAAGTAAGAGCATTTGCAGCATAAGCAGCGGCAATCTCACCGCTTGAGTGACTCGTCACGGCACTTGGACGAATGCCCCAAGTCTTGAGCAGGTCTACCAAGCAGATCTGCAGCGCAACACAGACAGGCTGACTTAATCTGGGCTCGTTGACGCGAGTTAACTTCTCGTCTCGTTGCAACTCTTCCACAAGAGACCAGTCGGCACCGTAGTCGCCAAGAACAACGTCGGCGTGGAGAAGAGATTTCTGGAAAGTTGGATAAACAGCGATCAACTCGCGTCCCATCGCATGCCATTGTGCTCCTTGGCCGTTAAACACGAAGCCAATGCGTGGAGGCTCCTTGGCGAGTGTGACCGCTTTCTTGACAGGATCGTCTAGGGCCTCAATCAAATCCTGCTGCCAGTTCAAACTCGAGATGGCAACTCTCCAGGGGAAATGCGAGCGTCGAGTGTCGAATGTGTAAGCAAGATTGTCAAAGTCAATGGCAGCACTTGTTGACTTTCGGCTTTCCAAGTAGGCCTTCAAGTTTGAAACCATTTGTGTCGTGACCGTGGAGTCCTTGCTGCTGAGAACGACAAGCCGGGGTTCTTCTGTCTTCGTTGTTGTTGCAGGAGAGTCATGGAGATGCTCATCTGGACCGTCAATGATTACGTGACCGTTGGTTCCTCCGTAGCCGTAGTTGTTGACAGAGACGCGACGTGGCATACCCTCAGGCCAGTTCTGGGAAACCAGTGGGACGCTGACCTTCAGGGCCACCATGTCAATCTTCGGATTCGCCTCTTTGTAGTTCAAACTAGGTGGGATGATGCCATGCTTCAGCATCATAACGGCTTTCACGACTCCAGCAATTCCACTTGAAGCCTCCAAGTGTCCCAGGTTCGTCTTGATGGAACCGACTAGGACTGGGTTATCGGCAGTCCGACCCTTGCCGAATACCCGACTGATCGCACTAGCCTCTATCGGATCGCCAGTCGGTGTTCCCGTCATGTGGGCCTCAACATAAGGGGTCTTAGAGGGATCCAGTCCTGCTCTGCGATAGCAGGCGCGAATGAGCTCTTCTTGCGCCTCTGATGAAGGTGAAGTGATTGTTGGGGTCTTTCCATCTTGGTTGATTGCGGTCTCCCGGATGACAGCATGGACTGGGTCCCCATCCGCTAAGGCATCGCGCAGGGGCTTCAGAAGCAGGGTAGCGATTCCCTCACCGCGACCGTAACCGTTGGCCTGGCTGTCCCATGCAAAACATCGGCCATCGGCCCCAAGAACGCTGTGGGAAATTAGCTTAGGCTTTGGAACCTAAAACGGAAGCGGCCTCATTGACTTACCCAAGACTTGACATGACGATGAATGGGTCGGGGTTCAAGAGAAGGTTTGATGCCCCAACAACAGACATCCGAGACTCCCCATTACGAATGCTCTGAACTGCCAGGTGAAGAGCAGCCATACTTGCTGAACAGCCAGTATCAGTCGTTAAGCTAGGGCCACGAAGGTCAAAAAAGTGCGAAATTCGGTTCGACATCATTGCCACACCATTGCCTGTCAAGGCAGTTCTTGGCAACGTATCTGGATCTCGCATCAGACTATCGTGGTAGTCTCGGGAAAATGACCCCATAAAAACAGAAGTGTCGGTTCCTGCCAACTTATGCAGAGGAATTCCGGCTAGATGGTCGACGAGGTTAGCTTACTGTTGTCAAAGTTCGATCGATGTAGTTTACCATTCTCTGAGGCTTCAAAGACGGATTCTAGAAGCATTCGAATTTGAGGATCCATGGCCTGGGTGATAGAGTAAGCTACTTGAAACTCCGTTGATCTCGATTATCAGCGCAACTCACATTGGCAATTTCCGCAGTGAAGTTAAAGAACGACGCATCAAATTTAGAAACATCATCGCGAATGAAATGCCCACCAACCACATTGGACTAGTTTGGTCACTTGTTAGCATTCAGCTACGCTTTTGCGATGGATCAAGACCTCGTACCATTCCAATCTTGGCATGATCTTTGTCGTAAAATGCGTCCGAGTTGAATCTCGACTTTGGAATAGGAGACCATCCATCACGTCCGTCGACGACAAGTTGCCACAGCTTCTCAGGTGTTGTTGCATCGCCTGAGAACTTGCAGCTCAAGCCAATGATGGCGATGGGCTCTGCCGGTGCCCCGCTAGGTGATTGGACGCTGTCCACTGGAGACCTCAGCTCTGAGGAGGTTGCATGACTCATGTAAGGCGCCATTGTAGGTGATTATTGTGATGGGTCTCTGAGCTCAGTTGCTTCACATGGGCCACAGTAAGTTGTGTCTTGGTTTTGGCAGAGAGTTAACTGGAACTTCCAGATGGTGGGTACCCGTGATCGTAAGGATCGTCGATGAGCGAATGGTTACTAAGAGGTTCAACTCATTCTACAGCCTGCCAACTATGATGCAAAGCCTCTATTGATACAGAATCGGACTGGAAAATTGTGTCTCCAAGCTGCAAATCCGAAGGTTTGGCTATGCAATCTTCACCTCAGCAACCGGATCGCCGAAAAGGATAAGGCCCGAACAACTCGGCCTCCAAAACAATCTCCCACCTTCCGCTCGATTGTGACCAGCTCAGATCTAATCTTGGCTACGCAATAAGGCCCTTCCTAAATGGGAAGCGCCGTGCCCCTCCCACCCCTCCCCGGAGCAAAACACGGGATGAAGCGGGAGGGATAGACGCCCCGGAAAGTCTCGTAGCAATTGCGGCAACTCTATTTGATGGGCATGTCGCTAGACTATCTAGGGTCAGGGGTCCGCGGTGAAGAGCCCCGGTAAAGTTCAGCACGACTCGTGGCACCAACGGCGGTGCAACTTTGGACGATGAGCTGAGAGTGACACGCGAATGTAACCACTGAAGGCTGCAGCGCGTTGATGATGCGACCCTAGAAGGGTAACCCGATTTGTAATGCCATGTGGGAAGCGTTTGCTGCATTACGCGTGTTTAGCTGCTGAATGACTACCCAGGACTACTCGGAACACATTGAAATCGCTGGTTCCTGTCAATTGCTCCTACTAGTGTATGCAATCAACTCAATGATCGTGTTGTAAACATCAAATTGATTACAGCGTCACATCGGAAGTAACGCTATCAAACACCATTCTGACATTTTCGTTGACTTTCAGACAACTCCGATTCAACATGCCTTCTGCAGGAAACCTGTCCAAATGGGCCAAAATGGGCGGTCGCAAGTCGAGCGTCAAATCTGAAGAGCCCTCGGTCACTGAACAGCAGGTTCCCGATAGTCCACCTGCAGACCCTAGTGCCGATGGCCCGACTGGGCTAAAGCTACTTGCGATTACACTCGGGTTATGCTTGACGCTATTCCTAGTTGGCCTGGTAAGGGATCCTGTGACCACCCTCTCACCACTATGGCTAACGTGGACGGCATGTAGGATAACATCATCATATCCACGGCTATACCACGAATCACTGACGAGTTCCATTCCATCAACGATATCGGCTGGTACGGGAGCGCCTACTTGCTCACGACGTGCACATTTCAGCTCACTTTCGGGAAACTGTATACCCTCTTCTCCATCAAGACTACATACCTTGTCTCAATCTTCATCTTTGAAGTTGGATCAGCGATATGTGGTGCAGCTCCACAGTCCGCCGTCCTGATCGTCGGAAGAGCCATTGCTGGCGTCGGCTGTTCGGGGATTCTGGCCGGAACCTTTACCATTATCGCCGTCATCGTGCCGTTGCCCAAGAGACCTGCCTACACAGGACTTGTGGGCGGGGTCTACGCGATTGCTTCAGTGGTTGGGCCACTTCTTGGAGGCGCCTTCACAGACAAAGTGACGTGGAGGTGGTGTGTAAGTGTACTCCTCAAACCTTTGATTGACTTGTCCGCGACTAATGGCACGTAGTTTTACATCAACCTACCTATCGGCGCCGTTTCTCTGGCTATCATGATCTTCGTCTTCAAGTCACCGCCACGGCCAGACTCTGACAAAGACCTGACTTTGGTGGAGAAGTTCCTTCAGGTGGACCCCCTAGGCACAGTTGCGCTGATGCCGGCCGTCATCTGCTTGCTTCTCGCTCTTCAATGGGGCGGAACCGTCTATCCATGGAGCGACGCGAGAGTGATCGTGCTCTTCGTGCTATTCGGAGTTCTTTCTATCGTGTTCGTCTTCATCCAGATTCATAACGGCGCAAACGCCACTTTGCCCATCACCGTCATCTCTCAGAGGAGCGTTGCAGCGGCTTGTTGGTTCTCAGTGTGCACAGCCGGGGCCGACTTCACTCTTCGACAATACATCCCAATCTGGTTCCAGGCGATCAAAGGAGTTTCGGCGGTCGATTCTGGTCTGATGAACCTGGCACTCATTCTGGCCACAGCCCTCGCCTCAATCGTCAGCGGTATCGGTATTACCAAGATTGGATACTATAACCCTTTCATGATAGCGGCTACGCTGTTCATGTCGGTCGGCGCTGGACTGCTCACAACGTGGAAGCCCGATGTCTCTTCCAGAGACTGGATTGGATACCAGGTTCTTTACGGATTGGGCTCCGGCCAGAGCATGCAGACGCCATTGATGGTAGTCCAGACCGTCCTTCCAATGGCCGAAATCCCACTCGGCACAGCTCTTGTAATGTTCTTGCAAACATTCGGAGGAGCCATTTTCATCTCGGTGGCGCAGAACGTTTTCACGAATGAGCTGCGCAATGGATTGGCGAAAGACTTCCCAAATCTTAACGCGACAGCCATCGTTGACGGAGGAGCCACAAGTATAAGATTGCCAGGCGTACTACCTGATGGGATGCTTGAGCCTGTCCTTCGTCTTTACAGCAAGTCTCTGACAAATTCCTGGTATGTCGCTCTGGGACTGGCATCTGCAAGTATCGCAGGAAGTACTCTAGTCCAGTGGAAGAGTGTGAAAAGTACGGAGACACCTCCTCCTGCCGAAGGAGATGGCAAGGACAAGATGAGTGGAGCGGCGGACGCGATGGAGATGAAACAACAGGACCTCAGCCCCACCGATTCCAACGCAAATGATGTGTTCAATAAGCGAAACGATGCTGTCTGAGGGATTATAACAGAAAGTCCGGATCGGCTGGTATTCACAGTTCTCGCATAGTTGTCTTATTTTTTATAGACTTTTAATTTGAAGAAACTGGTTTCTCACAAACGCTCGGCAGGTTTTCAATGTGAATGATATCGAAGAATCCATTCCTACATGGAGTCTTGCGCCGCTTTGGTAATGAGCGCCGATTCGGAGTTGATATTCTGTGTAAATAAAGACCTGCAAGTCTGTCGATCATTTTGGAGGTACGGACGACACAGGCCCAAAAATGTTTCAAATGACACGGAATGACGGCGGGTGGCATACATATGAGACGACGGCGTGTGCTTCTCAAAATAGGGTCGTACTGCTTATCACGCTCATCTGTGACAACATAGGTCTTCTCATGAATCTCAAATTCAGTATCTATATGCCGGCTTTGCTTCCCATCTAGCTACGTCTGGTATCATAGAAATGATGGGGGTTGTCTGTAATACTGATCCACAGCCCACTCCATAGCCCTAACAACTGCCTTGACCTCCGAATCCTTCTTCGGGGGATGATGTCCACCCGAATGTTGAAGCTTTTTCGACAGCCTTGGGTCACACATTTGATATCCTACCTCATGCATGTCATGCATGAAGGGGAAGTCCCGTCTGCCGGCCACATGGACAGTCGGGATGTGAATGCGCTCCGAAAGTAACATGGGATGCAGAACCCGTGGAACAATACCACCCACATCCCGAAAGAAGTCTTGATTGAAGTCGGGCAAAACTGCTCCAATCTTCAGAGCCGACTGGAAGGTGCGTACGAGACAGTCGTTGAAGACTTGCTGCCGTGGAGGGAGATCTACGGCGCTTGTTCCGGTACGACGATATGCACAGAGCTCCTCTATCTCAGGTTCGCAATATGTTGCGTCGGCCGAAAATGGAACTACTGAGGAGAAGAGCACGGCAAACTTGAAGTCAGGCTCCTCGCCATTGACTTGCTGGTGGTAAATGTAAGAGAGGGCGACAGAGGCCCCTTGGCTGAAGCCCAATATTCCGTCAAATGGACCAAGCTCGTCGACCGTTGTGGCGATGTGTTGATGTGCAGCCTCAATTTCTCGGGGTGAATACCCAGTAAGGTGTGAATAGAATGGCCCCGGAAGAGCCGGGCTCATACCTGAAAGCATATTGTCAGCTTCGTGTGTTTGCAGTACGTAGGTCATTCCTGAGGTGTTCGCAGAATGCAGGTCATTTCTTAGTTCAACTTACCAGGTCCTCGGTGAGAGGGAACCGGCCCGTCAACCAGCACAAACTCGTAGCTTGCATCGACTGATTTCATCAGCCCTACGAGCTGGCTCTCTAGAATCTTGGCAGAACTGCCGACGCCGTGCAATGCAAGAATCCTCATGGCTTCTAGAAAGAAAATGACAGCAGTGAGTACGAAGTCAATAAGGAAAAGTAACTTCCAATGCACAACTTCGTAGATGCAAGATAAGAAAGGAAATTAAAAACCGAATCCGACGTTATCTTCTTGAGCTCTAGCTGTCAGGCCCCTTGGCATGCCATCTGATAGTTTACGCGGGCCGTCCGGTTTGGGAAGTCTGTGTACAAATTACCTATCTGGGTCCACACCGGTGCTCTTTTGACAGCACCGATACTCATTTTGGGGTAGGTAACAGACTGCTGGATCAGGTTCCGGACAGGGATTGGCTGTGGATCCACGATAACGAAAGAGGCATTACTTGTATGGCAGTGCGTAGATTTGGCTGTAATGAAGCGAACGCGGATTGAGAATAATGGCAACTCTGTGCTGCTTCTAAGCCTCGATAACTATTCCTCACATTACAGGTTACACGCGTAGACACCATCGTCGCTTAGGTAACTTACACACATTGAGCCCCAAAAGTCACTATGAGTCAGTGCAGCGAGCAAGAACCAATTGCCATCATTGGGGCAGCATGTCGCCTAGCTGGTGAGACGACGTCACTTGGGAGACTATGGGACATGATCAGTCATGCCAGGAGCGGCCACGGCAAAGTTCCATCTTCGCGATGGGATGCAGATGTGTGGTATCATCCTGATCCAGATCGCAAAGGATCTGTAAGTGAGACCTTCTTGTGTGAACACAGCAGTGTGTTAACATTCCTGGCCGTGAAGATCAGCGTGAAACATGGGTACTTCCTGGAAGAAGATGTCTCTGTATTCGACGCCCCATTCTTCTCAATGACAGCGAAAGAGGCGGCGGGTATGGATCCTATGAAGAGATTACTTCTCGAAGTGAGTTATGAGGGATTTGAGAATGGTAAGTTCAACGCTCTATCTTGTGCGCAGCTTTGTTACTGAGACACTGTTAGCCGGTATCCCTGTGGACACCCTTATGAACTCGCAAACTGGATGCTATGTTGGATGCATGACGAACGATTATGAGCAACTATCGACTCATGAGATTTATGACGTTGGAGATGTTGCAGCTTCTGGGATGAGTGAGGCTATGACAGCAAACCGAGTGTCTTGGTACTTTGGACTACGAGGACCCAGTCTAACCCTTGACACCGCATGCTCATCAAGTCTCTACGCCCTTCACCTCGCTTGCCAGTCACTGAAATTAGGCGAGACCAATATGGTAAGACGTCAACTCGCAGCGAAAAAAAGAACAGCCAGTAACACTTTTTTAGGGACTTGTTGCCGGTGTTAACTTGATCTTACATCCCAACTTTATGCATCAGCTCTCGTCAATGCACATGCTGAGTCCCGAGGGAATCTCTCATTCCTTTGATCACCGAGCAAATGGGTATGGTAGAGGAGAGGGGATTGGATGTTTAATCGTGAAGAGACTAAAGGACGCCCTGAGGGATGGAGACACAATCCGCGCTGTAATCCGCGGCACGGGCACCAACGCAGACGGAAAGACGCCTGGCATCACACAACCAAGCTCAGAAGCGCAGGCGGAGCTGATCAGGAGCACATACGAGGCCGCAGGCTTGCCTTTCTCTGACACACAGTACTTTGAGGCCCATGGGACTGGTACTCCTTTGGGAGTAAGGAGATCCGAGTCTCATTGCCTATTCGCGAATGCTGACCGTTGCTAGGACCCCATTGAGCTATCAGCAATTGGCGCCACACTGGGCACTGGCAGAGACCCCGAGTCAGGGCCACTTTTTGTGGGCAGCATCAAGGCAAACGTCGGCCATACCGAGGGATGCTCCGGGCTGGCTGGTGTTCTCAAGTCCATCGTCTGTCTCGAAAAGGGCATTCTCGTTCCCACAGCTGGCATCGAGAAGGTAAACCCGAAACTGAGGCTCACAGATTGGAACTTGGCCTTGCCTTCAGAAAACATGTCCTGGCCCTCCAAAGGACAGCGCAGAATCAGTGTCAACTCATTTGGTTTTGGTGGTGCCAACGCCCACGTCATCCTAGACGATGCTCACAACTATTTACGAAATCGAGGTTTGCTGGGCAATCACAATACCACCACCTTGGAAGACGATTCATCAGAATCTGGCATCAGCATGGGGTCTGAGTCCCCGAGACAAGAGTCGCACAAAAGGCTTTTCGCCTTCAGCACCAAAGACCAGACAGGAATCGACCGCCTTGGCCCTCTCTTTAACGACTTCTTGTCAAACAAGGAAGCCACATCAAACGCAAGATTTCTCGGTGACCTTGCTTACACTCTCGCGGGCCGCCGCTCACATTTTGAGTTCCGAAGCTTTGCTGTCGCAGAGTCCGTGTCAGACCTACAGACCCAGATCGAGAAGGGCTTACCAAAGTCCAAACGCGCTTCCAAGCACGACAATCCTATCTTCGTCTTCACTGGCCAAGGAGCTCAGTGGCCTGCCATGGGTAGAGAGCTTCTCAACAACTGCATCTTCCGAACGAGCGTCCATAAGTCGCAGGTCCTACTGGAGCACTACGGATGCCCGTGGGATTTGATCGATGAATTGTCAAAAACTTCTGATTCCAATGTCGATCTTCCTCAGTACAGCCAGGTACTGTGTACGGTTCTTCAGATCGCGCTGGTGGACCTTGTGCGGGCCTGGGGGGTCATCCCGAAAGCTGTTGTCGGTCACTCAAGTGGTGAAATAGGTATGGATCAGTTTCGAACAGGGCTATTGGACAGCTCGCTAACATTGTCATAGGCGCGGCCTACGCTGCCGGACTCATCTCTCGCTGCAATGCCGTTAAGGTGGCATACCTGCGTGGAATTTGTTCCGCCAAGGTTGCCGATATTGTGAGCCCTCGAGTCGGCGCCATGCTAGCAGCCGGGCTGAGCGAAGTGGAGGCAGCCGCATATTTGGACCAAGTACCTCCAGATTCGGCTGTGATTGCATGCGTCAACAGCCCTTCAAGCGTGACACTATCTGGAGACCGCGATTCCATCTCTCAGTTGTGCGAGCTGATATCGGCTGATGGCAAGTTTGCCAGAATGCTTCGCGTCAAGACGGCTTATCATTCTCCTCACATGAGCACTGTCGCCAAAGAGTATGTTGACCGCATGGGAGTGATTTTGCCACTTACGGACGAAGATCAAGTTGCGCCCATGTTCTCATCTCTCACTGGCAACCTCGTCAGCTCTAGAGACCTCGACGGCTCCTACTGGATGAAGAATATGTGCGAACAAGTCCGCTTTTCGCAGGCCATGGGCAATCTGTTGGAACATTCACCTGACGCCTCCAAGGGACGAAGTCGTAATCGCACGGCATGGAGCGCCTTCATCGAGATTGGTCCCCACGGCGCGCTGCAAAGCCCCGTTGGCGAGATTGTCAAAGCAAGCCACAGCAAGGCCGCGAAAGAGGCACCCTATTTCTCTGCTATCACGCGTGGAAAGAATGCCGAGTCTACCTCTTTGCAACTCGCGGGACAGTTATGGGCCTCTGGACACGCTGTGAACCTTCTTCATGTCAACGGCATCATACCTGAAACTTTGCCAATGGCTTTGTCAGATCTCCCACCATACCCATGGAACCACAGCAAGAGCTACTGGCATGAGTCGATAGTGGCGCGTTCAAACAGGTTCCCTTCCGGCCCACGGACCGATCTCCTTGGCGTTGCAGTCGATTTGCAGAACCCAATGGAGCCAAGGTGGCGGAACTACCTGCGAATCTCGGAAAACCCCTGGATTGAAGACCACAGGATCACTGGAACCACACTTTACCCAGCAGCTGGTATGATCGTGATGGTCATGGAAGCTGCTCAACAACTGGCTGATCCCGAAAGACGCCTCAGGGGAATCACCTTTCAGAATCTCAAGTTTGAGCGAGGTCTCGTCGTGCCTTCGAGAGATCAAGCGGTTCAGACTGAAGTCAGTCTGCGCCCAGACGACTCGATGCCCTCGACTTGGAGCTTCACTGTTTACTCCACAGTTTCGGTGGGATCATGGACTAAGAATTGCTACGGATCCCTTACGCTCGACTACGAGAACGATACTCGCAACGGTCTTGGTCCTTCGGAGACAGAATGGCGAGCCTTCGCTGTCGAGCGCCAAGACATTGAGCAGACTGCGTCCGACGAACTTGACATGGACTCTTTCTATGATGACCTAGAATCTGTCGGCGTCGAGTATGGCCCAACTTTCAGAAACGTCTTTCAAGCTGCAGCCGTGCCTGGAGAACACACTGCTTGCGGTTCTATCGCAATCCCTGACACCAAGTCGGTTATGCCCTCCAATTTCGAGTTCCCCCATCTCATCCACCCCGCCACTATGGATGCCATCTTCCACCTCCTCTTCATCGCCTTCACCGATGGGAAGCCATTGGAGGAAGCAGCAGTCCCGTACACGTTGAAGCACATGTACGTCTCGACAAATTTGCCTCGGGGTGACGGCAGTGTCTACACTGGCTATGCCAAGCGCCTCGGAACCGACGGCCGCGAGACATCTGGTGACTTGATCGTATCGGATGAGGACTGGTCGGCGCCAAAGCTCATAGTCCGCGACTTCGCCCTCAGACAGGTAACTTCATCTAGAGATGCATCATCTCTGACTAGCGAGTCTGCTCGAAGGGTATGTGCCAAACTTCGCTGGAAAGAAGACTTCGACTTCATTCGCGACCCGGTCGCACTGCAGGGTTCGCCTTCAGTTGCGGATTTTGGAGAAGTGACGGCAGCTGTCTTGCAGCTATTGGACCGACTGTATCACAAAAGGCCCAACTACAAAGCGCTCATCGTGGTTGCGGATACAACCGACTGGGCTCAAAGGCTGCTGCAAAACCTACTTCACCCATTCACTACTGCCACCGACGGAAATGTCAAATCAACCAACAAGCTCGCGTTAGCCACAACAACGAAGGACGCAAGCAAGATCATTAACTGTCTCCCCAAGTCTTCTCAGCATGTTATAAATGCGCAAGAATGGCCTGCTCAAGATGACGAGCCACTCCCGTTCTCAGACGAGAGCTTCGACTTGCTACTTGTTCTCGACGACCCATCCAAAAGCATTCACAACTCAGCTGGCTTCCATAGGCTCCATGAAGCATTGCAGCCGAAAGGCTATCTTGGCGTGATTGGGCCCATCCTCGCGCCTGACTCAAGGGGAGAGACTGTGAAAGATACGTCTGCTTCAGGCCTACAGACAAGGATCGCCATCTCAGAAGCAGAGTCATGCCGTGCTCTTGCCCTCTCCCAGAAGTCTCCTGCATCGAAGTCCACGACTGTTCCAGAACATGTCTTCCTGCTACATAGAGCTGGTCCGGCTCTGCCTCAGGATCTGCAAGCCATGTTGACGGCCCGACTCAACGCGCTCGGATGCCAAGTCCATCCAGTCACACTAGAGCAGGCCCATGATCTACGAGGAAAGCATGTCATATCGCTTCTCGAGGTTGAATCTCCATTGGTGTACTCTTGGACCTCCGAGGAGTTCCTGCAGTTCAAGACATTGGTCTCCAGTGCGAGTCACCTGTTTTGGGTGACCCGTGGTGGAGAACTGCAGAACTGGGATGGCGGGCTCGAGTTCGCGCCTTCTCAAGGACTCCTCCGAGTGATGCGCACGGAGTATTCTCACATCACCTTGCCACATCTGGACCTTAGCCGAGGTGGCTATCTCTCGTCGGAAGCAAGTTCTGATGTGATCATGAGCATCTGGCACACCTCCCTCGCGGATGGTTCTTCGCAGCTTGAGCTGGAGTACGCAGAACTCAACGGGACGATCTTCGTGCCCAGATTCGTGGAAGATGAAGGTATCGACATCGACTTGGGTCCAAGAGATCAAAGTCTCAAGCCAATTATGCAGGCTCTAGGAGACGACAATCCACGCACTCTCTCTGAACAAGATCACCGACTTGTTTGGGTTGATGACGATATGTCGGCATCTCTCGCCTCTGCGGAGGTTGAGATAAATGCTGAGTATCTGGCCGTACAGAAGAGCAGTGCAGATTCTTCGGAGACCCAAACCTCCGTTATCTCCACCATGGCCGTCACGGGCACTATCACTGCGGCTTCACCGGAAGTCACGTCTGTTAACGTTGGGCAGCGTGTGATAGCCTTGCATGCAGGTTCCTGTCATACCATGCCTCGGATTCAAGAGACACTGGTGAGAGTCCTGCCTGACACCATGCAACCCGAAGAGGCCTGCGAAACTATTCCTGCTTTAGTTGCAGCGCAGTATGCGTTGTCTCACGTTGGAAGACTTGAAGATGGACAGACCGTTCTGATTCACGGGGGTGAGACGTCCGTTGGTCAGATGGCTGCCCATCTTGCACACTTACTGGGAGCGACTGCTTTCATGACTGCGGAGGGTGCTTCCGAAAGCCGAAACCTGACTCAAGCCCTCTTTCTTGACTCAACGCGCATTTTCGAAGACATTTCAGACCATTGCAAGAAGTCAATCTTGCGACAGACGGATGGACGAGGTGTAGACCTCGTCTTAAACTGCCGCCAAGCTCTCCCGACTTCAACATGGTTCGAATGCCTGGCAGACTTCGGTTTCTTCATAGATATCAGCGGAAAGAACGCTTCTCATCCACTCAACACAAGCCCGGCCCGAAATGCCACAGTCGTTAAGGCCAGCACATCTCAACTTATTCAAGCGAAGCCGACACTTGTAAGCAGACTTTTCAAGAGCGCTTGCGATCTCATCGAGAGCGGTCAGATCAGCCCAATCATTCCAAGTGTCAAAGGATCTATTTCCGAGTTCACCAACTTTGGAGACGCTGGCCCCACAGAGTTTGTTCTTCGACTGGATTCAGACGACAAGGCCCTTGTTGCCCCATCAAGGCTCCCTGAACTCAGACTGGACAGTGACGCTACGTACATCCTTGCCGGTGGTCTCGGCGCTCTCGGCCTTCAGATTGCTGAAATGATGTTCGAGCATGGCGCCGGTCACGTTGTGCTCCTTTCACGATCGGGAGGGGACAAGGCCCAGGCTGAGCTCGGCGCCTTCCGCGAGCGAGGGTTGAAAGTGGACGCATTGAAGTGCGATGTATCCGACGCCGCTCAGGTTGAAGCTGCGGTGAGGGCCTTGATTCAAAGCCAACGTCGCATCAAGGGCGTTATCCAGTGCGCCATGGTTCTAGAGGTACGTATTACCTACTTGCTGGGCATATATCATAGACCTGACTGACAATACCAGGACGCCATATTCGAGAATATGACATACGATCAGTGGCAGAGGTCAACCCGCCCTAAGATTCAAGGTACCATGAACCTTCACAACTACATGCCGAAAGACGTCGATTTTTTCATCCTTCTCTCCTCCATTACTTGCGTCATCGGCAATGCAGCCCAATCGAACTACGCCGCCGGGAACACTTTTGAGGACGCCTTTGCTCACTACCGCCGAAGCAAAGGTCTCGCTGCCACCGCGATCGACGTCGGACTCGTAACTGACTCAGCCCACTTTACCGGAGACTTTGATATGGACGCCTACCTCCAGATGTATGAGCATCGTTGGGATGGCCTCCAGACAACCCAAAAGGAGCTCGACACTGTCCTGAGAGCAGCCATGCGAGGCCGCACCGCCGACGGACGGCAAACCAAGCCCCAGATTGTTCTCGGTCTCGGAAGCTCCATGCCGACCGGAGCTGCCTGGACCAGAGATCCCAAGTTCAGTCATAGAGTCAACTATGATGCATCAGCTAGCTCTGCTGCCTCGGAAAGCCAGCAGTCAGCCTCAGAAAGTATAGCAAAAGCCGAGACCTTAGCTGACGCCGCGCTGATCTTTGAGGATGTCCTCAAGACATATGCTGCGCAAGTCATGGACATTGCTCCCAGTGAGGTGGATCCCGAAAAAGCATTTTATGACTTTGGTGGTACGTTTGACCTTTGCTCCACGAACCTGTGTTTCCTCGTGTATACTGACAGGGTTTGATCTAGTGGACTCCTTGAAAGCCGTAGAGCTTCGCAACAGGATCTTCCGAGATCTTCAGTCAGACATGTCCGTGTTTGAGCTGTTGAGCCCATCACCGCTGTCCAAGCTGGCGTTGGAAATTGCGAGTAGCAGCAAGTTGATGACAAACATGACAGAAAAGGCCACTGCTCAGTAGAATCTATATCAATGAGAATGATTAGAGGCTTTTTTGGGAATTCGGATCTGGACTTGAATTGCTAGTGACCGGAATGTTTTATTTCAATCACCGTGTCCGCTTTACTTCACGCAGCCACCTTCAGACCTAGCGAAAATGCCAGTACGGCACCAGGAGAGAATATCCCGCTCGCGACTGTAAGCACAGCCATCCTACCTATGAATGAATCCATAACAGTTGAGAACCACTTCCGCCTTCTCAGTCGATGAAGCAATACCGATGATTTCAGCACTTGATCCGCAAACGGGACAAGCGCCGCTGTAATTACAAAGATGTCCCATTGAAGAAAATCTCGAGCTCCATCTGCAATGACTGTAGTTGAGGCCTTGTCGATGTACTCGGCCGGCCAAAAGACGCGACGCAAACCGCCCTCTGACGGGCCCAGTAAAGCCCACAAGTGCCCAGCTGCGGAAGCAAACCCCGAAAACATCAAAGACGCCATGGTGCACGCTTTCGCACTCGCCGGCGCCGGCTTCCACGCCAAGTATGTCGACAATTTCCTTTGGGCCCAACAGCAAGCAGGATGAGCGACAGCCAGGGCTAGAGGGGTAAAACGATAGAATGCGATAAGTCCTTGTCGTTGGCCTATGGTGCAAGATGAACTGAACGCGGGATAGAGGAGCATTGCCGGGGTGATGGCACCCAAGACGGCGGTTGGAACCAGCGCGAATGCCTCGTTGACATCTGTCGGGCCGACGTCAGACTTTTCACTTCCGTGGGCGTCATCGAGAAACCGTTCGATATGCGTGAAGCAGTAGAGGGGATACACAGCTGCAGCGCCCCATGCTTGGTTGAAAACGCCCCAAGACAGATGCTCTCTGTACATTTATTAGCAGGCTTGTTTCTCTTCGTCGCTTCATGGCACACGCTCACAGGATTGCCAAAGGCGGCCGTTTCCCTTGGTCCCATCCCAGAACTAGCATACAGTGCGACACCGTTTGCATTGTCGTGAAGAGACTGACGAGCAGCATGCGATCGGCTGATGATCCGTTACCGAGAATGTTGTTGTAGAAGATGACAGCCGGGACGAGAAATCGGTCAAAGCCAGATATCCCGGTGAAGCTGGTTCGGAGAACATCGCCGTTCGGAAAGGTGCCGGTTCTCTTCACTGAACCCACAGACCCGGCCACGCCGCTGCGGATCATCCTCCCCCAAAGGGCATCGTAGCCGACGAGACTTAGCCCGAGGAAGTATGTGTGCATCGTGAGATTGATACCTTTGGACAATTGCAAGGAGTGTGCAGCACATCGTAATGATAGGGGACGCGGCGGGTTTTAACTTCGCAGTCACACTTGGTCACGACCTGTCCCAGGATGAGCGAGTCATGCCCCACTTGTACGTTTTGGATCGATTTAAATCATCTCATCTAGCCTCTCAGATGTTCGCCCTGTTTGCCTTGCAGCTGAAGTAGGAAGGATACTCCCAAACCTCCTTGTAGTACTCCAGCGTCTTAGAAAACTTAGTATACAAATATAGATACATACTCAAGCTTGCCAACGTTGCAAGTGAAATTCCTGTCCAGAACGGAGACGACACGTTCCATACAAATATGAATGCTGTCTTCTCATAAGCTTGCTGATTCCGGAGCAACCACCGGCTGACGATACCCGCAGCCAGCAGAAGTGTCACGGCTACGGGCCAGCCAGCCACCTTTGACTTCAATGAAGCATTTTGAAGTTGCGCTCTATGAACATCCCATGCTTGAGAAGCGATCGGTGCGGCATCGTTCGTCTGCATCTCATGTCAGCTGGCTATTCGCACAACACATTGGATTTTCATAACTAACCTCACCCTCCAGTACGCCAATTTGGAATTTTTCGAGGGTTTTGTACGCATCTTCAGAGTGTCCAACGTACTCGAAGCTCTCGGTACCGTCTGATCCAGCAACATCTTTCAACACTTCGACACCACCCGGATGGTCATCCACGTAGCTGGAAACATCGTATACTGCAGTCGTCAGACATTATTGTCAGATGTAGTGTCGTAATGAGTTACCTTTGCCTCGGATAGACACCCACAGATTGTGGACTTCGTAGTGTTTTGCAAGCTCAGACTCCGTAATCACGTCCATCGTCAAATTTCTTTGCCAATGGAGAGCCGCGTTCTTCCTAAAGCTTGGCCGTCAAAGTCTCTGAAGTTCAAATTTCCTCATCGAGCAGACTTCTGCAGGCAGTATCTCGCCCATCGCATCATCCTGTATCCATGAGCCAGCCAAAGGACTAAGACCAGACTAGAAGAGTGGGTCCGGGTAGCCGAAAGTGGCATCAGCTGAGGGCCGGCCCGAGCGGGGATTCCAGTTTCGGCCTTCGGCTCGATGGTTTTGTCTTTCGCCGATGGGGCCTTCCAGGGTCATCCCAGCTTCGCATCACCCAAAGAGGCAAGAAAGAGGAGCCAGGTAGGGAAGCCAAACGATTTTGAGCATCGCAGGATATCCAGGACCTCAAAGTAAACGACTGATCAAAAGTCTTGATGCACTAAGATTCACTGTCACGGATCGTCAGTCCTAGCTTTTTGGCCTCCCCCAGCCAAAGATCATCGTCAGTTGAGGCTCAACCCTCGACTTTGCATCACAATGTTCCAACAACAGTTCACCATTGGCCACGGCTCTTTTGAGCGATGTCATACCCTGAATCTTCCGAGCATCAAGAGCATGCAGGAGCTCAAGGCAGGCATCGCCAAAGTCTTTTCTGTGTCTGACTGTGATTGTAAGTGTGACATACCCAATGAGCCAGTAGCTCGTCGCTGACCAAGGAAAAGCTATCTGTTTTTACAACAGAAGAAATGTGCTCACATCACTGGATGACATCGAGAAGTGCGATGCTCCAGTGCAGATCAGGGTCAACGGGGAGATCGTGAGAGAGCCCTCCGGGCCAGAGCCACTGCCCTACGTTGGAAACCGCTATGAGCTGTACCCAGACCCACTTGGCAACTATGACCGCCTGTTCGACAGATACGGGCCTGTCATCAAAACGGTGAACATGGGAACCACGATCTATCTCACCAATGACCCGGACGTGTCTCGCGAGGTTCTCCGCGAAGGCCAATTTTTCACCAAGACGACCTCTGATCCCAGCCACCCGTTGTATTACATGCGCAACAATGAGGCTCTTTTCACTTGCGATAGTGATGCCCCGGCATTCAAACTCGCCCACAAGTTCATTCCTCCAAGCCTTACACCAAAGGCTGTGCGTCATTACACGCCAATCGTGCAGGCCTGTGTGGATAGGTCTTTTAAGGTGTTTGATGAGCTTGACGACAAGGAGCTCGCTTTCAATGTGTACCAGTACACTTTCAAAATGGCTGGCGAGATCATCTGGAAAGTGATCCTGGGGATGGATCTGGGTCACTTCGACTCCATTGATTCAAAACCCCATGAGACTATCAGATTGCTCGGCGAGTATCTTTCTCTGATGAAGAAGACATCTCTCCGAGGAAGTTGGTATGGATACCTTCCGTTCGGCACCCCGAAGCGGCTTCGCCTCGTTCGACAATTACTTTGGGACGGCGTTGCCAAAGGTATCGAAGAATCCATGCCAGCGGAGACTTTCCCAGACCTGCCAATGAAGGATGCGGCGCTCAACGCGACTTGCGTGGCAGATTATTTACGGCGCGCAACTGACGACAATGGGGAAAAGCTCCCCGAAGATATTATGTTGAGCAATTGCGTTATCCTGGTCGGAGCGGGATTCGTCACCACATCCTCCCTGCTGGCATGGCTGGTTTACGCCTTGGTCAAGTATCCCGGAAACCAAGAGCGTCTGCTTCAGGAGCTCGTCGACAATGGAGCAGAGGCGGGGAAAGAGTGGTCATACGACGAGCTGACCGAGATGCCGTTCTTGGATAAGTTTGTCAAGGAAACGCAGCGGATGCACAACCCGTCTTTCCAGACGGCGCGCAACGCAAAGGAGGATGTTGTCTTGCCGGGCGGATATTTTCTGCCCAAGGGCGCCGTCGTCATCCCCACATTTCCATCTATTCACAAGAACGCAGCCCATTGGGATAACCCTACCCGGTTTGACCCCGACCGGTGGGAGACCGAGGGTGTAAAGGGGAGGCACAAGATGGCATATACGCCTTTTGCGGCAGGTACTCGGGGCTGTGTGGGGTACAATCTCGCATTGCTGGAGGTGAAGAGCGCCATGGCGAAATTGGTTCATCGGTATCATTTTGAGGATGCATCGACGGAGGCAGTGGTGTATGATCCAGAGTTCATTGTTGTGCGACCTTTGAATTTCTACGCCAGAGCGGTGAAGCGGACGAAGTGGCCACAGAAGCAAGCATGATGCGGTTGGGTGCTTTGCCAAGGCCTCATTTCAATTTGATTTCAGCGTTCTTTTAGAATTCAGCGTCACTGTAATCATCGTCACTAGTTTGCTACATTTTTAGTCAGGCTGCTTCAGTCATTTTGAACGCATCACTCAAATTGAACGGATGCAATGGCTCGCGACATACGTTCTCGTCCCTAATTCTAGCCTGTAATGAAACTTCTCAAGGAGACATGTCACGGTTCCCGTGTTTGTCTAGGAGCATTGGCACGATGCTCTGCAATACGATTTCCTTTTTCGGTCAGCTCCGGCCCCGACTTGGGTCATCCCGGGTCAAGCTCTGACCAGTCCGCGGCATTCTGCTAGACGGGGCAGAAAGAGGAGACCAGTATTTGTTAGCTATGACAGCGGTACGTGAAATACGACACGCATACTCTCAGTGATCTTAACAAGGGCCGACATTGAAATCCTGCATTGGATACCATCAGATTTGTCACAATGGCGACCAACACGTATGCCACGACATCCACGCATATTGGCGTCAACGCGGCCAATAAGACAACTAGCACCGTGGCCACACAACTAAGCGTCTTCGACCTGATTCCCCCACGAGTTTACATCAAATTCATCGTCTACCTCCCACTGCAACCCAAAGTCACCTTCCAGAAGGCCTTTGCGCATCTGCAAGCCGGGCTCCAAGGCACGCTTTGCCAGTTTCCGTTCCTGGATGGTCGCATTTTCCTGAGAGATGAACGCGAGCCGGGCTGGAGGCCGGGACACATAGTGGTCTCATATGATCCCTCAGGGTCCGGCGGCAGGACTAATCCCCCGAGACAACTCGTCTTCAAGGACCTCTCGGAGGTCTTGCCCGACTTTGAAGACCTCCGCGACGCAGGCTTCGAGTTCTCGGCCTTTGACGACGAGCTCGTCCTCTCCGCGCCGTTCGTGCCGGATCTTTCTGGCGGTGCAGATGTGTTCTTGGCCCAGGCCAATTTCGTCAACGGTGGCTGCATCCTCGCGACGGGATTCCATCACTCTGCCAGCGATGCGACCGGCATGGTCACCGCGATGAGAGCCTGGGCAGAGCACTGTCGAAACTTGGGAAACCCAGACAGCAACGTCTGCGACTGGGTTGCTCCAGAAAGTTTCGACCGGACCCTGCTGGAAAGGTTGTGGAGCAAATCCCCAGCCAAGCCAGTTGCGGAGATCCCGCGCGACACGTGGGGCTTCCTCGGCTTTCAGCCCCCGGATGCGGAGGATGATGCGGCGGAACATGCGGCCCCACCTCCGGCGCCGACGCGAACGATGGAGTCGAGTATCTTCTACATCTCGCCTGAGAATTTCAATGCACTGAAGCGGGAGGTGCTTTCCGATGTTAACGACGGCTCGGGCTTGTCGGCCAACGATGCCCTGCTGGCACTTTTCTGGCGGGCCCTGATGAAGGCGAGATACCGTGCAGCTATTGCCGCCGGGCAGTCTACCCCACCAGATGAGGTGTCTTACCTCGAGTCACCGGTGGACGGCCGCACAGATTTCGATCCCGCTCTTCCGTCATCTTACGCTGGGAATCTCGTTATCGTCAATAAGGTGCCCATGCCGGTGGTCGACCTCGCGGCACCCACAACAAGCCTTCGCGATGTGGCTTTGAAGGTGCGCGCCCAGGCCGCCAAGGTGAACCCAGGGCTTGTGAAGGATGCATTCACTCTTATGAGGGAAGTTCCGGACTACACCAAGCTGAAGCACGCATTCACGCGGCTGGACGGCTTCGATGTCATGATTACGTCGGTGCTGCTTCTGCCGCTGGACAAGATCAATTTCGGGGCGGACATCTTCGACAACGACGGCAAGCCTGAGTCGCTGCGTCCGCTGATGGATGCGTTCAACGCCAACTTTAGACTTTGCATGGTACTGCCAATGAAGAGTCACGGTGGCATCGAGCTGCTCGTCAGTCTGTTTGCTGATGAGATGGACCAGCTTCTGGAAGACGATGAGTTTGCGAAGTTTGCGGCGTTTTGCTGCCATTAATAGCATATGATGAAAGAGGTAGAAAGACGAATCATTGAATTGTCAGTTAGAACTGTGTATCGGTTATGTCATTTCAGTTTGATCGTCATCTGAATACTGCAGTCCGTGAGGTGAGAATGAAAGACAAAAAAAAGCCGATGATGAGTTTTCAGCGCAATTTCGAAGCTTCGGTTGAAGGCGACGGTCTGAGCGCATCTTGGAGTCGTGGGCCAAGTGTAGCCAGTGTTCCTGATGCACGTGCGCTGCGAGAACGAAGTTCGGGCGGCCCTGAGATAGCACCTCGAATCGCGCTGTGTTAGTCGCAAATCAACGTGTTGTCGAAAGAGAATCGATTGTTCTCCCAGTCTTTCGGGTGCGACCGGCTTCGCACTATGTCCCAAACACGTGGGAGGCGGTGAGATGGGCAGCCTGTCCGCACCGACTTTCCACGTGCGATACATAGGCCAGCTACTTAGCTGCAGAATACGGTCGCGTGTTCTCCCCCAGACTTGGTGATGACGATGTAAAAGTCTAACTTCTAGCTTCCAGAGCGTTTGCCGTCACAGCCGCCTAACCGTCTCAGCTGTGTGTGGTGCAGATTATGCCCAGACGCGCGAACTGAGGCATTACTTTCACCCTTTCAAAATAAAAACGTGAACTTCTTATCTGTAAATAGAGGTCATGAGATGTGTTCGTGGGGGCGCTGATGGATCCTTCGAGGAAGATGCGTTATGCCGCAACATCGCGAGCGCCCGCTGCGCGGTTTTGTTGCTATGAGGCATTTGAGTGCTGCGTCGCTGATCTTACCCGTCGACTGGTTGGGGGAAGAGGAGCCGGGGGCTGTGGTTGTGCGGAGGAGGCAGCCGAGTCAGAAGATGGGATTAGTTCCGTGTTACATGTGAGAAGCCCGCAAGAATGGGGGACGGAAGCTTGGCTGGAAGTGGCTTAAGCTCGATTTTCTTGAGGCGAGGCGTCGTCGTGTAATCTGTGAAGAAATCGGGCTTCTTCAGATCCCAGGATTGGGGGCCGTGTTTCCTCCGCCGGCACGAAATTCCCTCACGCTACAGTCTGCCTGGGCTGCACGCCACCGTGTTTTGGGGGTTCACAGGCTCGACAGGGGTTTCGATTGACCGGATTTTCCCCAGGTTGCGATTGTGATAGTCCCTTGCGCGGTGAGGTATTGGACCGATGTCTGAAAACCTTAACCTGACTCCGCCGCTTTTGAGGCTGTGCTAAAATATTAGTTCAAGACACCCGTTCGGTCGGGCAGCTTTTTAATCTCTCCTCGACATCGCCATCACTGTCTTTGTTTTCTTCAGCATCCATCCTTACCACATTATCTGAATCCATGCAAAACACCGTCGATTGCCTTATTGGACTTTTGCCAAGTCGCAACTATATCAACCGGTCGACCATGAGACGACACCAGATGAGAAGGTGAACCGCAGAGACCTATTGGCATACAACAATCATCTCCGACCGCTCTTCTGTCTTTCTGAACAACCTTTTGAGAATGGCACACGTTTCTCGTCAACCACCATAAGGAGCTTCAAGATCCTCTCACCAGATTGCTTCATCGAACTTACACTACATGTGTGCCATCTCGAAAGAGAATGGTCCCCCAACAACACCTAGCCCATCCAACCTACCTTCGGATCTAATCTACCAATCCTCAATCTTCCAACATGCCCGAGAAAGAGACGACCAAGCCCATCCGGGCTCACGACGCATCCGCTCCCCTCTCCCCTCTGAGTGCTCGCCAAGCTGGACCCAGCCCACGCCCTTGCGATAGAAGCGCCGACCACGCCTCCACCCGCGAGGACATTCTCGACGCCTTCCTCGGCTCGCCGTCGATGCAACCCCTAAGCCGCCGTCCGACCTTTGACTCAACCAGGCGCACGGTCTCGCCACCGAACTCGGTCAAGGCGTTCGCCGCAGCACGTCGCCGCGGCCAGGAGCACCGGCCGGACAGCGATAGCGAGGACGAAGACGGCTACGAAGGTGTCCCAGACAAGCCTCTTGGCAGTAGCCGGAGCTGCCACAGCCGCTCACACAACACATGTGGCCACCGCAACTCGCTGGGCTTGGCAACGACGGAGGTTGACGGCACGCACTCGCGGGACCAGGTGCACCCCAAGGATAGGTTGTACATCGACTTCGACTACCTCGAGACGCTGGCCCATGCGGAGGATGGAGAGCGGCCTGACAGCACGGAATTTGCGAACCTGCCCGACAGCGCGATGCCGCATAGCTCACCCATGTTCACTGCGGACGGCGATTTCATCGATGTCGTTACTGAACGGGTCTCCATCTCTCAGGAGAAGGCGGATGCTGTGAGCAATGTCCACGTCCGTGTCAGTGAGCAGCACCCCGAGCAGAGCCGATTCAACTTCTTCTCGTCTGCTCTGGAGTCGACCATCCACGCTGCGCAGTTTGGGGATCTCGTCCTGCCCGGTGAAAATATCCGGACCTTGTTCGACTTCCCAGATGAGGAGCCTGATGGAGTGTGGTGGCTCAACATGAACAACCCCACTGGCTCCGAGGCTTGGACCATCTGCAAGGCGTTTGGTATCCACCCTCTCACTATTGAGGACATCATTCACCAGGAAAGCCGGGAGAAGATTGAGTTGTTTCCGTCGTACTATTTCGCTTGCTTCAGGTCTTTTGCGACCGTGGATGAGCCTGATGGTCATGGAGTTGACTATCATCCCTTCAACGTGTACGTCGTGGTGTTTCGAGAGGGGATCATCAGCTTCAGCTTTACGCCAAACTCTCACGCTTCTCGGGTCCGTTTCCGCATTTCGCAATTGAAGGAACAGGTGTCGCTGAGCAGTGACTGGATCTGCTACGCATTGATGTAAGGACCATCCCAGAAACAGCGTATACCCCTGTCTTGGTCATGACTAACTCTGTCCCAGTGATGACATCGTCGACTCATTCGGCCCAGGCATCAACCAAATCGAGCACGAGGCAGACGCAATTGAAGACCAAGTCTTCATCACGCGCCCCGAAGACAACCAGGTGTTCCTGCGCCGCATTGGGCTGACTAGGAAGAACGTCATGAGTCTGATGCGTCTGCTCGGCGGCAAAGCAGATGTCCTGCGCGCATTCACCAAGCGGTGCACCGAAGACTACGATGTCACCCCACGCATGGACATCGCCTTGTACCTCAGCGATATCCAAGACCATGCGGTAACGATGATGAACAGTCTGGTGCACTTCGACACCATGCTCTCACGGTCACACAGCAACTACCTAGCCCAACTCTCCATCGATAATATCGATATGGGCAACCGGACCAACGACTTCTTGAGTCGTGTCACTGTGATTGCGACTATCATCGTTCCGCTCAACGTCGTATGCGGACTGTTTGGTATGAACGTCAAGGTGCCTTGGGGCGGAGACGAGAATTTGAACGCGTTCTTCGGCATCATGAGTGGTATAGTCTTGTTTGCTGCTATTTCCCTCATGGTTGCGCGACGAATGGGATACTTCTGAAGATCCGAACTGAAATGCACGAAAATAATAGAGAAAATCATTATAATCAGATCGAGTCGCAGTAAAGACGTTATGGTTGCCACAATTGCCAAATCCAATCTTGTCTTCGAAGCTAGGTATCTTTTGAATGAAATGCCTGATAAGGTTTTGCATGGATGACTCGGTTTCTGCCGGACTTGCTGCCGAGACTTGCCCACTTCATCTCCCGAGATGCGGCCCGCCTTCCGCGCATGTCTCGGGACAAGGAAGTTGGCGGCGACGGAAACCAATCACAAGCGGCAACAAATGATTGGCTTGAAACCGATGCTGTCTTTTGATACTATCCTAACAGTGTGGGATATCAGCTTCCAAGTTCAGATCGCATGTCCTCTAGCTGTGGCCAGACAACAAAAGAACCACCTTAATGGCTGCCCTCTCTCATATCGTTCAGCGAGACTCACCTTCCGTAAGCGAACCGAGTTGTTTTTAAGAACAGCAGGAGGCACCTACCCAATATCTTGGGCTCTGCCGAAGTTGGGGGCAGGGAACTTCCTTTTCTGGCAAGGTAGATTGCCAAGACATGCGATTTCCCTCTTGGCTCTCTCTTGGCGGCGGGTGAAGTCGCATCAAACTCCCCGCGCATGCCCCAGCTGGAATATCACCTACCGCTTTAGCCTGTCACTTCCGCAGTTTGGCGAGGGAGTTTCTTCTCAGTGCTCTAGATTGTGACGGAACAATGTAGAGGAAGACGCAGCATTCAGTCACTCGTTCTCATGCTTATAAAATGGGGTCCTCTCAGCGGCGAGATCCTTCGGCAAAGCCTTCCTTACTCTTGGTGCTAAGCCCCAAAGTCGCGACCTTTTGCCAAGCTTGATCTTGGCTCCCGGAGCCATTTTCAGTGCATCGTCGACGTCTTCAATATCCTACCTCACCATGAAGGCTTCCATCCTATCGGCGGCTGGGTTTTTCACCCTGGCCTTGGCCACTGTGGTGCCCAAGTCAACCAAGGTTGACTACAACGGCTTCAAGGGCCTTCGCATTACTCTTCCTGAGGACGCAGAGGGTGTTGCTGATCAGATCAGCGAGCTGGCGGCTGCCATTCTGAACCCCGGGTCTAAGGAGAAGCTGGACGTTGTCGCGTCTCCTGAGAATATCGATGCCATCTCCCAGCTTGCAGTCAACACGACGGTTCTCGTCGAGAACATCGGTGCCGCGTTCGCTGAGGAGGAGACTGCTACAGTCTATGCTGGTATATTCACGTTTTCATAGCGATCTGAAAAATGGTTCTCCGTGTTCTCGGTTTGTCGCCCATAGCTAACCTCAATCTTCTCAAAGTTCCTAGCGAGACGTGGTTCACCGCCTACCACAGCTATGCCGACCACCTTCAGTTCCTTAGAGACCTTCAAGGAGGCTTCCCTAGCCAGTCCGAAATTGTCACTGTTGGAACTTCCGTCCAGGGTCGTGCTCTCACGGGCATCCACATCTGGGGCAGCGGAGGCAAGGGTTCCAAGCCGGCCGTCATCTTCCACGGCACAGTCCACGCTCGCGAGTGGATCAGCACCATGGTAACATAGCCCCCCTCAGAACTCATCTGTATGATTCTAACGCGACAGTAGACCACCGAGTATATGGCCTTCCAACTCCTGACGAAGTACTCCACCGACTCTGCTGTCAAGGCTCTGGTCGACAAGTTTGACTTGTAAGTGGCAACCTTCAAGTGTTTCTCAGCGCATGATGTGGGCAAAGGCATCGACTCACATACAATTGAAGCTACATCACTCCAGTCGTCAACCCCGATGGCTTCGTTTACACCCAAAGCACCGACCGTCTGTGGCGTAAGAACCGTCAGACCCAGTCCGGCAGCAGCTGCGTTGGTCGTGACCCCAACCGCAACTGGCCCTACAAGTGGGAACTCACTGGCGGCGCATCTACCAACCCCTGCTCCGAGACCTACAAGGGCGCTGCCGCCGCGGACACACCCGAGATCAGGGGCCTAAAGGCTCAAGTCGATTCGCTGAGCGCCAGCAGGGGCATTCAATTCTACATCGACTTCCACTCCTACGGACAGTACATTCTTTGGCGTACGACCCTTGACCTTCTTCAATTGGAGTATATCACTGACATGATTGATCGCAGCATACGGATATGACTGCAGCTACGTCGCTCCAGATGACGCTGCTTTGCAGGCCATGGCGCAGATCGGTGCCACCGGTATTCGGGCCGTTTCCGGCACTTCTTACACGATTGGAAACGCTTGCCGTGCTCTGTACGCCACTACGGGCGACAGCACCGACTACATCCACGGTGTTGGCAAGTCGAAGTACACATACACCCTGGAGTTGCGGGATAGGGGAACTTACGGATTCTCTCTCCCTGCCAGTCAGATCCAGGCTACTGTTCGCGAGACCTGGGCTGGTGTTCTTGCTATGCTGAGGGCTGCTTGAGGACACCCAAACAAGGACTCTACGAGGCCTTGCGCTGCAGTAACTCTTAATTAGTTGAATAATTAACGTTGCATCGAACTCAGCCCAATTGCGCCTGCGAATCATCGCTTTCGAAAGTCATTTTGTCATCGTCACTACGGATTAACGTGAGGTTTTGCGCAAGGAGCACTAGTCATGCTCATCATGAGCCATCCTTTCAGCAACAAGCAATACAAGCTTTGCGTCCCGCCCGATACGTGAGAATCCGACACATTGCTTCGCGGGAAATCAATCGCTGTTTTGGGTCATTCAAAGCAATGGAGAGCGGAGACTCGAGTCATAAGATTGTTATACTTTCCATTATTGATTAAACAGGAAAGATCACGGCGGCAATCCTCATATCGAGCCTTGGTCCACGACTGACGTGCTGGCCAACTCTCGCTGCACATGTCCTTGGAATCTACTTAATCGCATAACAACGCCCAACAGTTAGCGCGTATGGGGCTTTTCATGCAGAAGTCAAGTCTGGCAAACCCCAGATTTTAAGCTTCTCAGTCCCGGCCCTTCCCCATTTGGCCCCGGCCCGACGGGATAGATCCACATCGGGCCCATCCGCCCGGACCCATCTCCACACACCCCGAAAGTCTCAGCCCCACGGCCCGCGCCGGAGTCGGGACACCTGTCATTGATATACGACGGCTCAGAGCTGTAGGTGCTATTGCTACAATCGGTCATCTCTGAACAACGCACGGAGCAACAGCCCGGACCGTTCTTGACTCAGTCATCTTCACGAAAGTTGCATCGCTGATCAAACATTCGCCAAAATGTGCGGTATCTCGGCCTGTCTCACTCTCCGACCGGGGCAGCACTTCCACACCGAAGCCCTGAACGGATATGCCAGCGGCACCAATGGTGCGGCAGAAGCGCACGCCAACGGAAAAGTCAAGGCGACTCAGGATCTCAGGGAGCAGTTGAGCAAGAGCCTCGAAGCGATCTCTCACCGAGGACCAGACGCGCAGGGGGTCTGGGTCAGTGAGGATGGGTTCATCGGTCAGTGCAATGATGTGAATGTTTGACAGCTTGTCATGATAGCTGACATGTGTCAGGGCTGGGTCATTGCCGATTGGCCATCAATGACTTGACGCCCGACGGCAACCAGCCTATCCACAGCGACGATGAAACAATCCATGCTATCGTCAACGGGGAGATCTACGATCACGATCGTATCCGAGAGGAGTGCAAACAGCGGGGCTACAAGTTTAGAGGTCACAGCGATAGTGAAGTGATCCTGGCACTGTACAAGGCCTACGGCGCCCCACAGTTTCTGGAGCACTTACGCGGCGAGTTCGCCTTTGTGCTGTACGATGAGGCAGCTGGCAAGGTTATCTTAGGCCGTGATAGGTTCGGTATCAAGCCTCTGTTGTGGACCATTGTCCGCCAGGAAGATGGGACAGACAAGTTGATCGTCGCGCCTGAGGCCAAGGCATTCCTTCCCTTGGGGTGGAAACCTCAATGGGATGTGGGTGCCATTGTTGACGGCGGATGGATGCAAGATGGCCGATCGTTGTTCAAGGGTGTGAAGAAAGTACCACCAGGACACTGGATGGAGATTTTGAAAGATGGTGTGATGCAAATACATCAGTACTGGGATGCGGATTACAAAGACAAGGTAAATTCAATGGGTGACACTTTGGGCGACTCCTGCTAACGCGTGAACAGACGGAGGGCGAGACGAGGAGCGTGGATGAGATGGTCCTTGAGCTTCGTGAGAGGCTTACGGAGGCTATTCGTCTCAGACTTCGCGCTGACGTGCCGATCGGTATCTATCTCTCAGGCGGCATCGACTCATCCCTGGTAGCAGGTATCGTCACTCACCTTGTAAGAGACGAAGGTATCAAGATTGGCAACAAGGATGCGACCAGTCGAATTAGTTGCTTCACTATTCAGTTTCCTAAAGAGTCGGGCTTTGATGAGTCTGGTATGTACCCCACTAGCCTCGCAACCCAACCACCACTAATTGGACTTGTCGCAGACATTGCAGAGAGAACGGCGCAACATCTTGGTGTCCAGATACAGAAGACGCAAGTCAACGAGAGCATATTGGCGGAGAACTTTGCTGACTGCGCGTATCATTGTGAACATCATCACTTTGATCTGAACTGCGTTGGGAAATTCACCTTATCGTCGCTTCCAAACGAGAACGGTGTCAAAGTGGTTTTGACCGGTGAAGGTGCTGATGAGCACTTTGCTGGATACGCCTTTTTCCCACCGGATTATCTACGCGAGCCAGACTTGTCGATGCCAAGCTCACCTCTGGTAATCGACTCGGAACTTCGTCAGAATATGCAAAGATCCACTGAGCGGGACATTAAGCTGCTCATCCCCCGCGCCGGAGCCTTCGAACACGGTTGGGAGTCTACACCTGCGATGAAGAAGGTCAATGACACACTTTTACCCCCGTGTATCCTCGCATGGCACCCGAGCATCGACATCTTCTCTCCTTGGGTGAGAGAAAACGACAGATGGACAGACCTTGACTGTAAAGACGTCATCGTCAAATCTTTCAAGCCAGCCATCCACGAAAAGATGCAAAAGAAATGGCACCCCCTTCACACGGCGCAATACATCTATAGCAAAGGGCCCCTGCCAAACGTCCTTCTCAGCTGCCTTGGCGACTTGACAGAGATGTCCCACAGCGTCGAGGCCCGCACACCGTTCCTCGACCACAAGCTGACAGAGTACATCAACAACTTGCCGCCGAGTCTGAAGATGGCGTACACGCCCGACAAGATCCCGCCCGAGCGCCACCAAGGACCGTGGTGGGAGGGCATCGGCGTCGCGTCGCAGGCTCTCACTGAGAAGTGGATTCTGAGACAAGCGGCCAAGCCCTTCATCCTGAAGGAGCTCTACGAGAGGCAGAAGCACCCGTTCACTGCACCGATTGTGTGGCCCAAGGGCGGGCCGTTGCACCAAATGTTAGAGAAGACACTTACGCAAGACAAGGTGGAAAACCTGGGGTTCGTAGATTACGCGCAGGTCAAGGAAGCTTTAGATAGAGGTTTCGGGGACAAGGCCGATGTAAAAGCGTTTAGAATCTTGCTTTTTGTGGCCGCTTGGGTCACTATGAGCGAGCGCTTCCGGATTCCGAAGGCGGTGGTTGGAGACTGGTCTTGATTGAGTACCTAGTAGACAGCTTAAGTGACTTATCATCCCACTTAGTTGACATCGTTAGGTCACTGCTTTCGAATTGCCCATTGCTCCCGAGGTAGCCTTCCAGCCTGGACGGCAGTGCCTTCAAATGTAAGTTACAAAGTTGGGTGCGTAGAATCGTCTTGGTTTCAATCCCACATTCAGCATTCGAGCAAATTCAAATCGATTTCTTCCTTGCGTCTCCGAATCAGGAACTTGACGTTTGGGTCCGGCAATAACGCCATGCCAAAGGGCACAGGCGTCGGGTCTCTCGTCTCATCCGCCAACTTCCAGTCGTATTTGAGCAACAGATGGGCCAGGGCAATTTTGAGTTCGTTCGCAGCGAAGAACCTGCCTGGACAGGCATGCTGGCCGTAGCCAAACGCGGTATGCTTTGGGCTGGCGCTCACGAGATGGGCATGCTTCTCCTCATCGGTGTTTCGCATGCGCAGGAAGCGGTACCCGTCGTATTGTTCCGGACTATCATACCACTCGTCGTCCCACATATGTGTGTTGTTGATGATCACGCGCTGCCCCTTGCGGATGACGAAACCGCTGGAGAGCTCGATATTCTCAGTGGCCAAACGACGCCATGTACCTGCCAATCACATTATCAGCACTCTGCGTGGTAGACTTGATGAGGTTTTATGAGAACTTTAAGCTTACAGAGTAATGCAGGCTTGAGTCTTTGCGACTCCTTCAGTACGCTGTCCATAAGCTTCAGGTTGTTAAGTGCCGACTTCTTCAACCCCTCGGTGCCCAACACACGCACAAGTTCCTCGCGCAGAGGCTGGAAAAGCTCTGGATGTTGAGCCAGATCCACCATCGTCTGTTGAAGCAGGTCACTTGTCGTATGAATCGCGACCAGGGAAAGGGTAATCTGCTGGGTAGCTGGGTCATAGTTGTCCTTGAATATTTGACTGAACCACTCAATCGCATCGTCGAAGGTTGCAGTTGTATCACCGGATGCGACAGCTTGTGCCTTTTTGGCGTTTCGTTTCTCGATGTGGGGCTTCAAGACCTGACGTGCGTGGGATAATAGCCGGCGGACTTCCCAGCACGAGGGAAGGAACCAGTGAATCAATGGCCGGGACCATCTGGGATACTGTCCGAGTTGATACCCGACGCCAAATGCAGTGACAGTGTAGTCGGCACAAGCTCTCAACCACTCTTCATCGCGACAGAGCTCTTCTCCCATAAAGACTCTGGTGGATAGACGTGAAACAATTTGGATGATCTCCTCTCGGGGTACGAAATCATGCCAATCTAATAGTTATCATCAGAAATGTTGCAGAATCTTGTCAAAGGGCTGGGGTTTGGATTACCGGTTGCATCAGTCATGACCTGGCGCAGAACAATGGTGGCTTCGTCGGAAATGGGCTTGGTCAGCTTGGCTGAGAAGATTATGAACGTCAGCATCAGCACATCTACGACAGGTAAAGATCATACTAACTGAGGGCTTTAGTCAGATACTTTGTCACCATTTGTGGATGGCCCTCTTTCGCCGTAAATGGATCAAAACCCGGGATATAGCCGTGCCCGTCCTATTCAAATTAGCTGTGTACATTGCAGAGCCAAGAATACTTACATCGTTGGATGGGGCCATGAAGTCTAAGCGCGGGTCGTTTCGAAGCTCCGGGAGATAGTCCGCAGGAAGCACCACAAGACTGCCCCATTCAGAGAGTACCCTATATGGATTTTTCCCAAAGGTCGCTTTAGCCTGAATCATGAGTTGTTTCCCATTGTGAATGAAATCGTTCATACGACGCCTGTTGGTAACCTCAAGTGCCTTGCGAGGGTTGACTTCTGGGAGGCTTTGGTCATAACCGGCAACTGTGTAGAAAACCAACAAGAGAAGGAATCCGGCAACGATATAGTGAATAGGTTTCTCGGTTGGAGTAGACGCCATAAAGACGTCCGGGACGAGGTCCGAAAAATGATTAACTGACATCTTCGCAACTTTGTGAATGGCTGTTATGAGTGTCGAATGCTCCCAGCAATCGACAGGACTGTCTGTTTTAAATATCTAGCTTAAAGCAAAGGGTTCTCCACGTGAACCGAGTTCAACATCAAAAAGCTAGACATCACAGGCGAAATTTTCCAAGTCTGTTCAACGCGAGGGATGAATGACACGGATTGAGTTCACGCAGAACGAATCTTCAAGTCCGATGCTTTGCGAAATTTCAACCGGCCGAAGTCCGCACAATGTTTTCAGCAGAGCGCATCGTTGTTTCCATGTTATCCCAAGACGGACACCGTCGACTGCCCGACGTCCCGTCATTATCACTAATAGTTCGGAGACTTTCCATCGGCCGTGGGGTCATTCGGTCGGGAGTTACGCCGGGTATGCACGGTGTTTCTTCGTTAGGAGTGCGGCAGTTCATGGGGCAAGCAATTTGAGTTTCGGCGACTAATACCAACTGCGCCAGCTCGACCCACTCTTGCCGGAAGCCCGGCCGAAATTTCCTTTCTCGGCGCCGTCTTGATGGCCAAGATCCGCTCCGCATGCTCCATGTTAGCACCCGCTGCGCGATTCCTCCACTTTAGTTGCAGGCATACGTTGAGCGGACTTTGGAGATGTCCAGATATTGCAGAGCCGTGGCTGGTTGAAAAGATTTTGCCGCACGAGACTGTTTCTCATAAATTGGCTCCCGTCGGTCGGTGTTTCCAGTTTATATTAGGCAAAGTCTTCATCAAACTCGCACTCTTTAGTCCAAAAACCTGAAGTCTCAGCAACGCCGACATGACTTCGTCCCCTAGCTCTCAAGAACCTTGGTCACTTGTTGGCAAGACCGCCATCGTTACCGGAGCATCTCGTGGCATCGGAAAGGCTATCGCCATTCACTTAGCCCGTAAGGGTCTTTCCATGTTGGCCATTACCTTTGCAAGCAACTCTCAAGCTGCACAGGACACTCTGGACGAGTGCCGCAAGCTCGGAGTCGAAGCCGCCGTCGCAATTCAAGCAGACGCTCTTGACCCTTCGTTTGGAACAAAGGTCGTCTCTCAGACTCTCGAACACCTTTCCACCGAGTCGATCGATATTCTTGTCAACAACGCCGTCCTTGGCGACCCCTCCAAAGTGCAGCCAGTCAGCAACACAACACTGCCGGTCTTTCCTGAGGTGATGCAGGCGAATGTCTTCGCCCCCATCTCCTTGGCCACCGCTGTCCTGCCGCATTTGCCACCTTACGGGGGCCGAGTTGTTGCCATATCGAGTGTGCTGGCTTATCAGGCCAACTTGGATCCCACCATGACTTATGGAGCCAGCAAAGCTGCTCTTCAGAGCTACACGCGCTCGCTCGCTGAACAGTTCGGCAAGACCACCAAGGCTACCTTCAACAGTGTCATTGTTGGTCTAACGGCGACTGACACGATCAAAAACAGTCAGGATCTGCTTCCTGCAGGGTATATGGAGGGGCAAATTCGAGACACAACGGCGGCTGACCGCATCGGGGTCCCCGATGATATTGCTTATGCTGTTGGGTTTCTTGCTAGCGAAGAGTCCCGTTGGGTCAATGGGGCTGCTGTTAGTGCCAATGGAGGAAATCGCCTCGTGATGTCTGCTCTCGGATAACACATGTGCTTGCCTTGAAACTTTCAATAGAACTTTCAATTCAATACTACCGAGAACAATAATCGCACTCATTACAAAGCTCCTCGTCCGGTATCACCAAATTGAGGCTCAATTATCCTGACCAAGGTCTTGCTGTCCCAAACTGCCTCACGCATGCGTGCTGAGCGAAGAATATCCAATGCTCGTCGTCGGTGTCTCTCTTCATCGCTATAAAAGCAGATAGATGACACGGATGGCGAGATGTGGCTCTCGAGGGTGAAGATGGGATGTTTCGAGGAGAAGAGTTGCAACACAAGTTCAGCTTGATCGAGAATCCTACCTGCTTGCTCGGGGGATCCGCTGGGAATCTCGTCGAGATTAGTTTCCCATACGCGCCGCCGTAGTTCGAGCATTGCGATCTCATGACGTTCGCGCTTAGTTGGCCCTCTCTTTCGGCTTGTTGGACCGTTTTGTCGAGTCGCCGGCTCCAGATCCTGAATCTGCTGATGACAGGGCCTATGTCGAGGCCGTCCGCATACGATGGGCCATAAGTGGCGTTGATCTCTGGAACGGCAGCCGCTGAGTCGTATCCGTCCACATAGATCGGCGGTTCAGAGGCCTTTTGTTGGAGGTTCTTTTTGTAAGCCTGGGCTAGGATGAAGGCCCTGTTGTGGTATGTGGCAAGATCGATGTCAAGATCGTAAAGCGAGTCTCGGGCGACAGTGAAATCGCGAAAAGATTGCGATGAATTACTGGGTTCCTTCTCAGTGGGGTTGATGTAGGCCCTTAAATCCGGCACGACTTCGTCTTCTTTGTACAGAGACGCTTGAACGCCAATGCGGGCAAACAGTCTGGCGATCTCCTCTATGGAACTCTCTACTCCAGGGCCGGTCTTTCCGGTCTCTGCCAAGAGATGAGGAGGACGGGATGTGATCAGTCTTGCACCAGATCTTAGATGTTGTATGGATTCGTCTGGATGACCTCTAATGTTCTCGAGACAGTAAAATAACAACGAACAGGTAACGATTGTTCGAACGTCCATCGCCCCAGATGAGATTGCATTTGGGAGCAGATGGCCAATGGCTTTGTTATACTGCTGAACAGCAATGCTTTCTAGCTGTTCTCTTGCCTCGGATGCTGAAGGGTCAGAAGCCTCCAGTAAGAATGCTCGATGAGCCACGCCGAGAGCTGTGGCGGCACATCTCACCGCGGGGACTGCGTTGCCCAGAGGCAGAATGTGCCGGTCCCAGAAACAAGTGGAGTAGGGCGACAATGCAAGATCCGGGAGGGTGCATGTCCGAAAGTGGTGAAAGAAGGCCGAGTCTGTATGATCCCGTAGAGCATCAGGGTCGAGGCATGCCCGAGGTAGAGGTAAAAGAGATGACACTTCGTTCCTTGGAGGCGCGCGCGTCTTTCGTGACTTTTTCTGGGCAACTTGCTTGTCTTCCATTGCAGGGTAGCCGTCGCATACCACTTTGCTGACCTGGCCTTTTCTTGATTGGTACCGCCGTATAAATCAAACCATGGGTTATATTCGACTCACATTTCTTGCAAGTCGGTTTGGCCTCGTCACATTTCACGTGGCGAATCCTGATTTTGGACGAACGAGGTCAGGATTACGACGGAGCCAATAGGATAGAGTTACTCACTTGCTGTGGATGGATATGTACGGTCAGTTGTGCTGCTTCTTAGCAATGGCGTGGAGTGAATGGACTGCCACCTACCATGTCAGACAACCTGTTCTAACCTTAGGAGCCGAAGCTCTAGTGTACTTCGGCTTTGTCCGGACATCCATCGTGCCGCTCATCTTGCAAGCAATTTCAAACCGTCGCAGGCTCAGGGCCCAAGGGATAGAGACTTTTTGCTGGGCACAATCGATGTCAGGCCTGGAAGATTCGCTGTTGTCGGCGCAAAAGACTTGTGTTACTCAGACAGAGAAAAAGTGTCGTTAGAGGCCGGGCCGAGCTGCTAAGCCTTACCGAACCTAGGTAGCTGTGGATCACGGCAGGGCCGATGGATCCACAGCACACAAGCTTAACAGCAACGACGTCCTCCCATTGGCTGCGTCGTAAAAACAGGGGTTTTACCAAACCATGTTTCAGGCGGGCTACGAGTGACGGCGCCTTCCATTCTCGAGCTCCACCATAATTCAATTGTTGTGCCCATGAATCATGAATTCAGTAATATGGATCGGTGAACCTCAAAGGCTTTTCTCTCCGGCTGACTTCCTCCGTCGATACCCACCATGGAGAGGAGAAGCCTATCCATGAGCTATCGTGATTGCTCCCAATGGTTATGTTGTCGGTCATTAGCCTTCGCATAAAATGCTTGTGGAGCAATTCCGGTCCCTCGGGAGAAGCTAACGCAGCACGCCAAGAGATGGTACCCTTGATGGAAGACGGGCGAGGCGACATGTTGGTTCCGCAAGTCCGTCCTCGAAAAAAATGATGAGACCCAAAATATGATTCTACTCACGTTGGAAAGAGTCTATATAGTGAGCCACCCCTTGGAGAGATAGACTGGGAGATTTTGAGTACAATCTATCGTTAGAACCTCTTTCTTCATAGCAACGATGCTCAATGCCCTACTTTTATCGCTGGCGGCTGCACCGACACTGCTGTTCGCGGCGTCATGTAAGTCGTCTCAACCAGAGTTGCTGCCCCAGTCACATCCAACTGACACGTGACGGAATAGCAACCAGCTACGGAACCACGACCATCGACTGCCCCGTCAACAAGCAGCCCGCGATCAGGGACTTCCAGTCCCTCTCCGCAGACGAGAAGCTATGGACCCAGAAAAGACGGGCGAATACCATACCTGCCTTGCGCGATCTAATCAAGCGACTTGACATCGCCGACTTCGACTCGGACGGGTATTTCAACAGCGCGAAGAATGTCTCTGCGTTGCCCAATATCGGCATTGCCCTGTCAGGAGGCGGGTGGCGTGCCCTCATGAACGGGGCCGGAGCCGTCGCTGCGTACGATCAGCGCACGCCTGGTTCTACCGGTGCGGGACAGCTCGGCGGTCTTTTACAGTCCGCAACCTACCTCACGGGGTTGTCTGGTGGCGGATGGCTCGTGTCTTCCCTGTACGCCAACGACTTCTCTACGGTGCAGAGTATTGTCGACACGCGTAACTCGACCTCCATTTGGCAATTCCAGAACTCCATTTTTGAGGGGCCCGACATGGGAGACACCGGTTCTTCGAATGCTGGAGCGTATTTTGAGGCAATCGTTGACCATGTCGCTGCAAAGGTTGACAGTGGTTTCAATACTACTCTTACCGACTTCTGGGGCCGAGCGTTGTCGTTCCAACTGATTGATGCTTTTGGGAAATCCGGTAAGTCTTGCGACTCTGGGCTCTGCATACGACATTGTCTTATTCGTTCCAGTTTCAACATTTTCCTCGATCCAGAACATGACCGGATTCGCTGCCGCCGAACATCCCTTGCCAATCCTCGTGGCCGATGAGCGCGAGGAAGGCCAGTCCGTCCTATTCTCGACCAACACCACCAATTACGAGTTCACACCGTGGGATCTGGGGTCCTTCGACTCCGTAGGATTTGTTCCTCTTCAATATGTGGGATCCGAGTTCGAAGTTGGCAAAATCGAGTCTCACGGAAAATGTGTGACTGGTTTTGACCAGTTGAGCTTCGTCTTTGGAACCTCAAGTTCATTATTCAACCAGTTCCTACTCCAGATCAACACCACCGACATGGTACCAGCCATACTCAAGGATGCCCTGACCAAGGTTCTTGTCGGACTGGACCAAAGCCACATGGATGTTGCGGATTGGTCACCGAGTGGGTCCCATACGATCACTTGTCTGGAACGTCGACTAACTTCGGTCATAGATCCATTCTATCACTGGAACAACGCAACGAACGCGAATTCACAGACGAAACAGTTCACTCTCGTTGACGGTGGGGAGGACCTTCAGAACATCCCTTTCACGCCTCTGCTACAGCCCGCGCGCGAAGTCGACGTCATCTTTGCCGTCGACTCCTCCGCCGACACACTAGATCGCGAAGGGCCCAACTGGCCGAATGGAACAGCAATGGTGGCTACCTACGAGCGTTCGCTATTCCGAGACGACGGTACCACGTTCCCTCCGGTACCCGATGTTAACAGTTTCATCAATCTGGGGCTAAACTCCCGTCCTACCATGTTCGGGTGCGACGCTGGGAACCTGACCGCCAATAGCACCGCGCCGCTTGTTGTCTATCTCCCCCACTCACCTTACGTGTTCAACTCCAACGTGTCGACCTTCACACCAACTTACCAACTCGATGTTCGGAATGCCATCATCCGGAACGGGTACGATGTCGCCACAAGGGGCAACGCTACGGTTGACGCGCAGTGGCCTACGTGCGTTGGATGCGCCATCATGTCTCGTAGCTGGGATAGGACAAACACCACTGTACCTGGGGTGTGCCGTCATTGTTTTTCGAAGTATTGTTGGGATGGAGCAACAAATTCTACAATACCGGGTCCGTACACTCCGCGCATGCTTCTGGAGGCAGTCAAGGTGGAGGGCATCGCCGGGACGATAAAGCCGATGTCTGGACTCTCCTTTGCTGCCACGGCTCTAGCATTGGTGGTTCTTGGGCTCTAGAAGAAGTATTTGGGAGCTTTGGGGATGAGGAAGGGTCCAGAAGTTGTAACCCATGGGCCGTGCAAGGGGGAAGCTTTTCTTTCTTGAGTGCAGCCGTTGCTAAAAGACAACCGTGCCCTGATAGTGTGCACGCGGCTTTTTCTTTTGTCGAAACAGTATATATTTACCAAATTGATAGACGCATTAATACTAGAAAATAAATGGTCGAATGTAGGAAGAATAATCTCGTCTTTGTCAACTTGGTCTGAAGCGAAATCTTCGGCAGACGAAAGATTCCCCCCTCGTCGATAAACATGTTTTCTTGAGGTCCCTCATAAGCATGGTTCATTATGTATATTTCAAGTACGCTGTGCGTATTTCTGGTGGCATCAAACTTCGAGGTCCGGCAGTCTATGTGGTAATCAACC